TTGACCCGCGACGTCACAGACGACTCGGACAGCGAACCTCCGCCACCACGGGATATCAGTGAAGAGGTGTGGGCCGCAGTTCCCACATGGGACTGGGAGTCGTTTTTCGGGATCGAATTGGTGCCAGGGAGAATCATGCGTCGCATCCCACAGCGCGCAAGACTGGGGGTGCTTGATGCACTAGCTTGTATCCTGAAGCGGCTCAAGTCAAAGGCAGCAGACGAGGCGGCATCCTTGGTGTTTTTGGCCTTCCCTCGTCTTTTCTTGGGGATTCCAACCGGGCAAGGCCAGGGGCAGAGGGCGGCAATTAGGGAGCGGTTGGAGAAGTTTTGGGCTGGGGAGTGGCAGCAGCTGTTTGAGTTGGCGGTGGCGGCGATGCAACCTGCGGCTCGCCCCTTGTCCTTCACCCCACCCGAGCATGATCCTGATGCCGTGCGCCTATCCCGCTGCCGTACAAGGTGCAAAGTGGGAGAATGGAGTCGGGGTTTGGCGTGCCTTACGGCTGGTAGCATCGCTCAGCCCTCTCAGCACATGGTGGACGCGCTACGAGCGAAACACCCATCGTGCGAGTCCGCCATTCCTGGGTGGGTGCAGGAGGAGACAGTCGAGCCTTCCCTTATCCCACAGCTCTCAGTGGAGGTACTCGGCCAGGCGATCCACTCAGCGGCTAGGGCGTCCGCACCAGGACCGTCGGGGTGGGTGACGGAGCACCTGCGCGACACTTTTCTCTCTGAGCCCGCGTATCTGTCCCACCTGCTAGAGGTCTTCACCCAGTGGACCAAGGGAGAGGTAGCGGAGCGCGTGCGACCCTGGCTCACTGCGTCCAACTTGGTGGGCCTGTCGAAGCCGAATGGTGACGTTCGCCCGGTGGCTATAGGCGAGGTGCTCCCCCGCATACTATCTCGGGCCATATGCATCGTGCTTCGCCCGAAGATGATGTCGCACTTTGCTCCGTGTAACCAGTTTGGAGTCGGGTCCAGGTCGGGAGTGGAAGTCCTCGCACATGCCTTTCGCTCCGCCATCTCTACTCACCCGTCGTGGTGTGCGCTGCAAATTGACGTGGCGAACGCTTTCAACTCCTTCCATCGGCGGGAAATGTTTGAGGGTCTTCGACAGTCGCCTTTCAAGGGATTGATTCCATTTCTGCGTGTCTTCTACGGCACTCCTAGCGACCTCTATCTCCGAGCGGGCCCTTTTGTCGAAGCTTTGGCTTCCGAGCGGGGCTCGAGGCAAGGGGATCCATTGGGTCCGTTTCTGTTCGCGTTCACACAGCAGCTGGTTATGGAACCAACCAAAACGGAGTACGCCGACTTACTCTTCCTCAGCTATGCTGACGATACGTATATCCTGGGGCCTAGGGAACGGGTTCTAGCAGCCTATGAGGCCTTGCGGGAACGACTGGACGGGCTGGGTTTGGAGGTGCAGCCGCATAAGTGTAAGCTATGGGAGCGAGGGAGGGACCAGGATGGGGAGGAGAGAAATGAGACTGTCCCGCCCGGCATGCAGCAGACATGGACGGGGCTCACTGTGGTAGGGGTGCCCATTGGGGAGGAGGACTGGGAGGTGGCTAGCCTGCGTCGCCGGCTGACGGAGCTGCATGCACCTGTCCCCTGGCTTCCTCTGCTTGACCACCCACAGATTGCGTCCCATTTGTTGGCGATCGCAGTGTCGGCGCGCCCGATCTACCTCACACGGACGATGCCTCCACGACCTGAGGTTGTGGAGGCTTTTCGGGACTGGGACACGAAGCTGGAAGATTGTTTCGAGGAGCTGTTTCCAGATAGTACCTGGGATCACGATTCGGGGAAGTCCCAGATGGCTCGTTTACAGCTGCACCTTCCTGCCAGACTCGGGGGGTTCGGCATTCGATCTGCGGCTGACCTTAGTCCTCTGTCGTATGCATGTGGCTGGTGCCAAGCAGTGAGCGATGTGGCTCGGTTGGGGGTGGCAGGTGAGGAGCGGATGTTTGAGGAGTTTTTCCGCACGCCCGAGGCTACGACCTTGTTGGACCCCTGGTTTGCGAGAGCAGTGGATCTGCTTCCACAGTCGGTTCGGCAGGAGATGCCACCCCTTGCCTTGTGCACCGCTGATCCGCCTATGCTGCTCTTCCCCACACAACACCGTCGCCTGGCGGTTGAGAGCCTCCAATCTCTTCGAGGCATGGCCCACAACGATGCCACCCTGGCCCGTTTGACATCCCTTCAGGGCCCGGGGGCTGGGGCGTGGGTTTCTGCCGTTCCTTCGCACGAGGAGGCTACCTTCACCGCAGCCGAGTGGAGCATCTGCGCGTCCATGCGCCTAGGCCTCCCTATTCAGCAGCTGATAGTGGCCGGCAAGTGCGCGTGTGGGTTTGAGTTTGCTGATCCCTCTGACCCGCATCATGCCCTTCGCTGCAAGTATCAGTATGCACCTTCTCGGGTTCACGATGCGGTTAAATTTGTGGTGGCGAAGATAGCTAAGGGTGCGGGTGGGATTGTGACCATGGAAGACGACACGTTGCTCCCAGGGAAGAGGGTTGATGTGGCGGTTCGGAAACTGAGGGAGGGGGAGGAGCACGCGCTGGAGGTTAGTGTGGTAGATCCTATCTCGCTATCCGCGCAGCACCATGGACAGATTGGTCGCAAGGTGGGTTTTGCCGCGAGAGAGAGAGAAAAGCGGAAGACGGCGGACTACAAATCGCTTCTACAGCGGCATGGGGGAGTGCAGTTCACACCACTCATTGCTGAGACATGGGGATGCTTGGGGGGGAGTTTTGGACGGTGGCTTAAGAAGCAGGGTGACGCGCAGATCGAGATAGCAAAGACGAAAGGGGCGGCGCGAGCTACGGGAAAGGGTTTCTCGGCTTATTTGCTCGGATCGCTCAAAGCGGCTGTGGGTGTGGCTTTGCAACGGGCTCAGGCGCGTGTGATCTTGTTACGCGCTGCGTCGATGATGAGAGGCCCAGAGGCTGTTTGGGTGGAGCGGGAGGATGTTGAGGAGGAGATGGGATGGGATGCTCCGTGGGCGGATGCACCATACTTGGTAGACATGCGGGTTTAGGGAGTGGGTTTAGGGGGGGAGGTTTGGTTCGATGGGAGTGCAGTTGGGGTGCTTTGATGGGAGGGCTTGATGGTGTTTTAAATGTGTGTGCTATTGGGGTTTTCTTGGGGTTGTGTGTGCTACTTTTTCTTCCTTCTTCCCTGTTTTTCTTCCTCCTATCATTTTTCCCCTATTCCCCTCCTTCTTTCTTCCTCTCTCCTTTTTTCTACTCACGTTATTCCTCCTTTTCTCCTCTCTTCCCGTTTCCACTCCTTTTCCTTGCGTAATTATGCTACATTGTAACAGATAGTACCTCGATTGCTAAAAAAAAAAAAAAAAAAAAAAAAAAAAAAAAAAAAAAAAGGGAAGAAGGCGGCTCGAACCCCATCAAACGACGGCTGCGAGGGAGATGGAATCTCAATTTTCTTCGTTACCGCGTACTCAGGAGTTTCGTTGGCTGCCGCAGAAGGCGGTGGAATTGGAAGAACATTACTCGTAATAATGAATGGGGAATACACTTGATGGTTCGGGATAGTTGATACAGAAGTTTGTACTTTGGATAATCTCCTCAGTGTGATGTGTTTATATTACTAACATGATGAAAGTGCGTGTAGTTCAAGGGCAATAATGCAGCTTTCGAGCTGCCCGATGTAGACACTTGTGACGCGGTAGTTGAGGTTAAAGGTTAAAGGAGGGGGGGAAACCCCTCTGGGTGTTAACCACACCTGGCTGTCGGTCGTAACCCGCCTCCCCATTTGTTTACACTCCTCGCTGGGTCAACGAGGTTGTTCTATCCACTCCCAGATGAGCACCTGTGTAACCCCCTTCTGGGGGGCTGGCAGAACACGCCGCAGGGGGGATTTGATCCCGGGACCTCATCTTTCGGAAGTGAACCAGCTAACTAGCTGGGCCACTTCAGGATTTGACGCGGTAGTTGAGGAAGAGATGGAGGATCGAGGGCTCATATTCGATCTGTTACCTCAGAAAAAAAACAAAAATTCAGTTTGCGAGTCTCGGTCTGAAAAAAATACACACATGCTGACGAAGTTTCAAGAACACAATTTCGAACCGCCGCCGTGCTGCAATCCACAGAGCCGGCTCAAACCCCATCAAAAGACGGCTGAGAGGAGATGGAATCTCAATTTCCTTCGTCACCGCGTACTCAGGAGTTTCATTGGCTGCCGCAGAAGGCGGTGGAATTGGAAGAACAAGCGAGTTAGTAGATCATCCAATACTCGCGAATAATGATTGGGTAAAAAAGAAAAGAACAAACACGCAACCAAGAAAACCCCAAACACGCTATGAATATCAAACATTCCCAGAGCATTTCTCCTCGTAAGCAACAAACCAACCTCCCTGCAATGCAAAGCTCAACGAACAAACGAACAATCAGCACACAAAAACTCATTTCTCAGACAAACCTTCAATAGCCCTCCTAGGTTGAACTGAACAACACTCAAAATAAGCTGTACACAAGCTGCCTACTGTGGCAGTGAGAACGCTTTTCCAACACCTTGCCGCAGCAGCACACACTACGATATTCCACTCCGTCGCTCAAGCCATGAGCACCAACCCCTAGTGTAAGCATACACTCTGGGTACACTCATGGTATACAGCCTGCTAACACCATGAGCGCGTGCTAACACCATCCCTGTATCCCCTACCAGCGCACGCTAACACCATCCTGGGCTGGCATCACCTCCCTCCATCTCTCCTTTTCACCCACCGCTCCCTCATCTTCCCCACCACCCACCGCGGCACCACCCCTCTCTCCTGCGCCTCTCTCCTCCCCTCTTTCGCCGACTCATACATCCCCCGTCTGCGCCTCGCAACCATCCTATCCGCCCGGTGTGCCCGCACAAATAGCTCATGCGCTGCTGCTGCATTCCCCAGTGCCCCCTCCACCTCTGCTGTCTGCTGCAGTGCTGCTGCATTGCCTGGCTGGGCTGAGAGGGCCAGCTGTAAGAGGGAACGGGCCTTGATTAGGTTTCCCTGCTGCCGCTCCAAGCATGCGTATGCCTGTGAGGAAAGAGAGGCGAGAAAGCAGGATGGGGTGGGGGGAGCGGTAAAGCAAGGGGGGAGGGGCGGAGAGGGGAGAGATTATTGTTGGGGTGTGCCCGCACGAAGAGCTCATGCGCTGCTGCTGCATTCCCCAGTGCCTCCTCCACCTCTGCTGCCAGCTGTAGCACTGCAGCGTTGCCTGGCTGGGCTCTAGGAGGGTACGGGCCTTGGATAGTGTTGAGAAGGCATGAGTGTTGAGAAGGCATGAGTGGCATGAGTGTTGAGAAGGCATGAGTGTTGAGAAGGCATGAGTGTTGAGAAGGCGTGAGTGTTGAGAAGGCGTGAGTGTTGAGAAGGCGTGAGTGTTGAGAAGGCGTGAGTGTTGAGAAGGCATGAGTGGCATGAGTGTTGAGAAGGCATGAGTGTTGAGAAGGCATGAGTGTTGAGAAGGCGTGAGTGTTGAGAAGGCGTGAGTGTTGAGAAGGCATGAGTGTTGAGAAGGCATGAGTGGCATGAGTGTTGAGAAGGCATGAGTGTTGAGAAGGCATGAGTGTTGAGAAGGCATGAGTGTTGAGAAGGCGTGAGTGTTGAGAAGGCGTGAGTGTTGAGAAGGCATGAGTGGCATGAGTGTTGAGAAGGCATGAGTGTTGAGAAGGCGTGAGTGTTGAGAAGGCGTGAGTGTTGAGAAGGCGTGAGTGTTGAGAAGGCGTGAGTGTTGAGAAGGCGTGAGTGTTGAGAAGGCATGAGTGGCATGAGTGTTGAGAAGGCATGAGTGTTGAGAAGGCATGAGTGTTGAGAAGGCGTGAGTGTTGAGAAGGCGTGAGTGTTGAGAAGGCATGAGTGTTGAGAAGGCATGAGTGGCATGAGTGTTGAGAAGGCATGAGTGTTGAGAAGGCATGAGTGTTGAGAAGGCATGAGTGTTGAGAAGGCGTGAGTGTTGAGAAGGCGTGAGTGTTGAGAAGGCATGAGTGTTGAGAAGGCATGAGTGGCATGAGTGTTGAGAAGGCATGAGTGTTGAGAAGGCATGAGTGTTGAGAAGGCGTGAGTGTTGAGAAGGCGTGAGTGTTGAGAAGGCATGAGTGTTGAGAAGGCATGAGTGGCATGAGTGTTGAGAAGGCATGAGTGTTGAGAAGGCATGAGTGTTGAGAAGGCATGAGTGTTGAGAAGGCGTGAGTGTTGAGAAGGCGTGAGTGTTGAGAAGGCATGAGTGTTGAGAAGGCATGAGTGGCATGAGTGTTGAGAAGGCATGAGTGTTGAGAAGGCATGAGTGTTGAGAAGGCATGAGTGTTGAGAAGGCATGAGTGTTGAGAAGGCATGAGTGTTGAGAAGGCGTGAGTGTTGAGAAGGCGTGAGTGTTGAGAAGGCGTGAGTGTTGAGAAGGCATGAGTGTTGAGAAGGCATGAGTGTTGAGAAGGCATGAGTGTTGAGAAGGCGTGAGTGTTGAGAAGGCGTGAGTGTTGAGAAGGCATGAGTGTTGAGAAGGCATGAGTGTTGAGAAGGCATGAGTGTTGAGAAGGCATGAGTGTTGAGAAGGCATGAGTGTTGAGAAGGCATGAGTGTTGAGAAGGCGTGAGTGTTGAGAAGGCGTGAGTGTTGAGAAGGCGTGAGTGTTGAGAAGGCGTGAGTGTTGAGAAGGCATGAGTGTTGAGAAGGCATGAGTGGCATGAGTGTTGAGAAGGCATGAGTGTTGAGAAGGCATGAGTGTTGAGAAGGCATGAGTGTTGAGAAGGCGTGAGTGTTGAGAAGGCGTGAGTGTTGAGAAGGCGTGAGTGTTGAGAAGGCATGAGTGTTGAGAAGGCATGAGTGTTGAGAAGGCGTGAGTGTTGAGAAGGCGTGAGTGTTGAGAAGGCGTGAGTGTTGAGAAGGCGTGAGTGTTGAGAAGGCGTGAGTGTTGAGAAGGCGTGAGTGTTGAGAAGGCATGAGTGTTGAGAAGGCATGAGTGGCATGAGTGTTGAGAAGGCATGAGTGTTGAGAAGGCATGAGTGTTGAGAAGGCATGAGTGTTGAGAAGGCATGAGTGTTGAGAAGGCATGAGTGTTGAGAAGGCGTGAGTGTTGAGAAGGCGTGAGTGTTGAGAAGGCGTGAGTGTTGAGAAGGCGTGAGTGTTGAGAAGGCATGAGTGTTGAGAAGGCATGAGTGGCATGAGTGTTGAGAAGGCATGAGTGTTGAGAAGGCATGAGTGTTGAGAAGGCATGAGTGTTGAGAAGGCGTGAGTGTTGAGAAGGCGTGAGTGTTGAGAAGGCGTGAGTGTTGAGAAGGCATGAGTGTTGAGAAGGCATGAGTGTTGAGAAGGCGTGAGTGTTGAGAAGGCGTGAGTGTTGAGAAGGCGTGAGTGTTGAGAAGGCATGAGTGTTGAGAAGGCATGAGTGTTGAGAAGGCGTGAGTGTTGAGAAGGCGTGAGTGTTGAGAAGGCGTGAGTGTTGAGAAGGCGTGAGTGTTGAGAAGGCGTGAGTGTTGAGAAGGCGTGAGTGTTGAGAAGGCGTGAGTGTTGAGAAGGCATGAGTGTTGAGAAGGCATGAGTGTTGAGAAGGCGTGAGTGTTGAGAAGGCGTGAGTGTTGAGAAGGCGTGAGTGTTGAGAAGGCATGAGTGTTGAGAAGGCATGAGTGTTGAGAAGGCGTGAGTGTTGAGAAGGCGTGAGTGTTGAGAAGGCGTGAGTGTTGAGAAGGCATGAGTGTTGAGAAGGCATGAGTGTTGAGAAGGCGTGAGTGTTGAGAAGGCGTGAGTGTTGAGAAGGCGTGAGTGTTGAGAAGGCGTGAGTGTTGAGAAGGCGTGAGTGTTGAGAAGGCGTGAGTGTTGAGAAGGCGTGAGTGTTGAGAAGGCGTGAGTGTTGAGAAGGCGTGAGTGTTGAGAAGGCGTGAGTGTTGAGAAGGCGTGAGTGTTGAGAAGGCGTGAGTGTTGAGAAGGCATGAGTGTTGAGAAGGCATGAGTGTTGAGAAGGCATGAGTGTTGAGAAGGCATGAGTGTTGAGAAGGCATGAGTGTTGAGAAGGCATGAGTGTTGAGAAGGCATGAGTGTTGAGAAGGCGTGAGTGTTGAGAAGGCGTGAGTGTTGAGAAGGCATGAGTGTTGAGAAGGCATGAGTGTTGAGAAGGCATGAGTGTTGAGAAGGCATGAGTGTTGAGAAGGCATGAGTGTTGAGAAGGCATGAGTGTTGAGAAGGCATGAGTGTTGAGAAGGCATGAGTGTTGAGAAGGCGTGAGTGTTGAGAAGGCGTGAGTGTTGAGAAGGCGTGAGTGTTGAGAAGGCGTGAGTGTTGAGAAGGCGTGAGTGTTGAGAAGGCATGAGTGTTGAGAAGGCATGAGTGTTGAGAAGGCGTGAGTGTTGAGAAGGCGTGAGTGTTGAGAAGGCGTGAGTGTTGAGAAGGCGTGAGTGTTGAGAAGGCGTGAGTGTTGAGAAGGCGTGAGTGTTGAGAAGGCGTGAGTGTTGAGAAGGCGTGAGTGTTGAGAAGGCGTGAGTGTTGAGAAGGCGTGAGTGTTGAGAAGGCGTGAGTGTTGAGAAGGCGTGAGTGTTGAGAAGGCGTGAGTGTTGAGAAGGCGTGAGTGTTGAGAAGGCGTGAGTGTTGAGAAGGCGTGAGTGTTGAGAAGGCGTGAGTGTTGAGAAGGCGTGAGTGTTGAGAAGGCGTGAGTGTTGAGAAGGCGTGAGTGTTGAGAAGGCGTGAGTGTTGAGAAGGCGTGAGTGTTGAGAAGGCGTGAGTGTTGAGAAGGCGTGAGTGTTGAGAAGGCGTGAGTGTTGAGAAGGCGTGAGTGTTGAGAAGGCGTGAGTGTTGAGAAGGCATGAGTGTTGAGAAGGCATGAGTGTTGAGAAGGCATGAGTGTTGAGAAGGCATGAGTGTTGAGAAGGCATGAGTGTTGAGAAGGCATGAGTGTTGAGAAGGCATGAGTGTTGAGAAGGCATGAGTGTTGAGAAGGCATGAGTGTTGAGAAGGCATGAGTGTTGAGAAGGCATGAGTGTTGAGAAGGCATGAGTGTTGAGAAGGCATGAGTGTTGAGAAGGCATGAGTGTTGAGAAGGCATGAGTGTTGAGAAGGCATGAGTGTTGAGAAGGCATGAGTGTTGAGAAGGCGTGAGTGTTGAGAAGGCGTGAGTGTTGAGAAGGCATGAGTGTTGAGAAGGCATGAGTGGCATGAGTGTTGAGAAGGCATGAGTGTTGAGAAGGCATGAGTGTTGAGAAGGCATGAGTGTTGAGAAGGCGTGAGTGTTGAGAAGGCGTGAGTGTTGAGAAGGCGTGAGTGTTGAGAAGGCATGAGTGTTGAGAAGGCATGAGTGTTGAGAAGGCGTGAGTGTTGAGAAGGCGTGAGTGTTGAGAAGGCGTGAGTGTTGAGAAGGCATGAGTGTTGAGAAGGCATGAGTGTTGAGAAGGCGTGAGTGTTGAGAAGGCGTGAGTGTTGAGAAGGCGTGAGTGTTGAGAAGGCATGAGTGTTGAGAAGGCATGAGTGTTGAGAAGGCGTGAGTGTTGAGAAGGCGTGAGTGTTGAGAAGGCGTGAGTGTTGAGAAGGCGTGAGTGTTGAGAAGGCGTGAGTGTTGAGAAGGCGTGAGTGTTGAGAAGGCGTGAGTGTTGAGAAGGCGTGAGTGTTGAGAAGGCATGAGTGTTGAGAAGGCATGAGTGTTGAGAAGGCATGAGTGTTGAGAAGGCATGAGTGTTGAGAAGGCATGAGTGTTGAGAAGGCATGAGTGTTGAGAAGGCATGAGTGTTGAGAAGGCATGAGTGTTGAGAAGGCATGAGTGTTGAGAAGGCATGAGTGTTGAGAAGGCATGAGTGTTGAGAAGGCATGAGTGTTGAGAAGGCATGAGTGTTGAGAAGGCATGAGTGTTGAGAAGGCATGAGTGTTGAGAAGGCATGAGTGTTGAGAAGGCATGAGTGTTGAGAAGGCATGAGTGTTGAGAAGGCGCGAGTGTTGAGAAGGCACGAGTGTTGAGAAGGCATGAGTGTTGAGAAGGCATGAGTGTTGAGAAGGCATGAGTGTTGAGAAGGCATGAGTGTTGAGAAGGCGTGAGTGTTGAGAAGGCGTGAGTGTTGAGAAGGCGTGAGTGTTGAGAAGGCGTGAGTGTTGAGAAGGCGTGAGTGTTGAGAAGGCGTGAGTGTTGAGAAGGCGTGAGTGTTGAGAAGGCGTGAGTGTTGAGAAGGCGTGAGTGTTGAGAAGGCGTGAGTGTTGAGAAGGCGTGAGTGTTGAGAAGGCGTGAGTGTTGAGAAGGCGTGAGTGTTGAGAAGGCGTGAGTGTTGAGAAGGCGTGAGAGGGAGATGTGGAGGGAGATGTGGAGGGAGATGTGGTGGGAGATGTGGCATAGTACAGCTCACACTACCCTCACAACCCCCGCGCACTACCCTCGCACGACCATACAACAAGGCAGCCCTACAGATTCAAAAAGAAAAAAGGAGAGCCATTTGACAAGCGGTGAGGTGAGAGTGGAGGGAGCATACCTGGAGAGTGGGGACTGAGTGAGGAGCAGCCTCAAGGCAGCGGTCAAACAGCCTCCTCGCTGCCTCAACATCCCCTGCTGCGTGCTCCATCACACCCCACGCCTGCAGCGCCCGCACACACCCAGGCTGCACCTCCAAGCATTTCCGGAACAGCCCCCTGGCCGTCTCTCGGCTCTCGGGTGTGGCTAGGCGGGCCTCCTGACACGCCCATGCGTGCAGAGTGGGAATGGACTTGGGGTTGGCTGATAGGGCCGAGCGGAACAGGGACCTCATGCGGTCGACTCGACCAGATTTTGCCTCAAGGAGGGCCCATGCCTGTAGAGAGTGAGGAGAGAGAAGATTGCAGATCGGAGGGGGAGTTTAGAAGGCGTAAGGGTGATTGCAGCAGCAGCAAAGAGTGACAGGAGAATGAACGAGCAATGAGAGCAGAGAGCAAATGGGCAGCGCAGTCCTGAGATGAGAAAACGTCGAGGGGACCACCCAGGAACACGTCAATAAACAATGAGCGAACCACCCACCTGCCAGCAAGCAGCGTCAAGAGGAGCAGCAGCAGTGGCCTTCTTGAAATAGCACCGCGCTGCACCCAGGTTCTTCACAGAAGCTTCTAGGAGGGCGCGTGACTGCAGAACCACTGGGCTGCCCGGCTGAAGCTTCTCTGCCTGCTCCAGCAGGTTCCGGGCAGCCTGAAAGTTTCCTTCGCGCTTCTCAGCCGTGGCCCACGCGTGCAGGCCAATCACAAGGCTCCCCGTGTCTTTCTGGGACTGCCCTGCCTGTTTCCCTCTGCCCTGCTGCTGATGATGATAATGATGCTCCCACTCCTGTTGTCGCTGTTGGCCCAGTTGCCCCCGCGTCAGCACTGTTACTGACCGTTGAAACAGCTGTCTGCTGGTAACCATGTCGCCCTCCTCCGCCTCCATCCCCGCCCACGCCTGCAAGCACCGCCCCAGGTGATTCCTCAGGTGCCACTGGTCCCTCAGGTGCCCAGCCTCCTCTGCCGCCGCACCTCCACTAACCTGCTCCACCAGGCGCACCTCTGCCAGTTCCCGCGCGACTGCATGCCTTGCAACACCGTGGTAGCTGACAGAAGAGACAGAAGCGTCCCGTGAGTCTCGTGAGAGCGAGTCACTGGCGACAGCCAGAGCAGCCTCGTAGACCTGGGCGCTGCGGCGGTACCACGCCCTCGCGTCTGCAGTGTTGCCTGCTTTGCGTTCTGCCAGAGCCATGTGCTCCTGGACTTGGGGGTTTGTCGGGTGCTGCGATAGCAGCTGTAGGGAGACAGGGAAGACACGGGGAGTCAGGGGAAAAGGACAGGGGGATGAGGACGCGGGGAGAGTGTCAGAAACCGCGAAGAAAACGGGCTCGCAGGCCGTCCTGCGCAAAACGGATACAACTAATGATTCGTTGCAACATGCCACAGCAGCTTCTCTCCTTACGTTCCCCTCAAATCCTCCCTCGCATCTTCCCCTCTTCACTCACCTCGTCCAGCATGGCTCTAGCAGTCGTCAGTCCGCTCCGCGTCCCCCCATTCAGGTGCCGCCTCACGGCCTTCAACGCGCCCGCCACCTCCGCTCCGCCTCGCCCCTCCCCCTCCCGCTCCCCCTGCGTCTCCGCCGCCTGCGCCTCCCCCTCCGCTTCCGCGCCCCTTACTACTTCCTCCGCCCGTAGTTGGTTCGGAGCTTCTGTGTTGATTATCGCCGCTCGCCTAATTGCCGATGGTGGACGCGCTAAGCTGAGCCTCACTACTCGCTTTTGAAACGTTCCCCGCCGAATCCTCTCCGCTTGCTCCCTCAAGTCCCTCCCGCCTTCCGCCTCTTGAACCGCGTCGGCGGCTCGCGGCGGCGCGAATTCGGGCAGCGGGGTGCGCGGAGCGGCGGATGCGGGAGCGGGAGCGGGCGCGGGCGCGAGAGCGGAAGCGAGCGCGGGAGGGGAAGCGGAAGGCAAGTCGGGAACCAGCAGCGCGGTCTGGGATGAGGGAGGGGAGAGCGGGGAGGACGAGGAGGAGGAGGAAGACGGGGAGGAGGGTGTGGACGGTGCGGAGAAGAAAACGTCTTCCGTTTCAGTCACATCAGTTGCAGTCAAATCGCTCGACACTTCGTTGTAGTCCCCAACCGGTGGCTCGTCCCTCTGCTGCTGGCGCTGCTGCTGCAGTTTCTGCCTCGCCCTTCTCGCTCTCACTGCCGCTTCGGATAAGGCTTTAGGGGACGGAGCGAGAGACAAGGACGCGTCAACGGGGTCAACAGAGTCAACGTCAACGGGGTCAACGGAGTCAACGGCGTCAACGGCAAGAGGGACTCGGGGTTTCGAGCGGCGCTTTCGCGGGTACTGGCGCTTGCGACCCGACGGCAACAGCAGAATCCACTCGCCCTCCTCGTTCATCCCCGCAAATCCTTCCACCTCGCCGCGCAGGATTTGCGCGTCCGTTGAATACGCCTCGGGAATACCGCGACTCGACAGCGAGTCCTCGAGCGCCGCGGCAGCGGCGGCTGTAGTGGAAGCAGCGGCAGAAGCAGCGGCAGAGGCGGCGGCGGCGGCGGCGGCGGCAGGGGAACGTGCAGCGGCGGCGGCGGCTTGTCGTCGGGACGTGTCAAGGAGGGAGGGAGCCGCGTCTGTTGCCGCGATCCGGGATGCCTTGCTGCCGGGTCGCGCCGCGTCCGGTTGATTTGTGAAGGCGCGAATCGCGGGCGAAAAGCGCCTGGAGAGAGACCGCGTGGCGGCTGTGCGGCTTGGGCTGGCTCTCGATGTTGTCACTCGTGCGATTCCTGCGAGCGACGAGCGACGGAAGCTGACGACAGCGTGATGACGGCGATGAGAATGCGCGGCGTGAGGCGGTCCTGCGGACGGGGATCATAAAGGGGGGTAATAGTACAGCCTTTAAGGAGGCTACTTGTAAGAAATTCACCTTTTAACAACGGGGTGCTAGTGTGTTTCGTGTGAATCCGCGAGACAACAGACAATGATGAAGCAACGGAAGATACGACGCAACAGTGAGATAAAAGGCGGTACGGCCGCGGGAAGGGGGATCCGACTAGGCGATAAGACGAGAAACGCAGCAGGGAGATTCGCACCAGGAAATGACGGTAGATGCTGACGAGAGGCGGATTGAGATCTCATGGCTGTGCAAAGAGCGGCCCGCCGGGAAAGGTCGGAAACAGCGGCGGTCGCCATCGCGGACTGATAATTGTCAAGCAAAAGGAAGACTGACGATGCTCTGAACTAGACGGTACGGAAATATGCCGTGCAACTAAGGCGGAGGCGGAGTGGTGTAGGGAGCTGAGGTATTTTGAGAGCGCTGCGGAAGGCCGTGGCAAGTGATGCGAATGTGAGGGGATCAGATAGGTGAGATGGGAGTTGAGGGGGGCCTGGGGCACACTAAGAAAGGGGTACTGTAATCAAGAACTGAGGGTAGTTCCACCACAAATTCCAACCACAATCTGCAGCACACCCGACGCTACGTAGAGAGAAAGGACTTGATGGTGAGTCACTGCCAATGCCGAGGAGTGGCAATGTCAAGGAAAACGGAAAACTGGGGCGAAGCGCGTGTTGTGTCTGGCAGCCATAGCCGAGGGCGAGCGGGAAGGGGACATTGACGACGGTGAAGCTTTGCCAGGAAAACGAAGGCCCAGTTACGGGCAGACGAAATGACAATCAGGTAGGACCAAGATATTTGTGGGCGATTAATAGAGCAGCAAATGTTTTCTTTCCAGAGGCAATTGTTCGTTGACCTCGCCTCCTTGTCAAATATCTTTGACAAATTCAGCACTAAAGGCCGCAGGCGTGTGTGATAACGGGCAGATCATTCAGACGAAAAAATATGGTCAGCTTGGGTCATCCCAGAAAGCTATGAGAGGGCCACGACGACAGATGGTGGCACGCGACTGGCTCGATGTTGCCCCACGTATCCCCCTGACGTTCTGAGCCCAGATGCGCCCAGCCATGAACCGCTCGCGTGGCTCTCTGAGCGCCGTCGGTCGAGCGTGTATTGCGCATCTGAAATCTGGTCGCCAGAAACGGGAACAGCGCACGAAGTCTAGGTTATACCATTTTCCTGCTTGGACATGGGGATGTAGCTCAGATGGTAGAGCGCTCGCTTAGCATGCGAGAGGTATGGGGATCGATACCCCACTTCTCCAAGTTTGCGGGGATAGCTCAGTTGGGAGAGCGTCAGACTGAAGATCTGAAGGTCGCGTGTTCGATCCACGCTCACCGCATTTTGATGCTTTCTGCCAAAGAATATCTTTTGTCAGTCCCTGTCTGCCATGATCTCGAAAACAGTTGGTTTCAGGGCTTCATGGGTTCTCATTCTATCATGGCCATGAACGCATTCATGAAAGAGGCTCTACTGCTCTTCATACAATGGGTGTACATCCTCCAGTGCGCTATGCCTCGATATCTTAATTGCCAAGCCAATCAATCAACACAGAAAATCCTTTCTTCAGCAACCCATTTGAGTCGCAACTGTACTGAGCAGCAACACATACGGTATCTTTCCTAAATCAAGCATAGGGCTTGTCCTGCATGGCCCAGCCAAAGATCTGCTCGTACTGCTCGGCGGCCTTGTTCCACGACATGTCTTGCACCATGCCCCTCTCCATCACCCTCGCCCACGAGTCCTTGTGCTCCCTGTACGTCTGAATCGCCGTCCACAGCGCCTGCATGGGTGCAGAATGGTGAGAAAGTGTTTAGGGCGGTGATAAGGTGTTTGGAGTGGTAAGCTATATGGAGAGATAGTAGGGCACGTGGAGCAGCATGCCCCTCTCCATCACCCGCGCCCACGACTCCTTGTGCTCTCTGTACGTCTAGATCACCGCCCACAGCGCCTGCAGGGGTGGGGAGTGGTGGGAAGGTATGCGAAGTGGTAGTAAGATACAATGGAAGCTTTGTACATCTGAATCACCATCCACAGAGCCTGCATGGTTGCGGAGTGGTACAAAGGTGTGTGGTGGGTGGTGGTGGTGGGTGTCGGGTCTGGGAAAAGAGCATTGCCGGTTAATGATTGTCCTTTATTCGGCCTAGCAAACACACACACACGCGCGCGTGCGCGCACACACACACACACACAAAAGCTCATACGCACTCACCCCCATCATGGCTTCCTTGGTGAGGGGCGAGAAGGTCCATCTGGGTACATGAGATTGAGAGCAGGAGGGCAGTAATGTAGGGTGCGGGGAAAAAAGAGGGGGAAATGGGAGTGGTGGAGAAAAGGAGATGAGCCAGAGTAGAGGAAAAAAACCGTCATAGATGGAGGGTGGAGGGGAAAAAAGCCTTGGGCTAAATAGAAAAGGACAAATGGAGGCACGGAGGCTTGACGTGCGAGAATCACTTCCCCTTTCCACTCTTCTTCCCCCACCTCTCCATTTTTCTTTCCCCCCTTCTCCTTACTGGAGAGAATTATGTCTCATCCTCCCTCTCCCATCCTCCCCCTTTTTCTCTCCCATCCTCTGTCCCTTCCTAGCCCCACCTTCCCCCCATCCCTTTTCCCAATCTGCTCACCCTGTACCAGCGCCCAAGCCCTCGTTGGCAAACGGGTTGAAGTCCTGAACCGTGTCCTGAGGTGGGTGGGAGGAAGGGGGGAGAGGAGGGAGGGAGAAGGAAGGAGAGGCGGGAAGAAAGAAGGGCGGATTTGAAGAGCTAAGTGGAAAAAAGTGGGAGAGAGCAGTGGCACCCTGTGCCAGCGCCCAAGGCCTCATTGGCAAACGGGTTGAAGTCCTGAACCGTGTCCTGAGGTGGGTGGGAGGAAGGGGGGAGAGGAGGGAGGGAGAAGGAAGGAGAGGCGGGAAGAAAGAAGGGCGGATTTGAAGAGCGAAGTGGAAAAAAGTGGGAGAGAGCAGTGGCACCCTGTGCCAGCGCCCAAGGCCTCATTGGCAAACGGGTTGAAGTCCTGAACCGTGTCCTGAGGTGGGTGGGAGGAAGGGGGGAGAGGAGGGAGGGAGAAGGAAGGAGAGGCGGGAAGAAAGAAGGGCGGATTTGAAGAGCGAAGTGGAAAAAAGTGGGAGAGAGCAGTGGCACCCTGTGCCAGCGCCCACGGCCTCATTGGCAAACGGGTTGAAGTCCTGAACCGTGTCCTGAGGTGGCAGCACAGAGGGGAGAGGGGGGAAGTGGGGAGGTGGGGGAGAAACAAGGGAGCAGTAGGGCGTTGGGGCTAGGCGTGAAAACGGAAGCGGAGTCCTGCACCGAGGTGCGGAGTCCTGCACCAACGCTTGGGTTTGGTTTACGGGGGTTGGATTGGAGGAAGAGAAGAAGGGGATGGGGAATGGCAAGGAGGGGGAGATAAGATAAAGAATGACGTATCGCATTGCGTACGGTACAGCTGGTTCAGCCGCTGCTGCACCCTAACTCCTCCCTAAGCCCCCCTCCCAAGCACTCACCCTCAAGCCGCCAGTGGCATGCACGACGGGGATGGTGCCGTATCGCATGGCGTACAGCTGGTTCTGCCTCTGCTGCACTCACCCTCCCTCCCTGCACCCAGCCTCACCCACCCAATCACCATCTCCCACTCACCCTCAGCCCGCCAGTGGCGTGAACGACAGGGATGGTGCCGTATCGCATGGCATACAGCTGGTTCAGCCCGCACGGCTCAAAGCGTGACGGCATGAGCAGGATGTCACAGCTGTTGGGACAGAACAGCATGGGGATGGTGAGCAAGGGGGTGGCAAGGGAGCGGGATGAAAAGAAGGAATGGCAGCGGGGAACAGCACAGCTCAAGGCACAACAAAGGAGGAGAGGGAACGACACTCACCACACGCGCCCGGTCATCCATAGTCACCCCGCGGCCATCCGCACTCACCCTGCTGCCACTCTCACTCACCCTGCTGTTACCCTCACTCACCCTGCTGCCACTCTCACTCACCCTGCTGTCACCCTCACTCACCCCGCCGTCACCCTCACTCACCCCGCTGTCACCCTCACTCACCCCGCCGTCACCCTCACTCACCCTCACTCACCCAGCTGTCACCCTCACTCACCCCGCAGTTATCCTGTGAGCCACGGGCACGGAGAAGCCCACCCAGCCGCGGAACTTGTCGCGATACTCGCCCTCTGCCCAGGCCATCCACGACTCATACTCCGCGTCTCCGCTGCCCAGCATGACCTGCAGGAGGGCATAGAACAGCGGGCATGGGAAGGAAGAGAATGGTAGTTAGAGTCTAGATATGCAGGGGACAGGTTGGTTGATACTCGCCCTCCGCCCACGCCATCCATGACTCGTAATCCGCGTCTCCGCTCCCCAGCATGGCCTGCAGGATGGTGAGGAAAAGAGTGGTGGTTAGGGTGTATGCATGCAGGGAACAGGTTGATACTTGCCCTCCGCCCACACCTTCCACGCCTCATACTCAGCATCTCTATTGCCCAGCATGACCTGAGAAGGACGGTGGGAAGAAGAGGAGTGAGAGGGAGGGCATGGGAAGAGGATATGCAAGGGGCAGGTAAATATTTGCCATCCGCCCATGCCCCTGTACTCAGCGTTGCCGATGCCCAGCATGATTTGAAAGCAAGAGAGGAAGGGGAGAAAGAGAGGGTTTTGGATATGCATGGGGCAGCTCTCACACTGCCACCTAATACCACCTCGTACGTATACATCATATCCCTATCCGCTGAATTGGATGACTGTACCTACCCTGGCACTCTCATCCCTCATATGGAGCAAACAGCATTCCCAACCCAACCCCCGCCTCGCAACAAGGCAACCCTTCCCAGCCTATCCTCGGCATTGAGGCTCCCCCCCTCATCCCCTCCCCTGCCTCCACTCGCAAACTGCATGTCCACTGAGACATGAGCTCCGGCATTCCTGCCTGAAACAATTATTGAGGCGCTAAACACACACACACACACACACATACACACACACACACACACACACACACATACACACACACACACACACACACACGCACACACACGCACACACACACACACACGCACAGGCACAGGCACACACACACACACACACACACACACACGCACGCACACACGCACGCACACACGCACGCACACACGCACGCAAATACACACTCACACACACACAGCGCGCGCGTGAGCAGACGGACACGCGCCCGCGCGCACACACACAAACCTGTCAACCCCCGCTATAATAAAGCCCCGCTTCCACTCCTTCCACTCACGAATTGCACGTCATCTGTCATGAGCTCTGGCACTCCTGCCTGAATCACATCCGGGCCCTTCTGCCAGTCCAGTCGCCCAATGAACCCAATCTGGTGCGCGGGGGAACAGAGGATGTGAGGGGGGGGCGGACCAGAGGGAAGGAAGACGGATGAGAGAGGAGGGAGGAGGGAGGAGGGAGGAGGGAGGAGGGAGGAGGGAGGAGGGAGGAGGGAGGAGGGAGGAGGGAGGAGGGAGGAGGGAGAAGGTAGAAGGGAGGAGTTGGGAGGAGGGAGGAGGAGGGAGGAGGAATGAGGGAGAAGGGAGGAGTGGGGAGGAGGGATGAGGGAGGTGGGTGGGAGCAAGATTGTCAACTGAGCAGAGTAGGTGTGTCTTAGAGCTGAAAATTCACTAAACTCAGTACCAGAACCCGTGCAAGCAGGTCAGCAACGCTGCTGCTGGAATCGCATTGCCACTGCCACATGTCCCGTCATAGTCCCACCCTCCCCCAGATCCCACCCTCCCACTCCTACGAGAGCCCACCCTCCCTCCCACCAGATCCCACCCTCCCTCCCACCAGATCCCACCTTCCCACTGAAGAATTCACGACCCTCGTTAGGGGCACGTGTGTCTCTCACCAGAGGCACATCAGGTCGGACAGGCAGACCCAGCTCCTGCTGCAGTGCCGCCTTGCATGCTGCCTGTGATACGAGGTGGGTGGAAAGTGGGGCACAGATGTTAGAGGAGAGTTTTTTGGCAGGCCTGGATGAATGCACAGATTTTGTTGCAGTGCTGTGCTGCCTTGCATGCCGCCTACCATGGCAACCGCGTGGGTAGGGGGAGGGGGAAAGCGGAACATGGGGATAGAGAGCTGTTCATGATGATTGTGAGTGAACGGTTGAGGGCAGATATTGACTTCGCAAATGGCAAAGTGTAAACAAGTTTCAGAGATTCTTTGCATACCACTCGGCTTGGACGCATGAAAGGGAGGATGGATTGACTGGGGAAGAATGAAGCAGAGTGATGCAGAGTGATACAGAATCATACAGAGTGGCAAGCGCACGTACGTACACACCTTCCTCCCCATCGCACCTTGCCGGCCATATCAGCAGCGGTGTGCTTCGATGGCATGTGCATGTCCGTGGCAGGGTTTAAAGATGCCAATCTCACTGGCCCATCATTCCTCCCACCTCGCCTTTCCCCCCACCTCGCCTTTCCCCCCACCTCGCCTTTCCCCCACCTCGCCTTTCCCCCCACCTCGCCTTTCCCCCCACCTCGCCTTTCCCCCACCTCGCCTTTCCCCCCACCTCGCCTTTCCCCCCACCTCGCCTTTCCCCCCACCTCGCCTTTCCCCCCACCTCGCCTTTCCCCCACCTCGCCTTTCCCCCCACCTCGCCTTTCCCCTGCACCCCATCGCACCTTGCCGGCCATATCAGCAGCGGTGTACTGCGAGGGAATGTGCTTGTCTGTAGCAGGGTTCCAATCCACCACATCAACCCCGTTGGTCACTCCTGTACCAGAGGACAAGTGAAGAGATGGGAGTTTAGGGAGTGTCAAAGGCGGTGGTACATGTATATAGGCAGTGGAGGGGGAAGGAAGAGGGTGGGGGAGGGGGTATGCATAGACGGTAGGCGGGAGCCAGCCCAGGGGGGAAACAGGTGATGGTACATGAATAATAAAGACACATGTAGAAACACGAAAACAAACAAACAAACAAACAAACAAACAAACAAACACGAAAGCCTGAAAATAACGAACAATCACACCAATTCCCGTCATATCAGTCTCTAATAAATGCTTTTGAGTGAAGCTTCCTACCATTGAGCACGAAGCTTCGCCCCCGGAGCAGCCCATCCAGTCCCCACCCGCCCTCAACTGTTGTTATCTCCCAGGCATAGCCCTGCAATGCGAGGGGAAGGGGGGAGGGAAAAGGGGGATTGAGAGGGAGGGGGACGGGATGAGTGGGGGAAGGGTATGTGTGACGTGACCCACCCGCCCTCCACTGTTGTTATCTCCCAGGCATAGCCCTGCACCGCAGAGGCAGGGAGGGGATAACAGGAGACGGGGGGACGGGGGAGGTGAGCGGGTGAATAGGAGAAAGGGCAGGCCCCACCCGCCCTCCACTGTCGTAATCTCCCCCAGGCATAGCCCTGCAATGCAGGGGGAGAGAGGGAGGGGGAAAGAAAGTGAAGGGGAAGAGAAGGGTAGGGGAAACATAGAGGGCGTGTGTGTGAGACCCCACCCGCCCTCCACTGTCGTAATCTCCCAGGCATAGCCCTGCACAAGGGGGGAGGGAAGGGGGGGATGAAGGGGGGAGGGGGGAGGTGAGCGGGTGAATAGGCAAGGAGGCAGGCCCCCACCCGCACTCCACTGTCGTGATCTCCCATCCATAGCCCTGCAGAAGGGGGCGGAGAAGGGGGTGGGTAGAGGGATGAGGGGGAGAAGGTGCAGCACACATTTTTTTAGAATTCTCAAAAAATACCGGGCTGACTTTCACGGATGTGATGAAGTAAGGTATAGTTTTGAGACGTGTGTCACAGCTCGTGCTTGCATTGCCTTGCCACCGCATGTGCACAGGTCACATGCACCTGCCAGGCTGCCCCGCAACGCGAGCGCCCAGCCCACATGCCCACACATGCTGGCACACACGTACCGGGCTGACTGTCACGATCCTATCGGCAGTCACAATGGCCCCCTTGAGGATGTTCACCGCCTCGCCCTTGTCCAACTCGTGCTTGCGCGCCCACTCGGGAAACACCCATTCGAGCGCCCCGTACCAATCGCCCGGCACTCCCAGGCCACCGAACGTGTAGCCTGGCTCCACGCCCTATCATTTGGTGGAAAGCGGAGAGGGGGAACAGGGTGGGACCATGTTAAAGGGGAAGGAAGAGGGAGATTGCTTGCGCGATCGCTCGGGGAACACCCACTCAAGGGCGCCGTACCAGTCACCGGGCACACCGAGACTGCCAAACGTGTAGTTTGGCTTCACGCCCTGTAATAGGACGGGGACGGGGAGGAGGGAACACGGGGAAGGGGAAAGAAGAGGGAGGTTGCTTGCTTGCGCGCCCACTCGGGAAACACCCACTCCAGTGCACCGTACCAGTCGCCTGGCACACCAAGACTGCCGAACGTGTAGCCTGGCTCCACGCCCTATGGAGGAGGCAAGTGGGAAAAAGGAAAGAGAAGAAGCAGTGCAGAGGGTGAGAAAGAAGAGTTGACGTTGTGCCGGGTAGGAGGAGAGGGAGTGGGGGGTGGAGAAGATTTTTGAGGCACCTCAAAAATCACCTCACTACACGAGGGTTGACTGTGTGGCGGGTTGAGGGAGAGGGAGTGGGGGATGGAGATGAAGCGGGAGTTGGGGAGGCATTTGAATACAACATGTTGTACCTGGTGTACAAGGTTGTTCATGGCAAGGTTTGTCCTCACCTGGTGGGAGAGGTTGTGGATGGCAAGGATGGTGCGAGCATCCTTGTAGACGCCGTGGGGGCGGTAGTTGGATGCGACCAGGCTGATGTGGGGGAAAGGAGAGAGGGGGGGCAGGGAAGGAGGAATGGAAGGAGGGGAGAGGGCAAGGGGTAAAAGAGGGAAGTTGGGAGAAAATGTTGGTTAGAGAAATCTCATACACACACCATGGGAGCAGTAGTTGGTTGGGTGGGACCCACGAGACTGATGGGGAGGGAGAAGAGAGAGGGCAGCAGCCGCCCAGCGTGCCAGTCGTTGGCAATCAACAGGACCTTCTCCCCATACGTGAATCCGCCCAGCTCCACCTGCGTCTCCTCCCCTTCCCGCTCCCCCTCTTCCCCTCTCCTCCCCTCCCTTTCCACTCACACGGGCAGCAGCCCTGCGTGCCAGTCGTTGGCAATGAACAGGACCTTCTCCCCATACGTGAATCCGCCCAGCTCCACCTGTCTCTCCGCACCCCCATATCTCTCCACTCATACGGGCAGCAGCCCCGCGTGCCAGTCATTGGCGATGAAAGGAACCTTCTCTCCGTATGTGAACCCGCCCAGCTGCACTCACTCACTCACTCACTCGCTCTCACTACGGTCCTCTCTCCCCTCATTCGTTCCCCACACACTCACACAGGCAGCAGCCCAGCGTGCCAGTTGTTAGCAATGAACAGGACCTTCTGCATGTAATGAGTCGAGTTTTGAGTCGACTCAAAACTCGACTCAATGAACAGCACCTTCTCTCCGCACGTGAAGCCGCCCAGCTCCAGCTGTCCCATTCCCCCTCTCCAACCCCCTCTTCTCCCCCTTTTCCCTCCCTTTCCACTCACACGGGCAGCAGCCCCGCGTGCCAGTCGTTGGCAATGAATAAGACCTTCTCCCCGTACGTGAACCCGCCCAGCTCCAGCTGCAGGGGGGCCTCGCACGCCGCATGGCACAGCAGCGTGAAGCGGAACTGGAGGAGGGGAGGAAGGGTGGAAGGGGAAGGGGGAGTGGGGGAAAGGGAGCAGTGAGGCATGGAGGCAGCATTTTCCCTCCGTAAGTGAACTCTCCCAGCTCCAGCTGCAGTGGGGCCTCGCAGGCTGCGTGGCACAGCAGCGTGAAGCGGAACTGGTGAGGGGGAAGGGAGGCAGGATGAAGGAGAACAACGCAGCGGGAATAATGAAAAAAGGGAGGCGGGGAAAGAGGGACAGTGAGGCATAGAGAGGGGCAAGGCAGCAGCACTCGTCTCAACAATCACGCATTCATACGAAGGGAAATCAAGTCTTGAGACGTCCCTTGAAGCGCCTCAAAGAGGTCAGGCATTGAACTCTGAGACATCTCAAAGCTGAATTGCATGAATGAACGAACAGCAGCCACGCACACGCATTCATGGGATGAGAGTTACGACATTGCAGCACCCAGCAACCAGAAAGCATCTCAGCCAGTCACCATCTCTCCCACCCGCCCACCTGGTTGTCGCCAAACGTGCCGTTCTGATCGCCATAGGGCGTGCCGGGGCGGTGGTACGATGGATGGTCGACAAATACCTACGATGGGGAAAGGGGGGAAGGGGAAACAGGGAGAAGGAGAGAGTGAGTGTGAGTGCTAGAGAGAGGGAGTGAGTGAGAGGGAGGGTGTGAGATGGGAAGGCAAGGTGTTAGGGCGGGTAGAAAAAAATGTTAAGGCGATCTGGGCAAGGCGTGGGGAAGAAACGGAAGGTGTTAAAAAGAGGACAGCCAGTCAGCCAATCTGGTCAACGCAGGTCAGGTCTTACTAAGTCAACGCCATCTCTGAACTCGTGGAAGAATGCCACCTCGTGTGGTGAGGTGATAGGGTGATGAGAACAAAGTCAACGCAGGTCAGGTCTCACAGACAGAGTCAAAGAAGGTCCTAAAAAGTCAACGCCAGTCTCTGATCTCGTGGAAGAAGGCCACCTCGTTTGGTGACGAGATGATGAAGAGGTGTGCCAGTGTGCGACACAGAGCAACTTAGCAAGTCAACGCAAGTCAACGCCGGCCTTACAAAGTCAACGCCGTCTCTGAACTCGTGGAAGAAGGCCACCTCGTGCGCACCCTCGAAGCAGAAACACTTGATGCGACACTGTGATCGTGCACACACAGGGCGGGAGGAAGAACAGGGGCGGAAGGGGGAAAAGGTGGGGGAGAGGAGGGAGAGACAGGGTAGAGAGAGACAGGAGGGAGGCAGGAGAAGAGATTTGGGAAATGAGAGTGGTGGAAAGTGGCGGAAGGGGCGGAAGGAAACAGATCAAAGACGGGGTGAAAGACCCTGTGGTTCATGTAGCGCTGCGCCACCACCATCACACGGTGCCCCCTCGCTGCCAGCATGCCCTCCCTACCCACCACTGCTCTGTGTCACCCCTACGTATTTGTGACTTGAGTGCCGTCCTATGCCACCCACCCACCTGCATGTCAAAGGCGCCCGCATAGAGCTTGTCAGTCACGCCGTTCATGTAGCGCGGCGCCACCACCATCAATCAGTGCGCCCGCGCTGCCAGCACAAGGTCCCTCCCTGCGCGTACCTATCATAACCATGTGCTGCCTTCCCTCCTCTATCACTCACCACCCTCCCATCTGCCAGCGCACCCCTTCACCCACCTGCATGTCGAAGGCCCCCGCGTAGAGCTTGTCAGTGACGCCGTTCATGTAGCGCGGCGCCACCACCATCACACGGTGCCCCCTCGCTGCCAGCGCTACGGGCAGCGACCCCACCACGTCCGCCAGCCCGCCCGTCTTGGAATAGGGAGCTACCTCGGATGCAACAAACACAATGCTGGAGGTAGCACGAGGGGTTGCACGAGGGGGACATGAGGTGAAAGAGGGGAGACATGAGGGGGAACGGGGGAAGATGAGGGGAGTGGAGCACTGGCACCAGTCCAGCAGCGCCACCACCATCACACGGTGCCCCCTCGCTGCCAGCGCCACCGGCAGCGACCCCACCACGTCTGCCAGGCCTCCCGTCTTGGAATAAGGGGCTACTTCAGATGCCACGAACACAATGCTGCAGTAGCACGAGGGAAAACGAGAGGGGAAACGGGAATGAGAGGTGAATGGATAAGCGGCAGCAGCGACCCCACCACGTCCCGCCAGCCAGCCGGATTTGGAGTAAGGAAGGCGCCACCTCTGACGCCACGAACACAATGCTGGAATCGACATTCTGTTCCATGTGGTTAACAACACATTATAGAACTAACACGGCCTGCCTTCTCACCGCACCTCACGCCTTTTCGCCGCATCTTATGGGATTTCCCGTCTTCGGGACGACGACCTCAAGGTGACCTTTAAGTCGACTCAAGCATCGCAAGGCGTTCGCATTCTTCTCTTGCGTTCAATGTGACCTTGGTTACTACTCATCGCAACTCACGCCTCCTCACCGCACCTCACGCCTTCTCACCGCACTTCACGCCTTCTCACCGCACCTCATGGGGTTATCCGTCTTCTGAACGGGCTCGATCCCGCCTGCTGCGATAATCTCGGGGTTGCCATCCGCCGCTGCTGACGTGGCGGCCTCCTGCTCCTCCGCCGCCGCCACCGCCTCCTGCCAGCTCCGCGCGCCCTCCGCCTCTGCCTCTGCAGTTGCGGGGAAGAGGAAACGGGGGAGACGAGGGGGGAGATGGGGGGTGGGAGAACGGGGTTGTTCATTTAAACTATCCCGCCAGCTTCGCGCGCCCTCCGCCTCTGCCTCTGCAGTTGCGGGGAAGAGGAAACGGGGGATGGGCAGAAGGGGGAATGGGGGAAGGAACGCAATGCTCAACAGCACCACGACCAACGCAACAACTAATACGGACACTACCTAGACCATAGCTTCTTGAAGTAACGGACGAAGTAACGGACCATGATAAGTGGCCACGAGGTATTCAGGTTCGACTGCAGCATTCAGCTCCTCTGAACGAACTCAAACAAAGAACGCAGCACCAACACTACCGATACTGCCAACACTACCAACATTACTACGACCGATGTTTCTGTAAGCCCCTGAAATTGGTCGTGCTAACACTAACAACGGACCTTCGACGAGGTATTCAGCTTCGACTGCAGCAACCTCCTCTGCAGGCACTCCCCCTACAGTCGTATCCAAATATTCGACCACAGGCGCTGCCGCGTACTCCGGCGGAGGCGGCGGCGGCACGGCGCCCAAGCGCGGCCTTGACACGTCGACATCCCCTTTAAAGGCGGTCTCGGCGCGGCGCGCATTGGCCGCGGCGGCCGCGGCTCGAGCTCGTAGCTGCTCGTTCTCCTCCGCGATTCGGCGAATCGTCTCCTCGAGCTCCTCCAGACTCTTTCCGGAATTTAAGGCGATGGCGTCATCATCGCTCGGAAGCGCGAAAGTCCTGACGGTGCGGCTCGATGAGGAGCGGTTTGCGGTCAGAGGAACGGCCTTGGAAACTGACGGTAACGAAGACGAGGATCCGCCGCGAGAGGACGATTTGACGGCGACTGACTGCTGGCTGGAAAGCGACGCCGAGGCGCATAGCGGCGGACGGACAAGAGACTTCGTAAGAGCCTCCATTGTCGCTAGGTTAAGCGACGCGAGGAGACGCGTCAGCAGTTGACGAGTTGAAGAATGCCCAGGCCCACACAATAAGGACACAGGCTGGGAACCTGTGACAGGAAATGCCTGGAACCTAAAACAAGCGGAAAATGGAGAGGGAGAAATGGTGTGGTGGGCTCTAGTCTAGGGTACGCCTGGTCTGGGCAGCACGTGAATTGTCTGCTGCGGGGGGCATTTCAGCAAGTGGGTGGAGGTGGGATGGGTGATGATGGAAGGTCAAGGCATGGATGAAAGGGAAAAGGGAATTGTCTGGTGCTGCCGAGGGAGTGGGATGCGCTTTCATGGTTTCAGGTGCGATCTAGGACGGTAAGAGGCGGTGAAATGTTGGTAAATTTGATCGGATATACTCTGTTTCTTCGATGGTGGTGATTGCGCGGGCTGCTTTTGGGAAAACGGGCAGACTCTGGTCCTCCTGAAAATGTGCTATTTCACGGGCAATATCTTGGGCCTCCTGAGATGGTTTACGGGGGCGCAGCGCTGCTGACACCACATGGCGCGAACTGTCGTGGGTTCCACATGGCCGAGGGCCAGCCACGCTGGCGAAGCCGCCCCCATATTTCAGCCACACGCTACGGATCAGAAAGCGCGTGCTCACGTGGCAGTAACCCCGACCAGGCTGGCACCAAATTATATGTTACAGTGATTAAATATATATAGCAAGCTCCACTATCTGTTGGCGTTTTTTTATTATCCAAAGTTTCTGGTTTACTGATTATATAAAAATTAACAGCTTTCTCACGCCTCTTATTTATCTGGACATCATTTTCGATCTTACACATAATTTGATTCTAGGGTCACTATCCATTAGCACCTAGGCAGCCTACCGTAAACGCTTATTCAACTAAGCACTACAATCTCCTTAGCAAGAGACGGATGCTTCAAAACGGATACACGCAGCATGTCATTCGACCTTTGCATGCGAAGCGCGAGCCGCGCCGCCAAGGGAAATTTGGTTCAAATGGCTTGGCGGCAATCTCTGAAACTGACCACGGAAAAGCACACATCTAGCCGCCATATTACATTTCCTTCCACATCGTGCAGCCCCCAGACCCCAGCCATTCTCCTCGCAACCTCCTCTTCATCTCTCCTCCCTTTCTTTCATGGTGGCGTTCTGCTGCTTCGCTGATTCTGAAATGGTGGGATAATCGCTCGTATTTGAGCCGTCAAGGCGAAAAAACGTACTTCCACAAGTCTTCGTCGCAGACTCAGGCCTTGCTGTCCTGCAGTTGCTTCTTTTCTCCCAGGTCGCCATCGTTACTACCTCCTCGCTCTCACCTCCTCGGAAACGCAGAGTTTCTTAGTCAATGCTAGTCGGTTCCTCGCTTCATAGTCTTCCATGAGCAGCTCGCTTTAGTGAGTCGCAGCGCTTGACGATAGCTCTGATCACAAGCTCCTTCGTATAGAAGTAAAAGCGATCAGACAGCCTTGATCCTTGCAACAGGCACCCAATCGCGATTTGTCCGTACGGATCTGGCAGCCATGGCTAGTAGTACATTCGGCCGTAGTACTACTACTAGTACCGCTAAACGACGGGCTGTTGAAATTCCACGGTCGGCGCTGTCTGACGTCACCAATGACACGGCTAATCAGCCTACTAGAAGTGATACGAGCAGTAAAGTCACTCTGCTGCCCGCTACTAATAGTAGCAGTATAATGACTCTGTCGCCCACGGCAACTGCCGATCGCAAGCGTAAGAAAGGCAACAATTCCGCAAGAAGTGCGCCGCCAGATGAGGTTGGGGAGGTGGCTAGCGACGTCTATGCAGTAGCTGTGGTAGATCCCCGCACGACCGGGACTGGTGCGACTCATGCGACTCTTGCGACTAATGCAACTCCTGCGACTCATGCAACTCCTTCGATGCATGGGTCGTCTCCAGCGTCAGCGCAACCTGCGACGACAACTGCGTTTACACCAGAGGCAACACCTGCGGCGACACCTGCGGCGAAATCTGACGTGATACCTGAAGCTGTTCGAGAGTGGAGGTTAGATCTGTTATTACATGAATGCGACGATTACTTCGGCGATAACGACGGCGATTCGATGACGACAGCGGGCGGCTTATCTGGCACCGCGGACGATGCGGAGAGAGCGTACGGGCCGGAGAACGCGGACGGTGTGGGCGACAGCAGTGACGGCGGGGCAGACGCGCTTCGCAGCGAGGTTACAAAGCTCCTCCTCGCGTCGCACAGCAGCGACGCCGGCGCGGACGGTGCGGACGGCATAGTTGGCGCGGACGGCGAGGGGAACGCAGACGGCGCAGACGCGCTTCGCAGCGAGGTGTCGAAACTCCTCCTCGCGTCGCCACATCCTTCGGACGACCAGGAAACCCCCGAGATGATCCGCGGCAAGCGCAAGTCGCGGCTGACCGCGCGGGACAGTCCGACAGTTACTAGCAGTACCCCCCCGACAACTGAGACTCCCCACAGCCCGACGACGGAACCAATGGCGTTTGTCATTGCAACCGCTGCAACTACGACTGCGTCTGCGACTGAGACTGCGGCCGCGACTACGAATGCGACTGGGGCTGTTGCGACTGCTACTGCGACCCCTTCCGCTGAGACCAGCCGTGCTGACTCTCACACGTCCTCGTCAGCAGGACCCTCTTTCGTCCGCGCGAACGGCGCGGAAGGAGCCAGCGCGAAGGGCGGGAGCGCGTCACACTTAATTGCGTGCCCCACGTCAGTGCAAACAGCTGCAGTTACTGTAGCAGCAGTGGCAGCAGGAGCAGGGAACGCAGGGAAGCGGCCTCGTGCAACGTGGCAGGTGAATAGCGAGGTTGGCAGCGCCGTGCTGGTGCGTGAGCAGGGACTGCCAGCAAGGAACTACTGGCGCTACCATGCTCGAGCTCTGCCGGTGATGCAGGCAGTGCGCGCAGAGCAGGCAGTGCGGACAGGCTTGGGGGTACTACCCGCTCCGTCCACAGTTGACAGGCTTATTGCCGCCTCTTCCAACCCCTCTCCCCTAGACAAGAAGCCATGCCTCCTGGTCAGCAGTAGCCGCAGCCTCCGCCCTCCGCGCCCTTGTTCCCCCAAGACGCGCGGGACACAACTCCCTGGTGGTACTGCCGATCCCTCCCGTCAAGCTGCCTGCTCTCCGCCCTTCGGACCCCCATCTCCCATGATGTGCGCTCCAAGCCACCCAATTGCCCGAAACGCGAATTTTCCGCCTCAGATTACCTGCCTTGAATCACCTGCCTTGCTCCCGGGTGCCGTCTATGATTGTAGCAGTGCTGGGATGTGCACAGGTAGCACCTCTCCCGGGTCTCCTGTTGGTGGTCGTGCGAGTCACCATGGGTCAATGTGTCAATGTAAGGAGGTGGAGGTGGCATCTGGCCTGAAATAAGCTTAGGGCTGTGAGTAGAGGCAGCAGAGAAGGTTCTTGAAGGGCGTGAAGGTCATGGCAAAGGAGGAAGAGGGAAAGGCTTTATGATACCAGTGTAACTTCTAGGGACGTGGGCAGAAAAGGGCATTGATTTGTTCTTTATGAAGTGGGCTGGCTGAGTTTGGCTGGGTAGATTTGGGTTTGGTTGGGTTTCCTACATGGAAGTTTCGGTGGTGTTAGCTAGGGGCATGGACCTAGTTCTCGGAGTTCCAATGTTGCTGTCGTGGTGTGCTGATGGCTTTCTTGGGCTGGGTGGTCTGCATGATGAAGATAGGCGCCACGGCTCAAGGCTACACTTGAGCCTTTCTTCTTTGCGAGATTGTCTTTGTTATCGTAATGCATTAATGCATCACTTGTTCTGTACCAGATAGACACTGAACAATCTTGTGGTACCGGTAAAATCCCTGGTGTAGTTGGTGACGTCGTACCTTGGTTAGCACCTCAGGATTTGCGCCCCACCCATACAGAGTGCAGTGCTTCACTTCAACCCTGGTATGCATACCGTAATTTACAAATCCCTACAGCGGGGGCACACTATGATTCCTCGGGGGTCACAATGCACACAGGGTCTTACAGACCAGCCATCCCTGGATAGCACCTCGCGACTGCCCGCACACAGAGTGCAGATAAGATACCGCAACCCGCCACATGTGAAGCAGCTCTTTCCTTGCTGCGCTGCATGCACCTTGATAGCACGGCTGGCAGCACGACTGGTAAAACGGCTGGCAGTTGCAGAGATTGAGTGTGCTGACGTAGCGCGGCTCAGGTTGCTGCCACTGCCACCTGGACGGGCGAGTGCACGCATGGCAGCAGAAGCTACCGCCACGTCAGCAACAGCAGCCGCGTTGCAGGAGAGGGAGCGAGGTGGAAAGCAAGCAGCAGAACCCAAGCCGCTGCTGCTACCCCTGCTGCTGCTGCTGCTGCTGTTGCTGCTGGTTACGACATTCCCTAGATGTACCTTCCCCATACGTTCCTCTGTACACCTCCCCAGATATACCCCCATTGCCTTCCACTGATGTACCTTCCCCATACGTTCCCTTGGAAACCCCTCCGGATATACCTCCACTGCCTTCCCCAGATGTACCTCTGTAAGCCTCCCCAGATGTACCTTCCCCAGATTTGCCTGTATAGGCTTCTACAGATGTACCTCCACAGGCTTCCGCAGATGTACCTTCCCCGGACACACCACTATAACCTTCCCCGAATACGCCTCCACTCGCCACGCTGTTGCTGCCACAGCTGCTGCCATAGCCGCCCGAGTACAGGGCAGCTGCTGGCACAGCAAACAGTGGCACGAATGGGCCTACCCCTGCAGGGCCTACCCCAGCAGGACCGCTCAAAGTGGTTAAAGCGGCAGGGGTATCCCTGGCAGCAACATTGCTGCCCGCATTATCACCTTCTGCGCCCCAATTGCTGCTATGGAACAGTGCTCTTCTCACGCTATACCTGCCAGTCAAGCCAGAGCCAGTCCTACCAGCCTCTTGCGACGCAGCAGTCTTATTGGCACGAGGGTCACCATCCCCTGACACTTTTGTGTGGCTGACTGCTGCTGCGGCTGCACCAGTAGTGGTGTCTACCGCTGCCACTTCAGTGGCTTTGCTCATTGGCACACAAGCAGCATCAGATGCAGTTTCTGCTGCAACTACAGCAGCCACAGCCACAGCCGCTGCAGCACCAGCAGCACTACCAGCAGCTTCAGCAGAAGTAGCTGCTTCTGCTGCTGCTGCTGCTGCTGCTGGTACTGCACCTTCTCCTGCTATCGCTGCTGCCCCTGCCCTTGGCTGTGGCGCTCCCCCACGTACCACGGCCACTGGGCCTATACAGCCAAATGCTGGAACCATTGTTACTAGAGCTGCTGCTGCTGCTCCTTCCCCAGCTTTTCCTGCTGCTTCTTCTCTTCCGCTTTCTCCTCCTTGCGCTCCCAATTCTTTTGCCTCTCTCGTCGACTCTCCAGCCGTTTCTGCTCCTCCTGCTGCTCTTCCTTCTCCCGTTCCACTTCCTGCCATCGCTCCACCTTCACTAACCCCACTCCTTCCCTCGCCAGCACCATCCGCCAGAGCAGCAGCGAGCAGCGGCAGAAGCAGCCCCTGCTCTTCAAGCCGCAGCACAGCAGCGGCGCCCCCAAGGCAGTGGCCAGCAGCAAAGAGGTGCGGCAGGGAGAGAGAGGAGCGGCCTATGAGGGCTCTCAGCTGCTGGCGGTAGGGCAGATGGAGAGACACGTCCCTCTCGTGAAAGGGGATGCTGTGCACCTGCATGGGGGAGGGACGAACGGGAGGGGAGCGAGCAATGAGGGAAGAGGGAAGAGGAGAGCTGGGAAGGACTGGGTTGGCGGTAGGGCAGATGGAGAGACACGTCCCTCTCGTGAAAGAGGATGCGGAGGGCCTGATTGGGGGAGAGAAGAAGGGGAGGGGAGAGAGCAATGAGGGAAGAGGGAAGGGAAGAGGAGACCTGGTTGAGACTGGATTGGCAGTAGGGCAGATGGAGAGACACGTCCCTCTCGTGAAAGGGGATGCGGAGGGCCTGATTGGGGGAGAGAGGAAGGGGAGGGGAGAGAGCAATGAGGGAAGAGGGAAGGGAAGAGGAGACCTGGTTGAGACTGGATTGGCAGTAGGGCAGATGGAGAGACACGTCCCTCTCGTGAAAGGGGATGCGGAGGGCCTGATTGGGGGAGAGAGGAAGGGGAGGGGAGAGAGCAATGAGGGAAGAGGGAAGGGAAGAGGAGACCTGGTTGAGACTGGATTGGCAGTTGGGCAGATGGAGAGACACGTCCCTCTCGTGAAAGGGGATGCGGAGGGCCTTGGGGGAGAGAGGAAGGGGAGGGGAGAGAGCAATGAGGGAAGAGGGAAGGGAAGAGGAGACCTGGTTGAGACTGGATTGGCAGTAGGGCAGATGGAGAGACACGTCCCTCTCGTGAAAGGGGATGCGGAGGGCCTGATTGGGGGAGAGAGGAAGGGGAGGGGAGAGAGCAATGAGGGAAGAGGGAAGGGAAGAGGAGACCTGGTTGAGACTGGATTGGCAGTAGGGCAGATGGAGAGACACGTCCCTCTCGTGAAAGGGGATGCGGAGGGCCTGATTGGGGGAGAGAGGAAGGGGAGGGGAGAGAGCAATGAGGGAAGAGGGAAGGGAAGAGGAGACCTGGTTGAGACTGGATTGGCAGTTGGGCAGATGGAGAGACACGTCCCTCTCGTGAAAGGGGATGCGGAGGGCCTGATTGGGGGAGAGAGGAAGGGGAGGGGAGAGAGCAATGAGGGAAGAGGGAAGGGAAGAGGAGACCTGGTTGAGACTGGATTGGCAGTAGGGCAGATGGAGAGACACGTCCCTCTCGTGAAAGGGGATGCGGAGGGCCTGATTGGGGGAGAGAGGAAGGGGAGGGGAGAGAGCAATGAGGGAAGAGGGAGGAGGAGAGCTGGGCGGGACTGAGCTGGCGGTAGGGCAGATGGAGAGACACGTCCCTCTCGTGAAAGGGGATGCGGAGGGCCTGATTGGGGGAGAGAGGAAGGGGAGGGGAGAGAGCAATGAGGGAAGAGGGAGGAGGAGAGCTGGGCGGGACTGAGCTGGCGGTAGGGCAGATGGAGAGACACGTCCCTCTCGTGAAAGGGGATGCGGAGGGCCTGATTGGGGTTGGGGAAAACTGAGAGGGACCGTGAAGCAGAAAGATGGAGAGAACAACGAGGGGGAGAGGGGGTGATGATGTGTGTGGGGAAAGAAGAGGCGCATGCGTTGTGGTCTCTTCAGAATCCGTTTCCCTGCTTCTCTCCAATTTCCTGTCGTTTCTCACCTTGAGCATCTGCCTGACAGCGCAGCACGCCTCAAAGTTGCTCCGCACAGTTCTTAGCATAGACACACGCAGCACCAAACACAGCACCCATGAAACACCATCTCACCTTGAGCATCTGTCTAACCGCGCAGCATGCCTCGAAGTTGCTCCTCATAGCCCGCAGAGTCGTCACATACAGCACCACCCCTCTCTCCCCGCCTGGCGGACACCTCCTCTCAAATGAGGACAAAAGCGCACGTGCTGCTGCAGCTGCAGCCTGCTCTTCTATTGGAAGTGATGGTGCTGCAACAGGTGACAGTTTCACTGCTGCTTCGTCTGCTGCTGCTGCCTTTGCTGCTTTAGCTGCCGCTGCTTCAGCAGCTGCAATCTGTGCCCCAGTCGATGCAGCAACCGAATTTGCAGCCGATGCTGGTGCTGATTGTGCACCCTTCTCTTCCTCATGTCCAGCAATCCTCCATTCCTCTTCTTCCGCTTCTCTCCCTGCTGATTCCTCTGCTACTGCTGCTACTGCAGCTGCTCTTTCCCCCTGTGTTTTCCCCACCCCTGCCTCTGCCACTCCAGCTCTCCTCACTACTGCTGCTGCTTCACGAGGTGACTTATGATTCGACTCAGAAGCCACCCCTGCCCCTGCCACTCCAGCACTCATCACTACTGCTGTTGCCTCACAGTTCACTACTTCACATCCTTCCTCTACCCTTGCTGCCCTCACCTCTCTCCCAATCTCTTCCGCCTTGCCCCCAGCACTATTCCCTACAGCTGCACCCTCCCCTCCCCTTCCTTCTTCGGCCTTCAAGGCACCCGCCCCCTCTCCTCCCCTCCCCCCCTCGGTATCAAGGGCAGCAGAGGAGAGCAGGCGGCGCAGAGAAGCACTGTTCACGCCAATCCGCCAGCTGGCACCCCCAACAGCGGCAGCAGAACCACCACCAGCACCACCAGCAGAGCCACCACCAGCAACAGCAGCACCAACAGCAGCAGCAGCACCAGCCGCAGCAGCAGCAGCAAGGCCGCCACCACTACCAGAGCCGTTGCCCCGTGCACTGGTATGAGCACTCAAAGCAGCGCCAGCAGAGAAACGGAGGCTGCTTATAGAGAGGAAAAGCAGCCGGCCAGGACTGCCCTGTGAATAGAGACTGTTACTGCTACTCTCAGGACGAGAGTGGTGGTGCTGCTGGGGACTAGTGCACCCGTGCGCAGGTACACGTGGGGACGCATCGGCAGGGATGAAAGCAGAATGGCAGCTACTGGAGCTGTGGGACTGGACTGCTGGTGCGTGTGCATGTGCATGTATTGGTGCGTGTGCCTGCACTGCTGCCTGTGCTTGAATCGGTGCTAGGGTGCTTGGGCTCGCTGGGCTTGCAGGCATGTCTGACTTTAAGCGCCTGTGCTTGTACGGGTGGCTGTGCTTGTAAGGGCTGCCGTGCTTAAAAGAACTGCTGTGACTGTAAGGGCTTGTGTGCTTATAAGGGCTTGTGAGTTTATAGGGGCTAGTGTATTTTGTAACCCCACCCCTTGGGCTAGGAGGCAGCTTCGGACTCATACACTCGTCTGGGCTCGGCACCTCTTGTAGGCTCGGCACCTCCTGTAGGCTCGGCACCTCCTGTAGGCTCGGCACCTCCTGTAGGCTCGGCACCTCCTGTAGGCTCGGAACCTCCTGTAGGCTCGGAACCTCCTGTAGGCTCGGTACCTCCTGTAGGCTCGGCGCTACACTCGACACACTCCCAGGAACCTGCAGGTCTTCTGCTAGCCCCGGATCCTCGAGACTCGCATCCGTATCCGTGCTGCCTTGCATCTCCTTTGTGCTTTCGCCTTTCTCTGGGCTGATGGGCAGGGTGACTTTGCTCCAGTCAGCAGCACTATGGCGATTAAACACATCCTCCATTGAGGCGAGTAAGTCTGGATCAAACACAAACCGCTCCCTTGCCTCTCCCTCAGTACTAGCATATTTGGTAGCAGCACCAGCAGCACCAGCAGCCCCAGTCATAGTACCAGCGGCTCTCTCACCCAGTCCAATCCATCCCTCTGCAGTACCTCTGCCCTGCTTTAATCTACTCCCAGTCGATTCATCCCCCTTTCGCTTGCCAGCCCGTTTAGTCACCTCTCTTCCATTGGCCTCAAATGGTTTTTCATCGAACTTTGTAACCACGCTTGCTTTACTCCCAGCCACTTCATCCCCTTCTCCTTCCCCCGGCCTCTCGCCCCCCACTCCTCCCTCAACCGCTTTTTTAATCCCACCTTCCTCCTCCATCCCATTCCCTTCTACACAAGGCATGGCCACTACCCCTGAACCCTCCTCTTCCTCCTCCTCCCCATCCGCCTCCATTCCAATCACAACCATACTCCCCGCGCTCCTCTCCCCCACGCCCTCCCTCCTCGCCTCTTCCATTCTGCTCATGGCTCGCCTACTGCTCGCCAGGAGCGGGCTCAACCCACGCCCCTGCTCTTCTTCCTCACCCTCTGCCGACCCTCCACGCATTACCACCGCCCTGCTTTCCTCCAGGAGTGATTTCAAAGCGCCCGTACCAACAGCCAAGGTGCTGCTGTCAGTAACGGACAGGTGGGCTGCGGATTGCAAAGCGCCCGTATCTGCAGCCACGGCGCTGCTGCTGCCTGCCGAGAGGGGATTCAACCCTCTAACCTCCCCACCCTTCACTGAGTCTCCATCCCCCTCCAGTACCCCTGCACCAGCTGTGTGCTCCGCCTCCCTGTCCTCTCTCTCCTCCCTCTCCTCTCTCTCCTCCCTCTCCTCCCTCTCCTCCCTCTCCTCCCTCTCCTCCCTCTCCTCCCTCTCCTCCCTCTCCTCCCTCTCCTCCCTCTCTTTCCTCTCCTCCCACTCCTCCCTCTCCTCCTCCCTCTCTTCCTCCTCCCTCACCCCCTCTCCGCCCCTCTCGTCCCTTTTCATCTTTTCCTCCCTCACTTCCTCCCTCACCTCCTCCTTCACTTCCTCCCTCATTTCCTCCCTCACCTCCTCCTCCCACTCCTCCCTCACTTCCTCCCTCACTTCCTCCCTCATCTCCCCCCTCACCTCCTCCGTCCCCTCTTCTCTCAGCCATGCCAGCACGCCCACGCTCACCAGCCCCCAGTACCGTCCCTTCCCACCTCCTCCCTGCCCTTGATCCACCCTCCCCGCCTCGCCCCCTGCCCCTCCTGCTTCACCCTCCCCTTCATCTCTCCTCGTATGCCCCCCTGCCCCATCTGCGTCACCCTCCCCTTCTTTCCGCCTCGCCTCTCCTCCTGCCCCACCACCTTCGACCTCCTTTTCTTCCCTCCTCGCATCTCCCAACCCTCCCTCGTCGTCCTTCCGTCTGTCCCCTTCTCTCTCCTCACCTTCCTCTCTGTCAACCCAAATCCTCCCACCCTCCCAGTTCCCCCCATCCTCTCTCTCCTCGTTCTTCCCTCCATTCTTATCAACATCCCTCATCTCCTCCCCATCCTCCGGTCCCTTCCCCTCTTCCAACCCCTCCCGGCCATCAGCCCCCTCCTTATCTTTTACCCCTTCCCCTTCCACCACTCCCCTTTCCTCCTCCACACCCTTCCCATCATCCACTCCCTCACCATCATTTAGATCCCTCAAACGCGCATATCGCTCCTCCCTCTCCTCTCCCTCCTCTCCCTCCTCTCCCTCCTCTCCCTCCTCTCCCTCCTTCTCCCCTTCCTCCCCTCTCGTGCCCTTTAAACGGCTCTCCCCACACGTCCCCCCGTCAACCTCCTCCCCCTCGCCCCCGCCTCCCCACTCCACCGCACTCCCCTCCGCCCCGGCCACATCCCTTCCCCCATTCCCCTCCACCTCCACGTCGTTCGACTGAACGCTCTCCTCTAAACCCGCCTCCACCGCACCCAACTCCTCCAAACATCCCTCGTCCAACCATGACACTTCCCCACCACCTCCCCCACCTCCGCTTCTTCCCCCCCTCCGCCCCTTCCTCCCCCGTACCCCTCCCAAAGCCCCTCTCCTCCCCCGCCCCCTGTCCCTGCCCCTGCGCTTATCCCCTGTGCCTCTCCCCTCACCCACCCTGCCACCCTGCGCCTTAAATCCCCCATTCCCCTCCTCACCCTGTGCGTTGCTTTCCCCCCTGTCCCCTTCCGCGCACCCTTCCGCCTGTTTCCCCGGCCCTGCGGTTGTAGAACAAGCCACGGAGCTCGAATACGCGATAGAGCCACAGTCCGTTACAGTGCTACACTCCGTCACAGTGTTACACTCCGTTACAGCCACCACAGTAGCACCATCGCCTGCACCGCATTGGCGAGCAACAGCACTCCGTTCTACCGCTGCCACAACCTCCCCACCGCACTCAACGGCACGAGGAGCTAACAGCACCTGCTCGTCCTGGCCATTGTTATCAGCACCCAACTCGTGGTCCGTTTGACAATGCTGCGAATCTTGATAAGGTAGCGAAGCTTGACGTTGCTGCAGCTCCTGAGTTCGCTCGGGCTCCTGAGTTTGCTCCTGCTCTTGAGTTTGCTCTTGTAGCTGACGCTGTGGAAGCTGCTGGGGTTGCGGAGAATGTTGGGATTGTGGAGAATGGGGGGATTGCAGGGGCGGCAAGTGGGACTGGTCTGCTGCACTCCCTCCATGCCCCTGCTGCTGCCGCACGGCTGCTCGCTCTTCTCCCTCCTTTTCACCGACCCCCTCAAAGTCCGCCACTCCGCCCGCCTCACCCTCCACCCCGTCTGTCTCTCCTCCCACCTCACCCCCTTGCCTGTCGCGTTCTTCCCCCTCACCCTCCTCCCCATCCGCCTCTCCTCCCACGTCCTCCCTCTCCCTGTCCGCTTCTCTTCCCCCTTCCGCCGCCTCCTCCCCCTCCCCGTCCGCCTCCCCTCCCCCTTCCGCTTCTTCCTCCCCGTCGCTGAGCCCCTGCAGCAGGCTCATCACGTCGATCGCCTCGGGGGTGGGGCTCCTCCGCTGCTGCGCGCACGCTTCTTCCGCCTCAAGCTTCGGAGTCCGCGCAAAATCCCCGCCGGGGCTCATGCCTGCTGCAACGTCGACCGCCTGGGGGATTGGGCTCCTCCCCCGCTGTGGGCGCGCTTCTTCCGCCTCACCGCATTCCCCCCATCTATCCCCATCACCCACTGTCGGGTCGGATTCCGCTCCTGTCGCTGTGCCCGCACACCCGGCTGTCGCTGGTGGGAGAACGGTTTCGCACAGCTCGCGAATGTCGCCAGCTTCGCATGCGTCGCACTGATCGCCTGGAGCAGGGATGTGTGAAATCTCTTTTGCGAACTTGTCGCCACCTGGATCGTTGATGCACTGCTGGACGGAAGACGAGGCATGAGCGGCATCGCAACCGCTGGGATGCGGAAACGGCGGATCCGCCTGCGACGCATGCGACTGATGTTGCGACAACGAAGTCAACACGTGCGAGGAATCTTCTAGGAAGCCACTATCCAGCAGCCACCGACCAGAACTATCCTGAGGCTTTTCTAAAGCTGACGTGCTCTCTGGAGGAACTGACGGCTCTCCAGTCGGTCTGTCGGCCGCCGTCAGTGAAACGACGGATTCCGTTACATTCTGACAGCCGTCGTCCGAAACCCGACAGCTGGGGATGGAGCTGATGTCAGCAACGGAACCTCCGCTTTCCCGGCCGCAGCAGAACAGCCAAAAGAAATTTCCACGTTTCTTCCGTTTCCTGACCTTCCGAGCGTCGTTACTGACACACAGCCCTGGCGAATCTCGACCGTCCGTTCTTCCCCTGCGAGGTTCCCTGGATCTGGGCGAAGAACTGTGGTAACCCGTCCGGTGGCGGTCTCGCGAGGGTGATTTCTGACGGTGAAGGCGAGATGAAGAGCGGTGGTTGAACGGAACGGACAAGGAGGAACCCATGCTCAGGCGATGGGAAATGAATTCTATATCGTGTCAGAATATGCCTGGTAAAAAAACAGATTTTTTCGCGGTGACGGTGAGAGGAAGGGTTTAAGCTGAGAGGAACGGACAAGGTAGAACCCGTAGTGGGGAGATCTTGTATAATCGTTACCATCGACTTTTGATCCAACGTTTTCCAGATTCAAACGCTGGGTATAAAGACGCAAGAACGCATTTCACCGGAATGACTGTATATAAATGTACGAGAAGCCAGTCGCAGCAGTCGCAACAGTCGCGAAAAGCTTCGAGATGCAAAGGCCCACCGCCAAGTATAGTACAATCTGTCTGGTAGTTTTTCGTTCACGTGGAAGAAAGAAAGAATTTGTGCGGAGGTGCTCGAGATGAGCACCTGCAACACGCTTCAGCAGAATACGGCTTTTCTCAACCGTTGCAAATACTGCAAACACATATAGGCTCCCTCCCGAGTCCCGACCATGCGAGCCGTTTATCAGTCATGCACAGCTGTGCGTTGCTCTCGGTTCTCAAAGAGGCAATGAGTCATTTCTCTGCTGCTGAATCTGGAATCCGGAATCTGATAGAAACCTGTCTTCGTACAACGTGGATGGTACATGCGGAGGGATATCTTTTCAGAGAAGAAGGCTCAGTATGGCTTACGAGGAATGAAACATGAGGCAAACATTATCAATGGCCTCACACTTACGGTAAGATCCTCAGGTACTTTCTGTAATTACTACACGCGGTTCAGTCTGTACACGACATGAGAGCATTACGTACGACCAGGCCCCAAATGACCAGCATGCCTGTTCGGCTCGCACGGTTCAGCAGCAACCAGGCACACTTCCAGGCACGGCGAGCAACAAACCACAGACCGGATCTCATCATCCCACGGCTCACATTCCTTTTACCACCGTGCTTCGTTCGATTTCCCAGTCAAAGTCGGGTTCCCGCCACAATTAAGGCTCGTGTTACCAGAGCCTGGCTCGGCAGGAAAATTTGATTGGTGCAAGCACAACCTAGGCCGAACCAAGTGTTTCATTTCTTCTGACACATGGTTCGCGAAACTGACAACGTAGGTTCGGTATATCTTCTCGATAAAGCGATGTTTGAGGTTGCGTGCGACCGCAACCAGACTAGATTCTTCACCACATACCACTAGCTTATTTACAACAACAATGCACTGCTCACCATGACAATATTGCGGCATTTCTGTACGAGCCGTTTGCAGTCCCAGTCGCAGCGCGCGCGGCGGGGAAAGATTTCGCTTTTCGCTTCAAATTCAAACGGCATGGCGGCAAGACAAACCATCTTTCACTTCATCCATGAACACAAACAGCTCATCGTGGCCGTCAGAAATTTGACCTCTCCACTCGTGCTCACAATCGAACGCTTATTGGGGCATGACTAGAATTCGTTGTTGTCCATTCCATGCCTGGGTGCTGCCTGCCAGCTCCCTACCTTCCTTCCCACCCAGCTTCCACTTGCAATAGCCCACCTCAGAATTCGATTGTAGCCAATTTTTGGCCTTGTGACTTGATTACCTGCTTGAATACCAGAGCTCGCAGTAGCTCATTCAGACATTACCCCTTGCCTTCTTCTTTCTGGCAGTTGCCAAGTAGTACTTGCTCGTCTTCACTCTATATTAATTTGCTGAAGGTAGTTTTCGGGTTAGTAAGGAAATCTCCTAACTTCGTCAGCGCTACGACTGAGTCCGTTAGTAACAAGAAACTTTCTCGCGACGCTCGCAAGGCGGATTCATCAGAAACTTTATCGCGACGCTCGCGAAACTGCCATGGCTGTCGATACGCCCGTACTTGGCGTGCGTACTCGCAGCAGGGCCCGAGCTCAGTTGTTCTCCAGTCCCGTCCCGCCAGGTTAGCAGAGCCTGCTGACCCCTTTCCTTTCATTTTATCGCCTTCTGTTCACTTCGCTCCTTCTGTTCAATTCGCAAGTTTCGTTTCTTCCTGTGCTAAATCTCGTCCTCCAGTTTACTAACCTAATATATAAGCTTCCTCACTTCAGGAACGACGACACCGATGCCGACCCAGCGAAAGCCAACAACTGCTAAGCGACAGCCTGCGAGAAATCCTCGTCCGCGACCTGCTCTATCTGACGTCACCAACGACACGTCAGCCGAGATCACTACATCCAGCAAGCCTACTCCGCCTTCGCCGGTAAACGCGGCGGTGCTTCCTTCGAAGCCACCCGTCGTGCCTGCTGATCCCTGCACTCCTGCACCTTTGACTTCTAAAGGATCGAGACTGATCGACGGTGCACATGACGACGGTGCTGAAGCTCTCCGGAGCGAAGTTTCAAAGCTGCTGCTCTCGACGCCGTGTCAGGAGGAGACCCCCGAGATTGTCGCGAAGAGCCGGTCGAAGCTGACGAGGCAGAGCAGCACGCCAGGTTGGAATGGCGACAGCCCGAGCAGCCTGGCGACGCTGACAAGGCAAAACACCATCGCGCGCTGCTACAGCATCCAGGAACCGATTTACGCGACGTATGGCGACGTCGTTGGCGACGATGGTGTCAGTGGCAATGGTTTCGCGCACCTCGACCTGTGCGACCCGTGCGACCGCACTCCGCAGGCCGAAGGTCCTCTCCGGCGTCGCAGAGCAGCAGCTATGGCTTCGCCTACAGTCATGTCCGCCGTTAAGGGCTCGGCAACGCTGACGTCATTGCTGAGCCTCTACGCTGCGCCGACGCCCCACAACTCCCCCGAAGAAGCCCCCGCTCCCGCTCCCGCGCTCGTCCGTTGCGCCACCTCCCCTATCCCGCGCGCTAGGTCCCCCATTCCCCGCTCCACGTCGTCAATCGGCGGTGTGGCGGGTTCCGCGGGGGGAATTTTGGCGGAAGGCGGAACCGGGAGGCGGACCCGCTCCAAGTGGCAGGTTGGCGGGAAGATCGGTGCTGTGCTGGGGAAGGACCCCGCGGGACTGTTGGCGGCTATTAATGCTATTCGCGAGGTGAGAAAGGGATAAAACACGATTGAAGTTCCTCTCTTCAACACGTTTAAGATCAGCATAATTTAATAGTTTCCCTTATCCAATCTGACCGTTCGCTCTTGCGCATCTCTTGTGTCCTCCTGGTCCGTGCAGCAGCATCGTGGCTCACAGCAACGTCATTACGGCGCTACTGATGAAAGCGGATCCGCAACAGTGACCCGCAGCCTGCGCTCCTCACTCGCCTCCCAGCTCTCCTCCCCCGCGGTTCCTGCGGGCATCCCCCCGGCGAACCGTCGCGCCCCTAACTCCGCCGCCCCTGGAACGGGAGGGCCGCGCGTCCTGCGCCCCCGCTCCCCCTCCCCGTTGCGCCTGGCGCGCAGTCCTCGGGCGCTCTCTTCCCCTGCCCCTGACCAGGGCGTGCCGCCGATTTCTCGTTATCAGGATGAGATCCCAGACGTTGCTGGTAATATCAGTGCTGTCAGTGCTGTCAGCACTCCGTTACGCACGCCTGCAAGTCAACGCGGGTCAAGGAGTGGTGGGGATTCTCCGCCTTGGTCCACGCAAGTCAATGTTGGAACGCCTGGGAGCAGGCGGAGGGGTGGGTGGGCGCTGAGAAGGTCGGAGGATGAGGAGGTGGAGGAGGAGGGAGAGGGGGCTGTGAAGGGAATGGAGGGGGGAAGGGGGATAGTGAGGGAGCGGCCTCTGAGCAAGGGGCTGTTGGATGCTCTTGAGAGGATGGGATTAGAGGAAGAGAGCGCCGTTGGGGGCCCAACGGAGTAGCAGAATTGTGAGTGGAAAGTGGGAGGATAGCTCGCAGCATGGTTAGGAGTCTGCTAGTCAGTTCCCTCCTTGGGGACTGGGTCAGGTAGCTTGCCGGATATAGCATGACATATTGTAGGATTGCAATTATTTTCCCTTATTTGTTATTCTTTATTAGGGCTCTGGTTGTAAAGTCAACCATTTCCCCATGGTTGCTTAGTTGCCATGTAACCTTGCCAAAGTACTTTTCGTTATTTGAAATTGACTTAGCGGTCAGTCCCCTTCGTCGCATTTCGTTCCCGAGGTACATCTCCAAAACGACGCACTTGGATTGGCTGGAGATGTCCACAATATTCTCGATGACTCTTCGCGCCACACAATCAAACCTACTTGCATCGAATCCGCTCCCCGTGCCTCGTCACATCCAGGTCAGCTCATCTGTACTTCACACCGTTCTGCTTGCGTGTCCATCGGCCTTTTCGCCACGCCGCCTCGAGAACCTCGAGATTGCCACCACCGCAGCGCGGACGCAGGTCCACCAATCTTCAACGGGCAGACATCGTCGTCCCCCAGAAGCCTGACGCCCACTTTCACCATCATCATCTTCCAAGCACTGCAGACATAAATGCCGAACTCAATAGCTAGCCATGACATCTCACACAACCGAGAATCAAAGTTCTAGAACCTTTCGTACCGCTCTTGACGCTCTATCAACTTCCAGTTCAAAGCTCTGCTCGTCGGGAATAAGCTGCTATTGCTGACTTCGTTGGGGCACACTAACCGTCTCATTACTCAGCAGATTTCCTCGTCCGCCCAAATGTTAGCGATAAATCCCACTAGCCTCGTCGTCTAAATTCCGTTTGTGCTTACATTACAATCCTCTAGAATCACGAACTCGCTTCTCTGTCTTACGTACTCTCGTTTTCACTCGTCGCAAGAGCTCGACTCGAGGAGTCCACACCTACTCTAGCGCCATCCATAGGTTCTACTGCCGACTCGGAGTTTGCATTTGTTCTGTAATAAGATTTGTCGAGCTTCCCTCATGGCTGCGCATGTCGCGTTGAGCTCTCCAATCGTGTCTTCCTCCGCACTTGGGCCCTCGCGCCACCGAATCGCGATAAAGCACAGCTTGTCCTTGGTCGGCGGCGGAAAACCCGGAGGTTTCAGAGTCAGCCGCAGAAAGCCTTCGTGTTTTGATACGCCTCGAAACGCTCTGACTAGGTATCCCAAGAACCAGGATGATCAGGGTCCCCTCAATAGATTCCACTCTCGATCGCTTTCTTCCGCCACGCGGACTGCGGCGGCCTCCCCGGCCGCCATGGCCGTTTCACTCGAGCCGCCGCCGACGAGCGCTAGCACCGCAGCAGCTGCAGATTCCGGGGGGAAGAGAACGAGAAGGCAGAGGAAGCGCAGAACCGGGTCGAACCCAGACGATTTTGCCTTGACCAATGAAGATTTGCTTAAGCGCTTATCGGACCAGCAGGCAGATAGCGCTTCAAATCCTTATGGTACTACTGCTGGTACTCCCCTCTTGAAACTCGATCCCTCTGCGACGGGGTTGTCGCTCGTCGCAGAGGTCGCAGCTTTCCTCGTGCGACTAGACGACGCGGAATCAGCGTCGTCATCGTCGTCGCCGTCTCCGTCGTCGTCGCAGGCTTGGAAGAGCTCTGCAAACGATTTTGACGGCGACGCGGCGCGGTTAGAAGTCACGCGGGAAGTGCGCGAGCAACTCGAGGCCGCGTGGAATCTCAGCCCCAGCGACGCTGGGCGCGGCGCCAGGCGGAAACTTGTCAAGGGGCGGCGGTTTTTGTCCGCTTCTGCGACGAAGCTGCCAGCAGGGGGGGTGGCTGAGGGGGAAACAGATGTGGCCGGAAGTGTGGCGGAAATGGATCCCGCAGCGCGGAGGCGGGCGATGCGGAGGAGGTTGCGCGCAGCTGCCCTTGCGATGGGCTTGCGGATGAGCGGAAACGCGCTGGGAATGGGGGAAGATGCGCGGGCGGAAGCGGAAGGTGAAATGGAGGAGGCGGAAGCCGATTCAGCTTCCCCGCGCGTAAGGGGAAGTGGCGGAGCGGGACGAGGTTCAGCGGGCGGGGGAGCGGCCGGGGGAAACGCGATGAGCGAGGAGGAGGTGGATGCGCTGATTCGTGACTATGGCGGGGGTGATACCGCGATGAACGTTGATTGGACGCAGCCGCGCTCGTTACTGCCGGCAAAAGAGGAGCTGCTATTGGCGGAGCTGATTCAGCGGGGAAATGTGAGTTGTGGGCGATGGGGGAAATTAAGGAATTGAGTCAAATTGTGTGTCCTGTAGATATGATTGGTGGAACTGATACAGTGTGGGAATCTGAGTGGTGGGCGATGAGAGGTGGATTAACGTAGCGCGTCGACTAGCTATGATTGCAGGAGATTGAATGACAGGAGTGCTACCATACCAATCCATCTAGTTTTTAGCTTCTTCCCCTCTTTCAGCAACCTTTCTGAGATGAGACGTCTCAAACTTCCCTCTCCTCTTACAACGCCATTGGTGTGTGGTATACCTTTTTCAGGAACTGGAGGAGCGAGCTAAGATAGCTGCAGCCGCTACCAGGCCTGCGGGTTCTGCAGCCCTAACAGCAGCAGCCTCAGCAGGTGGTGAGGTGAATGCTGCTCGTGAGGCTGCTGAAGGCTTCGCAGATGGGCGTGGGGATGGGGAAGCAGACAGATATGCAGATGCAGAAGCTGAAGCAGATGCAAGCATTGCACGTTCGGAAGAGCAGCAGCGGCGGCAGCAGCAGCAGCAGCGGCATGGGCTGTCGCATTTGGAATGGGCAGCGCTTTGCAATCTGACTCCCAAGCAGCTGCACCGACAGCTGCTCGCCGCTCAGGCCGCCCGGACCAAGCTCGTTCTGGTGAGTGGGTAATGGTGCTGGTGTGTGCAGAGTGGTGCTGGTAGGTGCAGAATGGTGGTGGGTGCGGAGCAGAAATGGTGGGTGTTTCTCAACGTGTTGACCGCCCCTATTCTCAGGTTTCTAAGCCAATGGATACAGGTTCCTTTCACATCCCTTGCGGTTTCATACCAAATGCTGGTCAAAACCTTACCTGTGCAGAATTTTTGAGGCGCCTCAAAATTTTTGAGACGATTTTTGAGGCGCCTCAAAATTTTTGAGACGATTTTTGAGGCGCCTAAAAAATCTACGCCATTGGATGCAGGTTCCTTTCTCATCCCTTGCGGTTTCATACCGAATGCTGGTCAAAACCTTACCTGTGCAGAATCACTTGCACATGACCCTGGCTCTCTAGAATCCCTTGCAGTTAGTCCCCCCTTCTTGCTTCTCACAACCACATCCCCAAACTCCCACCCCCTGGGGCCCCTAACTCCCCACCTCATTACCCCCTCCTCCCCACCTCCTCCCCCCTCCTGCTCCCTGCTCCCCTCCCCTTTTGCCATTCCTGTCTCGTCCTCAATTCGCAGCACAATCTGCGTCTCGTGCTCTCCATCGCCCACTCCTTCCGCCTCTCCACGGGAGCCGACTTCATAGCTGTCTGCCAGCGAGGTCTAGAGGGTCTCACCACGGCTGCTCACTTCCCTTCCTCTACTTTACACCCTCTGCTCCAATTGCAGCACAACCTTCGCCTTGTGCTCTCCATCGCCCACTCCTTCCGCCTCTCCACCGGAGCCGACTTCATCGCTGTCTGCCAGCGCGGCCTAGAGGGCCTCACCACGGCTGCCCGCCGATTCGATCCTTCCAGGAAGCTGCGCTTCTCAACCTTTGCCACGCACACCGTCAGGACTGCCATCATCCGTGCCATCCCTTCTACTCAGTTCGTGCGCATGCCTGCCAGGAGCTCCATGGTGAGTTTGGCTTGTGAGGTCTCTTTCCTGAGGCCACCTCGAGGGTCTCACCACGGCTGCCCGCCGCTTTGACCCCGCCAGGAAGCTGCGCTTTTCCACCTTTGCAACGCGCGCTGTCAGGACAGCCATCATTCGCGCCATTCCTTCTACTCAGTTCGTGCGCATGCCCGCCAGGAGCTCCATGGTGAGTGCGCGAGGCGGTTGCTGTTGGGGTGCTGCGGGTGAGTTGTGGGGGTACCTCTTTGACCCCACCAGGCGCCTGCGCTTCTCCACAGCACTTCTTTACAGTCTCACATTGTGCATGCATCCCTTCTTTCCACTTTCCCAATCCCCAGACCCTCATTTCAGTGCGCAAGGCACGGGCAGCGGTGGAGAATCGTCTAGGCCGCCGCGCCACTGTAGCAGAGGTGGCAGCCGAGGCAGGCCTGTCTGCCGCCCACAGCGTTTCTTAACAATTTCACATCGTGCATGCAACATTTCTGAGCAGACTTTGAAGTTTCCTTTCCCCTCTCCCTCTCCTCTTTATCCACAGACTCTCATTTCAGTGCGCAAGGCAAGAGCAGCAGTGGAGAATCGTCTAGGTCGTAAGGCTACAGTAGCAGAGGTGGCAGCCGAGGCAGGCCTGTCTGCCGCCCAGTGCCGAGCCGCCCTTGCCGCCCCTCTCGTCACCCGTCCCGTCTCCCTGCACTCGGCGTCTCCGGTCACTGGGCTTGCACTGGAGGACACTATAGCGAGTACGGATGGTGGCGAGGTTGGTTTGGTTGCTACCGGTCCTGCTACTACTGGTGCTGCACTTGCTGCATCTGCTGCTGCATCTGCTGCAACTGCTGCTGCTGGTGCTGTTGATGGCGGCAGTGGTAGTGGTGCCAGCGCTGGTGATAGCAGCGTGGGGAGAAGCATGGGCGTGCAGGGAGGCGCATTGGGCCACACACGAGCAGCCCTTGTTGCCGTGGTAAGCAACGGGGATAGCAGTGTGGGGGAGGGGGAAGTGGAGCGATAGGCCAGGGCATGGGATGGATGGCTTTTATGGGATGGATGGCAGTGGGTGGCAGTGGTGCGGTGCGGTGTGGTGTGGTGTGGTGTGGTGTGGTGTTGCAGCTTGGTTCTGAACATGCAGAAGAGCACAGGAGGTCAAAACGTAGCAGATGACAACAAGAAGGTAAAGACACGTGGCAACATGTAAGGACACGTGGACAGAACAAACCAATGAACTCGAGGTGAAGGTTCAAACCGTTCCCCGCTCGTTTTTTAAGCTACAATCCGTTTTCATTCACCGATCCCGTCCGCTGCAATGTCAGCTCGACACGCTTCATCCACACGAGGCCTCCGTGCTGAGGTGGCAGTGCTTTATGGGCTTTGCATACTCCAGCTTAAATCCGCCTTTCCTTGATTTCCCCCCTGCGTTCACAGCTTGATACATTACATCCACACGAGGCCACCGTGCTGAGGTGGCGCTTTGGGCTGGGCGGCAAGGACGGCGAGGGCGTGGGGGAGGTCCTAACCCTTCGGCAGATAGCAGCCAAGATGGGTCTGTCGTATGAGATGGTTCGGCGGTATGAGGCACGGGGGCTGCTGAAGCTGCAGGTGCCGGCACGGGCCCAGGCGCTGCAGGAGAGTCTGCAGGGAGATTTGTGACAGTACTGAGGGAATAAAGGAGGTTCTGCCCTTAGACAAATAGCGGCTAGGTTGGGGCTGCCATATGAGATGGTTACGAGGTACGAGGCGCGTGGACTAGCTGCAGGTGCCGGCACGGGCCCAGGCACTACAGGAGAGTCTGCAGGGAGATATGTGACTGTACTGTGGGAATCATGGAGGTTTTTCCCTTCGGCAGAAAGCAGCCAGGATGGATTTATCGTACGAAATGGTTCGGCGGTATGAGGCTCGTGGACTGCTGTAACTGCAGGTGCCAGCTCGCGATGAGGTACTGCAGGGGGGTCTGCGGCGGTACTTGAGTGATGCAACTGCGGGGTCTATGTGATTATATAGGGATGGAGCTATGTAGGGAGGTACTTGAGTGATGCAACTGCAATTGTCAAAAGGTTGAGTTGGGCTTGTTGCATGAAATGGTTTGTGGCTTGGAGGGCTCCAGAAAGGCTGGAGTTGCTAAAACTCACTTATGAATGCAGCTGCAGCATCATTTGTGATGCTGATTTCTTTGGGCAGCATGTTGATCGTCATTACCACGTCGAGTTGTATGCAATATATGAGGTGCAGTGTAGGAAAAGTAGACATCCCAGTTTTGGCAGAGATTCACCAAATGCAGTGTACATAACCCAAAGAAACAGCATTGGATGTGCTCCAACAGCGTTGAATGTACATTCCACATACTCAGGTGAAGAAATTCGTTTCATGTCAAAATGCTGTACAGTTATAAACTCTGAAGTGCCTTTGGCAAAATGTTCACACAGCAGTGGCGAGTGGCCCTGTATCGGTTATAAAATGGCGGTTTGGGCATCACCTAGGAGTTGTCAAGTTAGACTGGGCTTTCTGCCTGGTGCGAACGAGTCAGTCTGCTCAAAGGTGCCATGTTGCTGAGGTATGCGTCTCGTATCGCGTCGAAACCGGAGCGTCGGTGGTGTCTCGACGCCATTTAGAGGCTGTGGCTGTTGGCGCGTCATTTTGGACCGAACCGCCTGACGACCTCGAAAAAGGAGGTTCGGTAACTCGGAGTTTTCTAGAGGTTGTGATTGAGGGTGTTTGCGTGTCGTTTTCCTGAGTAGCGAATGGCGTAGCCACCTGCTTGAGCGCCTCGGGAATGTCGTAGCGAATGGCGTTGAACGGAATGCTCATATCGTCGCTGTAGATCCGATGCGCCCGCTCCAGCGAATCCTGAACAGGAGAGGAAATGCGAGTGGAGGAGAGGGAGAGATTACGAAGCAAACACCTCTGCTTCTAACAAAGAATAGTAGGTTAATGCTTACCAGCACTGAGCATTCACCGTATCGAGCATATGGCGACACTGAGATGAGAACTCACCTTATCGTACAACTGGGCGGAGCGCTGGTCTGCGCCTGTGAGCTGGAGGGACTTTCCCTTCTGGAATATTCCGAGATCTGACGTGTTGAGCTGACGCATCACTGCTGCCACGTCAGCGGTCATGTTCTCAAAGCGACCTACAAAGTCGTAATGCACGCTATCCAACGCACAGAGGTCGACCTGCGGGGACGAGGGAGCGGGGAGAAAGATGAGAAAAGTCCGTTCAGTAAGAGAACCACGTAGTCGAAGTGTATGGTATCTGAAACACAGAGGTCGATCTGCAAGGAGGGAAAGGGGGAGAGAGGAATGATTGGGTAGCTTGATTAGCTGGACTCAATAGGTCGGAATCAATGACCCAGCAAGCATGAGAGCAGTATGCCATTCATGCTTTGCAAATACCCACATGCATCATCATCTATCACAGCCACCCGAGAGCCTCACCTGCTTGTCAATGTGATTCTCGATCTTATCAGCATCCCCCTTAAGAGCCTCCTCCACAAGAACCAGAAACTCCGCAAACGAGAATTCACCCCTAGGATGCGATTTTAGCATCTTCTTGAGCTGCTTGGTCTTCCCAAACATGGCGTCCGCCCAGTACAGCCGCGCATCCCCCTCATTGGTGAAGTTCCGCGCATGCACAAACTTGTCGAGGAACGCTGACGTGGCGCGCGTGAGGGGGTTGCGCACGAACGTGAATCGGAACACGTCGCGCTGAGTGATGAACCGAATGGCTGCTTCCTCGCCCAACTCTGGTAGCTCTGTGATTCCGTTCTCTCTAGGCAGGTGAATCATCTTGAAATCCTCTGTTGTAATACTCAAAGCTGCTGGCTCTGCCGCTGCTGCTGCTGTCCCTTGTGCTGTTCCCTCGGCTGCGGCTGTTCCTGCTGCTGCATCCCCTCCAGCATCTGCTGCTGCAGTCCCATTGGTAGATTTCGCCTCTTCTGAGGGTTTCTTGCCAAAAGAGTGGAAAGCGGAGTAGTTTCCGTGAAGCTTCATGAGGCGGAACCAGAGCTTCCAGCTCGTATTGCCCACCTTGGGCAAAGCGCAGTACAGGGCTTTAAGGGATTCTGAGGTGGGGAGGGGAAGGAAGAATGGAGGGGATAGAGAAAGAGAGTTTGTTATAGTGAAAATGAGAGCGCAGTAGAGGGCTTTGAGGGACTCTCGGAGTGGAGAGGAGGGGGGAGAGGGGTAGAACAGAAAGAACAAATTTTCCCACTTTGGGCAGGGCGCATTACAGGGCTTTGAGGGACCCGGGGGGGGGGTGGGGTTGAGGGGAGGGGAGTGGGGGAGACAGAGGAGCGTAAGAACAGGAGGGCCTGATTCAAAAATCAAGTTTTTTCCATCAGAGCACACTGTTAGAGTGTTTTAGGAGGGCGGAGACTAGAGAGCATTGGAGGACAGTGCAGGGCATTGCAGGGCACGTTAACAATGTACTCCCCATCCACTCACCATCAGCTCCCCACCACCATCCACTCACCTTCCACAATTAAGTGTGGGTGAATCAGATTGCCTACTTTCAAGCACCTCAATGCACACACTCCCCTCACTCTCCATCCACCCACCATCCAATCACCATCCACTCCCCACCAATCACCATGCACTCACCATCAACGATCATGTGTTGGGCGAATTTATTCTCCAAGAGCGGTTTCGGGCATGCAGAGGCACACAGCGATGGCTGCACGACGCTAAAATCTCCCTGCAGCCCTCGGGATTGCCGAGCTGACCCGCGTGCCACAACGAAAGTGAAGGTGGGCGACTTGTGAGTGAAGATGAGCGAAGGTGCGTCTGCCAGCAGGAATAGATCTGCTAGCTGGGAGAAGTTAAATGGGGGTGAAGGGGGAAAGGAAGGGGAGGGGAGGGAGAAGTTGAACGTCCCCTCAAGCCCTCGGGATTGCCGAGCTGACCCGCGCGCCACAACGAAAGTGAAGGTGGGCGACTTGTGAGTGAAGATGAGTGAAGGGGCGTCTGCCAGCAGGAATAGATCTGCTAGCTGGGATGGGGATTGGGTGGGCGGAGGGAGGGGAGGGGAGTGGACAACTTGAGTGTGCCTGCCAACCATCGGGATCGCCGCGTTGACCCGCGCGCCACAACGAAAGTGAAGGCAGGCGACTTGTGAGTGAAGATAAGTGAAGAGGCGTCTGCCAGCAGGAATAGATCAGCTAGCTGGGATGGGGATTGAGGAGGGAGGGGTCAAGGAATGGGAGGGGAAGGAAAACAGCAAATGAGAAGGCGGGGGATTTGTGAGGAAGATGAGTGAAGGGGCGTCTGCCAGCAGGAAGAGATCTGCTAGCTGGGATGGGGATTGGGAGGGAGGGGAGGGGAGCTTGAGGACAGCTTGAGCGTGCCTGCCAAACATCGGGATTGCCGGGATGACCCGCGCGCCACAAGGAAGGTGAAGGCAGGCGACATGTGAGTGGGTAGCAGAGTTCTGCTAGCTGGGATGGAAAGAAGGGAAGAGAATGGGGGATTGGTGGTGTGAGGAGAGAAAGGTGCGTGTGGGGAAGCAGGGGGGCGCGAGTGGGGTGGAAAGTGGAGGGGACGGAACGGACGTGCAGGTAAGGGGAGGGGAGGTGGCGACTTTTGAGACGTCTCAAAAGTCACGGGTGGGGTGGAAAGTGGAGGGTACGGAAGGGACGTGCAGGTAAGGAGCGCGGTTGGGGTGGAATGGAATGGAAGAAGGGCCTTACGAGTCGTTGGTAGCAAGGTGTGGCAATGTCCGCACTCCCCACCCCTCCTTCCCCACAGTGCTCCGCCCTCCATGCAGCAGCGTGGGACAGCAGGGTGCCAGGGGGTGCGGTTGGGGTGGAATGGAATAGAGGAAGGGCCTTACCAGTCGTTGGTAACAAGGTGTGACAATGTCCGCCCGCACTCCCTGCTGCACGCCCCCTGCACCACGCTGAACGCCCCCTGCACCACGCTGAACGCCCCCTGCACCACGCTGAACGCCCCCTGCAGCCCTCGGGATTGTTTTGTTTTAGTCGACTCAAAAGTCCCCATCCCTCCTGCCTTACCAGTCGCTGATAGCAAGCTGTGGCAATGTCCGCACTCCCTGCCCATCTTTCCCCGCAGTGCTCTGCCCGCCATGCAGCGGCGTGGGGCAGCAGGGGGGCGCGGTTGCGGTGGAAGGCGGAGGCGACGGAGTGGGCGGGCAGGGGAGGGGAGGCAGCGGCAAGAAGATAGGGAGGGAATTTTAGAGGCAGGAGCTTACCAGTCGTTGATAGCAAGGTGTGGCAACGCCTACACTCCCTCTTTCCCCGCAGTGCTCTGCCCGCCATGCAGCAGTGTGGGGCAGCAGGGGGGCGCGGTTGGGGTGGAAGGCGGAGTACACGGAGTGGGCGGGCAGGGGAGGGGAGGCAGCAGCGATAGTGAAATCGAGGGAGGGATGGCGGAGGAAGAGGGAGGTGAGATTGCGGATGAGACACGTGGGGAGGAGCTTGGCGTTGGGGCATGGGGGGGCGGAGGCGGCTCCTGAAGACTTGGGGTCCTGATTGGGGGTGGAGGGCGCGGGGAGGTAATGGGGAGAAATGGGAGGACCAACAGAGGGAAAAGAGGAAGGTAGAGAGGTGAGAATGCGCGAGTGCGAGAGTGGAGTCGAGGGAGGGGTGGCGGAGGAAGAGGGCTGAGGTTGAGGATGAGGCACGTGGGGAGGAGCTTGGCGTTGGGGCAGGCAGAGGCAACACCTGTGGCTCCAGACTGTTTGGGGTCCTGATGGGGGCGGGCAGGGGAGGGGAGGGCAGGGCAGGGGAGGGCAGGGCAGGGGAGGGCAGGGCAGGGGAGGGCAGGGCAGGGGAGGGGAGGCGGCGGCATGAGTGAAATCGAGAGAGGGGTGGCGGAGGAAGAGGGAGGTGAGATTGCGGATGAGACACGTGGGGAGGAGCTTGGCGTTGAGGACATGGTGGCTTCAGCAGCTCTGTGTGTGTGTGGGGGGGGGGGGAGGGAGGGGGGGGGGCCGCGCGCGCCATACCACGTGCTACCATTCCCCCCACGGTCTACCCCTCACTCACCTCACCTCCAGCAGCACTCCGGTCGTTGCCCTCAGTCGCCCCACATCCTCCCCATCCACCATCGCCCGCACTGCTGCTGCTGGCTGCAGCAACTGTGTGTGTTTGCCATACCTTGTGCTACCATTCCCCCCATGCCCTACCATTCCCCCCATGCCCTACCACTCCCCCCATGCCCTACCATTCCCCCCATGCCCTACCATTCCCCCCATGACCTACCATTCCCCCCATGCCCTACCCCTCACTCACCTCGAGCAGCACTCCCGTTGAGGCCCTCACTCGCCCCACATCCTCCCCATACACATCGCCCGCACTGCCAATGATGGCTGCAGCAGCGGTGCAGCAGCGGTATGCACGCACCCATACCATGTGCTCCCAATCCCCCCCACCAGTCCACTCACCTCCAGCAGCACTCCCGTTGAGGCCCTCACTCGCCCCACATCCTCCCCATACACCATCGCCCGCACTGCCAAAGATGGTTCCAGCGACTGATAGCACCTCATGGTCTCGTCATACAGCCTACAAGGGCCGGTGGATGCCTGGTGGGAGGGGAGAGGAGGAGAGGGAGACAAACACAAGGATAGAGGGATGTGAAGTGGGTTGGTCGGAGTCGGGAGGACTGCCAATGATGGTTGCAGCGCCTGATAGCACTTCATGGTCTCGTCATACAGCCTACAAGGGCCGGTGGATGCCTGGTGGGGAGAGAGGGATAGAGGAAGGAAAGGCGGGAGAGGCACACAGACATAGTAAGGTACAAGGGAAGTGCTGCTGATGGTTGCAGCGACTGATAGCACCTCATGGTCTCATCATACAGCCGGCAGGGGCCGGTGGATGCCTGGAGGGAGGGGAGAGAGACACACACAGTAGAGTACACGGGGAAGCGCAGTGCTGTGGAGAGGGACAGACATGCACACAGAGAATAGAATACAAGGGTATGGCTGTTGGCGGCTGCGGCGACTGATAGCACCTCATGGTCTCGTCATAGAGCCTGCAGGGGCTGGTGGATGCCTGGAGGGAGAGCGGGACAGTGGGAGGAGAGGGAGGAGAGGGAGAGAGGAACGCACAGAGGGCACTGCCAATGATGGTTCCAGCGACTGAGAGCACTTTATTGTCTCATCATAGAGTCGGCAGGGGCCCGTGGATGCCTGGAAAGGAGGGGAGAGAGGGATAGAGATGGGTTTAAATATGAGGGGCACTGCTACTGACTGATGGCTGGAGCGCCTGATAGCACCTCATGGTCTCGTCATACTGCCGGCAGGGGCCGGTGGATGCCCGGGGGGAGGGGAGAGAGAGAGGGATAGAGATGGGTTTAAATATGACTGACAGCAATTCATCGTCCCGTCATACAGCCTGCAGGGTCCTGCAGGTACTGACCATGGCACGGGCGAGAGAGCGGGGGACATACACCTCCATGGGACCATCAGGGCTATATTCCTTCAGAGTCAACTCAAAAGCAGACTCACCACAATACGAATCCTGCCTCTGCTACTCACCATGGCCCGGGCAAGAGAGCGGGGAACATACACCTCCATGGGGAGCATGAGCGGGCTCCAGTCGTCCTGCTCTTCCTTCTCCCGACACTTGCGCTTCACCTGCCAAGCCAATAGCAGCACGCCACGTCACCATGTTACACAGCGGTGCAGCGACCACGTGAGTGCGTCTGCGTGATGCTGCTGGAGTGAAAAAAAAAAAACTCAAAATTCTCATAAACACTGCGTTTGAGATGTATGATGTGTGGATGCTTAAAGCCCACGCAAAGCTCTCAAACTTAAAGCCACAACATAAGTTCCAAAAAAACGTCTCGATGCTCAAAGCAGCTTAGAGCTTACAGGTGAGCAGCTTAGACCTTACAGGTGCAATACCAAAGTCTTCCGTCCTATCTCCCTGCTGCACCTGCAATCGCTCCCCCTCTGCCACCACCCCTGCAGGCAGCGACACACGCATCGCCAACCCCTTTTGGTGGCACCAGAGCTTACCGGATCAGAGCTTACCGGTGCAATCCCAAAGTCCTCCCTCCTATCTCCCTGCTGCACCTGCAATCGCTTCCCCCCTGCCACCACCCCTTCAGGCAGCGACACACGCATTGCCGCCCCTTTTGGCGGCAGCAGCAGCGCCGAGAAGGGCACTGGCGGGGTTTCTGTGGCTGCGGCTGTGGCTTCTTCGCGAGAGGCGGGAGGGGTTGTGTGCGGGCGCAGGTGCCAAAGCACACCTACGGTGATGTTGTGGAAGGTGGATAGGGCACTGGCCTGACACAGCCGCTGCAGGGCTAGAGGCAGCACGGACGTCTGTTGGTGGGCAGGGGGTTGAGAGGAGAGAACGAGGGAAAAAGGAGATAGTGTGTGGCCGCAGGTGCCACAGCACATCCACAGTGATGTTGTGGAAGGTGGATAGGGCACTGGCCTGGCACAGGCGTTGCAGGGCTAGAGGCAGCACGGACGTCTGTGGGCAGGGGGTAGGGGGCGTGGGGGAGGAGGAAAGAGGGGAGAGAGAGGAGGGGTGTTGTGGAGGGTGGATAGGGCTCCGCTCTGGCACAGCTGCTGCAGCTCTAGGGGGAGCACGGGCGTCTGTAGGGCAGGAGGTTGGGTTGAGAGAATGGGGGACTGGGGGAAGGGGGGAGAGGGGCAGCAGCACACACACACCCGCTTTGCACTTGCGTGCACACACCCACGCACACATGTTTGATCAACTCCCACCTTGATATGCACCATGGCCTGCACACCATCCCAGCTGCAGGAATCCCAACTCCACACACAAACACACACACACACACACACACACGCATGCACGCACGCTCGCACACACACAAAGAGAACTGGCGCGCACCTTGATATGTACGATGGGCTGCACACCATCCCAGCTCGCCTCCCCTCTGCTCAGTACAACAATGTGAGGTCTCCCTCCTTCCCCCCCTACACACACCAAGCGAAATGACGCGCACCTTGATATGTACGATGGCCTGAACACCATCCCAGCTCGCCTCCTCTTCTGTTGGTGCGACTTTGAGAATTCTCAAAAGTCAGATCAACGCTCACCTTGATATGCACGATGGCCTGCACACCATCCCAGCTCGCCTCCTCTTCAGCCGAGGTCGCTTCTGCTGCGCCTGTAGCACTTGTTGCTGTTGCTGCTGCTTCTCCAGCTGCTTCTCCTGCTGCTGCCGTTTCTCCTCCTGATGTTGCCTTTTCTCCTGCTGATTCTGTTTGTCCTGCTGTTGTTGTTTCTCCTGTTACTACTGTTTCTCCTGTTGCCACTGCTTCTCCCCCTGTTGCTGCTTCTCCCCCTGTTGCTGCTTCTCCCCCTGTTGGCACAGCCTGCGCCGACGGCACAGCCTGCGCCGTTAGCACAGCTGCAACCAAATCCCCCGAAGAAGGTTGATTGTCACCGATACTCCCTGCATTCCCTCTTCCGTCGTCCTCCGTGCTCCCGCTGTTATTGCTGCTACTGCCGCCGCTGCTACCGTCGCTACCATCGTCGCTGCTACTGCTGCTGCTTGAGCTACTATCGTTTCGGCTGCTCAAAACACCGCCTTCCGTGGCGCTGCTACTACCGAAACTGCTATTAACGGGGCCTACGGCGTCTGCGCCTGCGACGCTGTTTCCCAGCGCGGCATTGGGTTGCCTGGATCCCAGTCCTAATAACAACGGGCCCTGGGAAAGGTCTTGCGGGAGAAAAGCAGTATGAGAGTCACCTCCGGTAAGAGTGTTACTGCCTGTAACAATGTTAATGCTCGTAACAGTGTTACCCGTCGGCGGTGGATCCGTATCAATGGTTGTGAGAGTGGATTCTTGGTGCAGCGGTGGCGGAAGGGAGAGCACGAGTGCTAAGCTGACAGCCGACATGAGTATGCTGACGCACGTCAGCAGCAGCACTATCGAGTGGCTGTGTATCAGCGACGCGACGGACGGCGCCGACGGCGGCGCTGAACCCGCGCCGCCTCCGCCGCCACCGCCGCCGCCGCCGCAGACGGCGGAAGATGCGGCGGAGGAGCCCCCGCCGAATAAGGGCGGTGAGGAAGAGGATGCGAGCTTTTCTCGTAACGAGTCTTTGTAAGACGAGATGCAGCCTGCTAAACCGCCTACCACGGCGTGAAAGTGAGATTCTACGGTCTGCCAATCCGGAACTTGCAGGTGAGTCACCAACTTCGGATTTAATATGCTAGGAACTTCCACGCAATGCCGCTGCGTTGCCGCCATGGCTCCAGGTTGCGGTATTGGGGGGACTTTTGCCGGCCGCGCCGGTTTTATCGAATCTAACACGCAGTCGTGACTATCCGTTAACGAGTCTTCCAATAATCTCCGATGGACCGTGCTGCTGAAGCTGTCGGCGGTGGCAGCGCCGCGATCGTCGGCGCCGCATGTTGCGGCGTCATTCGCGCGGGGCTCATGGTTGCTCGAGGTAGCAATGTTCAAGGCGGGATCATGGCAGCACGGGCTTTCGCGAGTCTGACAGCTCATTTTGCGGGTTTGACAACACCGACCATCACCTTCACCGCCGTAATCGCCGCTGCCGCGAAATCCCGGCCTACGCTAAATCTACTATCAGAGTCCGAGTCGCGTCTGTATCAGACACGACACGTCACACGACATGACACCACACCAGGTCGCATCGGGGCAGCCAGCCAGCCAGTCCCTCGCTCCTCCCCACAGTTCCACCTGCCATCACCTCCTCGACCCACCCCACAACCACCTCACCGACCAGAACAGTCGGGCGCGTGATATTGTTACGGTGAAATGGGATGCTGTGCATGTCGGGGAGGCTTGCGTACGGTTCTTTGCGTTTGGGTTGGTTGTTCATAATGACACCCAAAATGACACCTCCCGACAACGACAAATAAGCAAAAGCTCAACTGGCACAACTCCTCGGAAACATTTCGATTCAACAAGTACTAGCTGTAGTACCCTCGGCAGACATTCTCTTTCTCAACAATTCGAAGAAGCTCGTAACGGCGCAAACCGCGCTTGGGCAAGCTACAGTAATGTAGCTCCCAAGAGAGCAAGGCGTGCAGCAGCATAAGTCATCAGTAGAAGCAAAATAGGTATTCGAGGAAACGCAAGGATTTCGAGGATTTATAGGGCCCACTAGGCAGTCTTCATACACACGTACTATTCGAGCGCTCACCGCCACGCTCTGATACATTCGTGAGCGCGATGCGGAAGAGTAGCCATGCATGGAACATTGCTTCGCAGGGAGGCTTCCTAGTCATCCTCTCCGTGCTTCCCTGGCTGTACGTCGCTTTTGACTTCATCGGGAACTGCCACCATGGCCCATCCGCGGAGCACGAGGTCTGAAGTTCTTTATCAAATTAGTAGCATTCGTGCATTTTCGGCACGTCTCTTCTCTAGAGCACATTCGTGTATTTTCAGCGCGTTTCGTCCATGCTTGTTTCGACGATTTTCACCATGGTCCCCGTGAATCTAGGCTGTCGAGCAGCTAGGAGCATTCAGATAGATGATGCATTATGCTATCTGCTCATGTTAGCATCGCTAGTATGTCGCTTGAGAACTTACATGAAACTCCTACCACCGTCTGTAAATCCCGGCGATCTAACACCGTTTGAACCGTCCACCCCCTTCCTTCCGCAGATGTACCTATCTCGACTGCAGCCCATCACCCCATTCGAACAAATCCTCGATAATGTCACATCCGATAAACGTGCGAGCCACTACGGCGCGTTCTACAGCCTGTATCTCGACCCCTTACGCCGGCCGCAACTAACCCGTGGTGACGATCGGCTTCCAGTCTGGGAAAACCAGGAGGTTAACTTGCTGACGGTCGGTCGCGCGTACGGCGACTCGCTGCAGCTTTGGAAGCGGGCATTCCCGAGGGGTGTTATCTACGGCATTGCAAATGACACCACCTCCTCCTTGATGGTACGTCCACTCTGACTTTGAGTCGACCCAAACGTCACCTCGGAAAAAAATGATTGAAGAGAGTTACTTCAAATGATTGTATAATGCCGCGTGTGATTGTTTACGTACCTGTCTCTTTGCGAGCTCGGGTGCTCCTTATTTCATCGGAGAATGTGACTAAGCTGCAGCTACATAGTGCTGGTGGCTGGCTGGGTTGGGTTTCATTCGATGGTAGTCATAAGTGCTGGGCAGCGCAATGGAAGGCCACTTTTTCTTTTGTTTTCTTGATGGCTGTTTTGTTCTTTCTTTGGGTCCTGAAAGTTCTCGTTTGGAACCCATGTTTGTGTGACCCCAGCTCCAGGCAGCGGCAAGGGACCCGCGGGTGCGGCTGATGGTGGGCGACCAGGCGAATGGGAATTTCTTGCAGCAAGCGGTTTCTAAGATTAAGAATGAGGTGAGGAGTGGTAGCGACGTGGGATGGTACAGCGTGGTTCAGGGTGAGGTGGGGTTATTATGAGTGTGTTTTTGGAAATGAGGTGTTTTTTAGTGTGTGCCATGCATGAACTCTCGACAGTATCTTGAAATTCTGTTTTTGCAATGCCAGCTTTGCATAAACTTGATTACTGCTGGTCTTCTGAAATGTCCTTGCTTTTATTCCTGTTATGATCAGTGTTTTTGTATCATCGACATCCTTATTGTTGTATTGCCTCCTTCCTTGTTATTGTGTTGTGACTCGTTGACGTCAGGTGGGCCTGCTTGACTTCATAGTGGACGATGGTAGTCACACCATCAATCAGCAACAGACATCCCTCAAACACCTCCTTCCGCTCGTCAAGGTACCTGCTGCCAGTGGTCAAGGTACCTACTGCCACTGGTCAAGGTACCTGTTGCTGCTGACACTGCTTTTCGTCAATTTTCTCTCATTAGCATCCATGCTCGTTATTTCAGTCTTTATCAATGAGCTCTGCTTCTTGACTCTCCTACGGCTCACTGGATATCTCCATCCCTTCATGTCATCCCCCTCTGTCCATACCGTCTTCATCCTGCTTACACTAATTGCTCCCTTTCTTTCCCTTTCATTATCCTTCGGCCTTCTTTCTCTTTCTTTCCTTTCTTACTCTCTTTTCTCTCCGTCTCATTTCCTCCCCTCCTGCCTCCCACCCCTGATACACCCACAACTAATCTTGCTGTTCCAGCCTGGTGGAACCTACTTTATTGAGAATGTGGAGACATCTTATAAGGAAGGCATTTCTGAAGCGGACGCCACTATGCACGTTATGCAGTCGCTCTTAGACGCGATGAACAAGGAGTTTTTCGAGAAGCAGCCGTATTTCAAGAGCATGGCGCATGGGAAGTTCTATGCAACTCCGGTGGAGAATTTGGTGGGGTCTGTGCACTGCATGAGGAACATGTGTGCACTTCGCCGCAAGTCTAGCCACTGGTAATAGTAACACCTACGGTAGGACTAGTGTTAGCATAATTTTATTTCACCCTGATTTTCCAAAGCTCAGCAGCATTATGAACATTACTGTTTTGGGGTGATTTCCAGCTTGTGGTGAAGCTACTGGTGTATCAACTTACGGTAGTTATATTTGCAAACATCACTTACCATGTAGAGTTGTGATAGGCAGGTGTATTCAGCTTCTAGACATGCAAGGCTTTTAGTACGTGTATAGTCCTATGGTATCGGTCATTAGAATATATTTCTTCTAGTAATGTAGCGCACAGTATTGGAGTCCTCTGGGATTTTGCCTCCAGCTATCTCGTACAACCGAAGGTGCTAGCCAAAGCTCGCTCCTATCTATCTCATCTAGAGCGTGAGAGCTCACAAAGCAAGTTGTGTGTCAGTCAGATCACAGCGTTCTAATCGGTGCTGCGGCGAGCCATTCCTGGGTGGGAAATAAGTGGAATTCCGTACAAGAATTGGGATACATTTACTAACAGGATCGCAACCCGCTAGCATTCTCAGAGCTGCATTGTTCCTGCGCGTGCAAGAACTGGGATACATTCACTAACAGGATCGCAAACGCTAGCAGTTCTAGTCGGTCGGGAGGATGGGAAAGGGTGTCGACTCGAAATCTGCTATACCGTCAAGAGGCGTCCTATTCGTTGTATACCTCCTCCCGTGGGCGTATATCGCGTATAACCTTATCCAGAACTGCCACGACACATCAGAGGTAATGTGATGCACAGTCGTACTGAATGCAACAATGTCGTTCGTGAGCAGAGCTTTAAAGCTACCTCACTGACAGCCTGTCAGTCCTATTAATCTGCAACCCAGCCTTAACCATCATGGCGAAAACTCGAATGTGCTTGAGGGTCTCTCGATTGCTTTCGTAGTCGCTCTCGCTCGTTGTTAGCAGTAACATCGTGCATTCCCGAACCGTTTGCGTGCCCCCTTCACCTTGGTTTTCTCCATTGAAGTAACTCCTGTAAATCTTCCAAGTGAATAAAGAACACGTCTCTCCTTCGCCTTGGTTTCCTGCCGTTCCTCTCGCAGGGATTCATCTCCTTCGAAGCGATCGTCAACCAAGGCACGTCCGATAAGCGCACGCATCACTACGGCGCATTCTACAGCCTCTACCTCGACCCCCTGCGCCTGCCGCTGCAGCCCCAAACTCCCGGCGATTGCCAGCAGCCTCAGCTAGGCGAGGACCACACTCGCGGCGAGGCTGAGCAGACCACGGACCGCCGTCGATTGGAGCAGAATCAACGGACGCGATTGGAGGAAGCGCAGCAGCAGCAGCAGCAGCAGCCGTGGGAGCCCCGCGCGGTGAACATGCTGGAGATCGGGCTCAAGTACGGCGACTCGCTGAAGCTGTGGAAGCGGGCGTTTCCAAAAGGAAGGATCTACGGCATTGACAACGAGATGATTTCCAAGGTAAGCCCGAGGGAGCCGCGCGCGGTGAACATGCTGGAGGTCGGGCTCAAATACGGCGACTCGCTCAAGCTGTGGAAGCGTGCATTCCCGAGAGGCAAGATCTACGGAATCGACAATGAGTTGATTTCCAAGGTAAGCTTGAGGCTTCCCGAGGGTGCCGAGGGCCGCGAGGGTGCAGAGGGTCGCGAGGTTGCAGAGGGTCGCGAGGGTCCCCAGGCGAACATGCTGGAGATTAGTCTCAAATACGGCGACTCGCTCAAGCTGTGGAAGAGAGCTTTTCCGAGGGGCAGGACCTACGGCATTGAGAGACGATCTCATAGGTAAGCCGTGGCGGCAGGGTTGCTGTAGGTCCGCTCGCCATATTTGTGGGATTACGAAGGTAAGCCGTTTCGTATGCCCTCACGTGCCTCCCCTACCCAATGTCCATGTCTGCTTTAACTCCATCCCCTATTTCGTTTGCCTCTCATCTCACCTCTGCAGAAGCACCAGGCAGAGGGGTGCGGCTGATGGCTTCCCTTACCCCCTCCTATGTCCCATCTCTGTTCGTTACTTAGGGCGTGTTACATTTTTTAGTTCAGCCCGTACGGACGGGCCGTCGTCCGGACGTTTTTGTGGTTACCAGTCTCGCCTTTATTCGCATATTTCTTCGTAAGGTTAGTTGCGACGTCGTTAACGATCGGACTGCTGATGAAACATTTTGCGTCAAATTGCCTTCTCAAATCGACCGGACGTTACCATTCAGTAAGTGGACGGACGTCGCTCTATTGCAATTTTATTGGTTGACGAGCTTTTTTCTTCGAATCGCCCGGCTGTTACCTCTATCGTCACGACGTCGTAATCAAGGTTACAACCTCGTAAATACGATTAATTTCGTAAGCCTGAAATGTTCCATAAACAGCGTCGGACGAGGCTTAGTCCGGACGCTGGACTCGGACAGTCAGATGTTCGGAATCTGAACCGTTTTCAGACGGTTGTCCGGACATTTACGGATTTAAAAAAAATGTAACATGCCGTTATGCCTCTCCCCTCTCATCTCCACAGAAGCACCAGGCAGAGGGGTGCGGCTGATGGCTTCCTTACCCCCTCCTGTGCCCCATCCCTGTTCCTAACTTATGCCACTCCCCTCTCATCTCCACAGAAGCACCAGACAGAGGGGTGCGGCTGATGGCTTCCTTACCCCCTCCTGTGCCCCATCCCTGTTCCTAACTTATGCCACTCAACTCTCATCTCCACAGAAGCACCAGGCAGAGGGGTGCGGCTGATGGCTTCCTTACCCCCTCCTGTGCCCCATCCCTGTTCCTAACTTATGCCACTCCCCTCTCATCTCCACAGAAGCACCAGACAGAGGGGTGCGGCTGATGGCTTCCTTACCCCCTCCTGTGCCCCATCCCTGTTCCTAACTTATGCCACTCCCCTCTCATCTCCACAGAAGCACCAGGCAGAGGGGTGCGGCTGATGGCTTCCTTACCCCCTCCTGTGCCCCATCCCTGTTCCTAACTTATGCCACTCCCCTCTCATCTCCACAGAAGCACCAGGCAGAGGCACGGGACCTCCGGGTGTGGCTGATGGCTTCTCTTCCCTCCCTCCTTTGCGCCATCCTTGTTCCTGTCTTGTGCCCCTCCCTCTCGCCTTTGCAGAAGCACCTGGCAGAGGCACGGGGCCTCTGGGTGCGGCTGATGGCTTCCCTTGGCCGCTCCTTTGCGCCATCAATGCTCCTGAATTATGCCCCTCCCTTTTCCAGTCTGCAGACGCACCGGGCAGAGGCGCGGGACCCGCGGGGGCGGCTGATGGTGCCTTCTCCGTCTCTCTTGACCATGTCTATCTTACACCACCCATCCCTCCGTGTCTGTCGCAAACCCATCCCCTGTCCTCTTCCCTTTGCTTCTCCCCTCCACAGAAGCACCAGGCAGAGGCGCGGGACCCGCGGGTGCGGCTGATGGTGGGCGACCAGGCGAATGGGACGTTCCTGGAGCAAGTGGTGGCCGAGATAAAGAGTGCGGTGAGGAGTGGTGGCCGAGATAAAGAGTGCGGTGAGGAGTGGTGGCTGAGATAAAGAGTGCGGTGAGGAGTGGTGGCTGAGATATAGAGTGCGGGAGGAGTGGTGGCTGAGATAAAGAGTGTGGTGAGGAGTGGTGGCTGAGATAAAGAGTGCGGTGAGGAGTGGTGGCTGAGGTAAAGAGTGTGGTGAGGAGTGGTGGCTGAGATAAAGAGTGTGGTGAGGAGTGGTGGCTGAGATAAAGAGTGTGGTGAGGAGCGGTGGCTGAGATAAAGAGTGTGGTGAGGTGTGGTGGCTGAGATAAAGAGTGTGGTGAGGTGTGGTGGCTGAGATAAAGAGTGTGGTGAGGTGTGGTGGCTGAGATAAAGAGTGTGGTGAGGTGTGGTGGCTGGCATGCTGTTGAGTGCAATGTGGTGAGGGGAGGGGATGGGTTGGGATGGGATGGGATGGGATGGGATGGGTTGGGATGGGATGGGATGGGATGGGATGGGATGGGATGGGATGGGATGGGATGAGATGGGGGTTGGAATGGGATGCGATGTCTTATTCATGTGATACTGCGAAAATGCCTCCGAAAAACCACATCCCACGGAAGTCCGTCTCAGAGCTTAGCAGTGGCATGGGAAGGAAATAACCACATCCGAGGTGGAACATGCCTTGGAACGGCATGCGTTTGTATGGCAGAAAATGGCATTTGTTTGAATGGCATTGGAATGGCATGCGTTTGAATGGCAGTGGAATGGCATGCGTTCGAATGGCAGAGAAATGGCATGCGTTTGTATGGCAGAGAAATGGCATGCGTTTGTATGGCAGAGAAATGGCATGCGTTTGTATGGCTGAGAAATGGCATGCGTTTGTATGGCAGAGAAATGGCATGCGTTCGAACGGCAGAAAATGGTGTGTGTTCGATTGGTAGAAGTTGGCATGTATTCGAATGGCTGTTTACCTGAACTTCTTTTCTTGGCTCCCCCTGTCCTCGTTATTGAGTTGTGACTCGTTTCAGGTGGGTCTGCTTGACTTCATAGTGGACGATGGTGGTCACACCATGGATCAGCAACAGACATCCCTCAAACACCTCATGCCGCTGGTCAAGGTAATTGTTTTGCTGCTGCTAGTCAACTCACCTGCTGCTAGTCAACGCACCTGCTGCTATTCAACGCACCTGCTGCTAGTCAACACACCTGCTGTCTGACGAATGTATACCACCCCTGTGTCCTAGTTCGGTTCATTTAGAAAGCTTGCTTTCTTGCATGTAGCAATTGGCATCGTCTCATTTCAAATGGGTTTAGTACAATTGAAATCTAAGCAGTGACATTACAACAATATGCCTCTACGTTATCAACGCTATCCTGCTTTCGAGGGGGGGTGGGTGGGAAAATCGGCTAAACCGTTTGAAAATGAGAGACGTGGGTGGAGGGAAATGACCTCCAGCCCACGTTTTGTACTCCAAAACGGGCGTTTAGCGCGGCTCGACGCTGCCAAATCCTACATTACAGGCAGCTTCGCTTTCGAAATACATAATTTTAAAAAGCATTACAGCTTTTAAAAATATACATGTTTTGAAACCAAAGGGTAACCATTTTTCCTCCTCCATCTTTCCTCCCCCTCCCCCTCCCCCTCCCCCTCCCCCTCCCCCTCCCCCTCCCCCTCCCCCTCCCCCTCCCCCTCCCCCTCCCCCTCCCCCTCCCCACTCCATCTCGTTCTCCTTCATACTGACGTGGTTTCCAGTCCAGTTTCAATGAAATCTATAGCCCAGGTTTTTTTTTACCACTTTCCTCCCTCCTTCCCACCCTCTTACTCCCTCCAATGTTTTTTCCCAGCCCGGTGGAATATATTTTATAGAGGATCTCGAGACGTCGTACTACACTAAATGCCACATTACAGGGTGTTACGAAGGAGGCCCCCCTGGTCTCAACACCACAACAATACACGTTCTCAAGATGCTTATGAACGTGGTAAACCGTGACTTTATCAAGAAGCAGGCTTATAAGAATAGGGGCTCAAGTGAGGAATTTTACACGACTCCTGTAGAGGATTTGGTGGGCGCAGTACACTGCATGAGGAACATTTGTGCACTCAGGCGGAAATCGAGTCCTTGGTATTAGCAAGTGCAGGATATCAAACTGTTTTTGTTACCATTTGTTTTGATACTTCTTTCTGGTTAGTTTTCTGGGTTGTTGAGCAATTGTGTCCAAACGGAGGGATTGTGCCAGCCACACACTACTGCTTGTTTAGCTTGGTAAGCAGCATGCTGTGCTGTGTGCTTGAGCAGCAAAGAATGTTCAACTTGTGCCAGCTGCTACCGTATGCCTCCCCTTACACCATCCATACTGATTCAGCAGACAACGTAGGACTACTAGGTGAGGCAAACAGAGTACACACAGGTAGGTCTAGGTTTCATAAAAACACCATGCGGGCTTCTAGAAAGCTCTACACCTCAAACGACTAAAACCATCGACTAGATTTGCGCCTAAGCGCACATATATTGCGCATGCAGTGTACTGCCCCCACCAACTCCTCCACTGGGGTTGCATAAAATTCTGGGCGCATTACATTCCTGTAGTACGCCTGCTTCTGAAAGAACTCCTTATTCATCACATCTATAAGCTCTTTCATCACGTGTATGGTTGTAGAGTTGAGGCCAGGGGGACCGCCCCTGTAACACCCTGTGTCAGAACGAGGAATGGATGATGCATTGATGTTGGTTGGGGTACATATAGCTAACCCTAAGTTTTGTACCCCCTAAGACAAACCTCACTATAGGCTACAACATTTGACACACCCCCATAGCCTAAGTGAGGGGTGTCTAGCAGAACCAAACGAGTACGGTCACAAGACCAGTCCAAGAAACGAAGCTCAGGGTGGATCACAACGTCACCACACAGTCTGAGCACAAACAACAGTGGCCACAAGGCCAGTCCAAGAAGTAACAGAGGTATATAGAAAGCAAAGTAAACAGTACACTCAAGCCTAAGCAACACGAGAACCAGTGTCAACAAGGCCTAACTGCACACAGCACCTCTGGTGGTCACAAGGCGGAAGCGCCTTGGTGAAGATGTCTGCAGTGTTGGCCTCGGACTCCACAAACTCAAAGCGAGCCTGTCCACGCCTCTGCAACTCTCGCAGAAGAAAGTACCTGACGTGAATGTGCTTCACTCTGCTCTCCAGTCGTGGCTCTCGACAAAGGAGAATAGACGCCTTGTTGTCAGTGAACAAGGTCGGTGCAGAGCTCGGCCGCTCACCAAGGTCGGTGAGCAAGAAAGTCAACCAACGCAGCTCCTGTGCCGCCATGGCACCAGCGTAGATCTCAGCCTCAGCTGTAGAGGTCGAGACCGAAGAGGAGCGCGTGGACCGCCAGGAAACAGCTCCAGAACCCAGGCTGAAACAGTACCCCTGAGTAGACCTGTGAGTCTCAGCGTCGTCAGCGTAAGAGGAGTCACAGTGACCAGTAAGTACGACAGACTGCTGCCCTCCAAGAACCCACGCCTGACGTCGTCGCTAGGTACTTCGCCACCCTCACAGCTGCTGTCCAGTGAACAGGACGGTGTCTCCCTGGCGCAACAAAGCGCGCAAGAACGCTGAGAGGGAAGGCGAGGTCCGGGCGAGTACAAGTCATCAGGTACATGAGGCAACCCACAAGCTCTGCGTAGGGACCACTAGGCTCGAACGGCTCGTCAGGAAAGGGTCCAGTGAGTCTGTGGTCAACAGCAAGAGGTGTGCGCTGTACTGTGGAGTGCTGAAGCCCGAACCGCTGAAGGACCTGCTGCACCATGTGCGACTGTGAAAGTGTAATGGTGCGAGCAGCTCTGTCCCTGGTGATCTGCAGGCCAAGGTAGTGGCGCAGCTCACCAAGATCAGTGCAGGTGTGTCTCTTCTGCAGTTCGGACTTCACGTGTGCCAAAGCAACCCTGTCAGGGGTGGCGAAAACAAGGTCGTCAACGTAGACCAGAACAAAGAAAGGTGTGGGGCCACGACGAACGAACAGCGACGGGTCAGCAGAAGACGGCTGGAACCCAAGGTCAGACAGGGTAGAACGCAGGGTGTCGTGCCACTCACGAGGAGCCTGACGAAGACCGTAAACCGGTCGCCTCAGCCTCCACTGGGTCCCAGGAGGGAAAGAGCCAGTGAAGGCAGAGGGACGACGCAACCAGACCTCCTCGTGAAGACTGCCCTGAAGGAAAGCAGTAGAGAAGTCGAGAGAGTGTAACTCGTAGTCTCTCTGTGCTGCTACGTGTAGTAACACCCGAAGAGTGGTCATCTTCGGGGTGGGCGCGAAGGTCTGAAAGAAGTCAACTCCCTCGCGCTGACTGAAACCTCTAGCCACGTAGCGTGCCTTGAAGACCGGAGGAGATCCCGGTGGCCGCTTCACCCTGTAGATCCACATGCCGTCGACTACGTTCGCCCCCGGAGGGGGAACCTCATCGACGTAGGTGCCTGTGGATCTGTAGGAGGCCATCTCTGCGTCCATGGCAGCTCTCCACTGAGAGGCCCAAGGCCCTGACACTGCCTCAGCGTAAGTGCGAGGAGTCGGAATGTCAAGGGCGTCGGGGTCACCCTCAGGGGCGAGGAGCATGGCACAGAGATGAGGGGAAGCGGCCGCCAGGAACTCTAGCTCAAACTGCCTGTCCTCTAGGGCGTCACAGCCAAGGGCAGACACACCCCCGACGGCTAGAGGACTGGAAGGAGGAGCAGCCACAAGAGCGGTGGCGAAGTCAAGGCGGCGGGTAGAGGCAAAGTCAGTGACTGCGGCAGTAAGAGCGGACACAGAGGACACAGAGGCACGAGGGTGAGTAACAAGCGAGGCGAGAACACGAGAGAGAAGAGGACGGTACGTGCGGTAGTAGTCAGTGACAGGAGTAGGGAGCGACGCAGTGAGAGCCGACTCAGGAGGAGACGGAAGCACAGACGGAGACGGACGAGGTGGACTAGAACGAAGTAAGGCAGTACGAAGGTCAGTGAAGGGAACAGGAGACGAGGGACGAGCACGAGGGGAGCGACGAGAGGCCCAAGTCTGAGAAGGAGGAGGGGACAACGAAGACTGAGAACGAGGGAAAACAGCGGGAGAGGGGTCAGGAGGAGGAAGCGGAGGACCAGAGACGGGAGGAGAGGGGGAGGAGGAAGGAGAGGGAGAGGGGAGACCAAGGGTCCGAAGACCCGAGACAGGAGGAGGAGACGGCAGCAGCTGCTGCTGCTGCTGCTGCGGCTGCTGCGGCTGCTGCTGCTCCAGCGGCTGCTGCCTCTGCTGCTGCTCCTGCTGCTGCTCCTGCTGCTGTCGCTCCTGCTCCTCGAGCCGCTGCAACTCTCTCTCCTCTCTCTCCAACTCCAGCTGCTCCTCACGAGCACGGCGAACACGAGCCTGGAACCTGGTCGGGTAGGGGTGGGGGGAAGGAGTAGTGTCCGGGGCAGCGGCAGCCCCAGAGTCGACCTCCGAAGCACCAAGCACACCACCCCCAGAGGCAGCACCAACACCAGCTCCAGACCCAGGCTCTCCAGAAACCGAAGGAACACCCTCACCCCCAGACGCAGCACCCCCAGACTCCGCACCAGCACCCCCAGACTCCGCACGACCAGTACCAGCCCCCGGAAGACAAGAGTCCTCTGCAACCCGCGGCTCAGCTCCAACTCCAGCACCCCCAGAACCAGAGACCTGTACAGGGACAGTCGCAGGACCAACCTCCCGAGAGGGAGCACCTGCAGGAGGCGGCGAGGAAGACTGTGGGGAGGGAGGCTGTACAGGGGGGGCTACCGAAGGGGGAGGGCTAGCCTGAGACACACCAGACGGGGCTGGACCAGGGGGGGGAGGCTGTACCGGGGGAGCAGGCGGGGGAGCGGCTGTCAGGAAGAGGGGGGGAGGAGGAACCGGGAGACCTCGACTGGGGTACCTGACGTAGTACGGGGTGGACTCCTCGAAACGGACGTCACGGGAGTCAAAGAACCGGTGAGAGGGAGGGTGGTAAAAGGTGAAGTCAGAGGAGTCCTCAGGGAAACCAAGGAAGACACAAGGAACGGCGCGAGGCGAGAGCTTGTCCGCGGAGGTGTCGCGGACAAGAGCCAAGCACCCCCAGACACGAAACCTCGACGCGACACCAGGGGACCCTGTCCAAAGACTGGTCGGTGAAGCCTCCGGCCGAGAGACGCGTGGCCAGAGGTTCAGCTGGTGCGCGGCGTACCTGACCGCGTATGGCCACAGGAAATGGGGGGCACGGGCGTGAGTCAAGGAGGTGCGGGCAATCTCCATGACCAGGCCTATGCGACGCTCAGCAACCCCATTCTGCTGTGGGGACTCCGGAAGCGTCCAGGACTGACGAATGCCCTGTTCGCGACAGAATCCAGCGAGAATGCCGGAGCGAAACTCGCCCCCGCGGTCGGAGTGGAGACAGCTGACACGACGACCACGAGTGTCCTGGGTGGTAAGCAACCACCTGATCAGCGTAGAAGTCACCTCAGACTTCCTCGCCAGGGGGAACACTGTGGTGTAGCGGGAGTAGTCGTCAACGACCACCAAAAAGAAACGCTCACGCTCAGGGCCAGGGCGAGGAGAGGGGCCCCAGACGTCCAAGTGCAGTGTCTCAAAAGGCTCGGTGGCCGGACGAAGGGAGGAGGAGTGAGGGGTGGCACGCAGCCTACCCTCGACGCAAGGACCGCACGGTGGTGCAAGGGACGGCGGCAGCGACGGCAAGACACGCGGGAGACCTAAGACCAGACGCTGACTAGACATAGCACGCAGACGTGGAAGAGAAGGGTGTCCCATCCGGTGGTGCCACAGAACGGTGGGGTGGGCAAGCGACCGACAGGAGCAAGACGCAGCGACTGGACTGGACGCGACAACCTGAGGGGACGGAACCACCTGGTGAGACGCAGGGAGGAGACTAGGGGGAGGGACAGGAACTGGGAGGAGTGGCTGCTGCGACGGCGGCCGCTGTGGCTGCGGCTGCTGCTGCTGCCGCTGCTGCTGCTGCGGCTGCTGCTGCTGCTGCTGCTGCGGCTGCTGCTGCTGCTGCAGTCGCTGCTGAGCGCGCGGGCCAGTGTGAAGAGTGTAGAGACCGGAGCCCGGCTCAGCAGCAAAAGTGGCGAGGGGCTGGTAAGAGTCCCCGTCAACACACACCGCAGTCTCTCCAGAAGGCTCAAACCACACACCCACGTGCTGACTCACGAGGGGTCGCACGCCCACCAAGTTCCGGGAGAACGAGGGGACGTGAAACCCAGTGAGAGACCCAGAAGGAGCAGCCGGACACGGCAAGGTGGTAGTGTGACGCGCGGTGACTGGTCCCGAAGTGGGATCAGCCAGCGCCACAGAAACAGGCGCAGGAAGAGGCGTAAGTGTCGTGCTGTCACGAAAGAAGCAGTGAGAGGCTCCAGAGTCCAGCGTGAACGACAGCGAACCGTCCTCTGAGGTAGCCGCTGGACTAGAGTCTACACAAGAACCTACACTAGCAACAGGCAACTGAGCAAGGCTAGCACCTAAGCTAACAACACCAGAGTAAGCAGAGTCAGAAACACTAGAGTCAACAACAGCATACATAGCATGAGGAGCACCAATCAGATCAACTAACTGCTCAGCAGACATGCCCCACAGAGCGGAGCCGTAGCGCTGAACCAGAGGAAGCCAGTCAAGGGCAGGACCGCCAACCCCGTAGGCCAACCGGACCGTGTCAGTGAGCTGAGCAAAGCACTGACCAGGGGGGTGAAAGCGGCCACAAGGGTGGCCCCGACGAGGACCTGTCAGAACCTGATAGGTGCAGGGAGGGTAAGCAGCACCACGCTGGGGCTGACGCAGCCCCGACCCCGGAGCCAGCTGCTGACGCTGCTGCTGCTGAGGCTGCTGGGAGGAGAGGGGCTGCTGCTGCTGCTGAAGCTGCTGCTGACGCTGAGCCTGGTACCACGCCGCTGCTCCACCTAGCGGGGCCGGCAGTACAGGAGACGACTGACGAGCTCGGGTGTCGCCACCACCAGCAGGCGCAGTGGAGTCACCAGCCGCTGCACGAGAGGTCTCTCCAGACGCTGCACTCCCACCACCGCCAGTCGCAACAGCACCCCCACTACCTCCGCTACCTCCGCCTCCACCTCCACCAGAACCACCTTTCTTGCCCCCCTTGCCGCGGGACCGCGACGCAGTCGTAACAGCAGCTGCAGTCGCGTCAGTAGCGGCAGTGGCAAGAGAGGCAGTGAAGGTGGGTAACTGCGGGACTGTGCACCCGTGGAAGAGTGGGGGGGGCACAGCACCAGAGGCGGCAGCTACCGAGCGAAGGTTGCTCTCGACGTCCTTGAGCGCAGACTCAAGGACCTCGACTGTCAGCTCACTAGGGTGCTTCAGCAGGAGCGCGTCACGTACGGAGGCAAGGCGGTCAGGGAGGCTAGTGGCGATGAAATAGATAGTAATCGCCATGGGGGGAGGAAGCAGTGCAAGCTGTGCCTCAGTGCAAGCAGCGCGGTAACTAGCGTCGAGCGAGCGGAGGTGAGCGATCAAGTCAGCAGAGCGCTCAAACGAGGCGAGATCAGGAAACAGGAACGGGAGGAAAAGACGGCCAAGAGAGACAGTAGCGGGAGTAGAGTAGCGGGCCTTAATCGCAGTGAGGTACGCAGCAGCGGTGCGAACCTGAGTGAAGTGGACCTCCTCTGACTCAGGGAGGAGGCTGCTGAGTGCGATGCAGGCCGCAGCGTCACGCGACGTCCAAGCCGTCCTGTCAGCGCGCTGACGGGCAAAGCGAGCCGTAGCAGCATCGTCAGGGGCAGGACCTAAAGCGGCAGGCTCGGGGGGCTCGGGGAGGTCACCAGTAGCGTGCGACCAGAGGGTCTCGCCCCCCTGGACTTGACTCTCTAACAGACGGCGAGCGCGAAGAAGCCAGACGGAAAAGTCAAGAGGTCTACCGTCAGCGTCGAAACGAAGAACTCGCGGAGTCGCCATAGCGAAAACTAACGCGAACGAGCAGGCGAGTAACAGCAGGAGGTAAGAGGCAAATTAGGGTTCAGGTGGGACTTAGTCGCAGCGGAAGAGCGGGCTAGAGCGACGGGCCAGGGCGTAGGGTCGACGGGACGGGGGAAAGGGCGGGCACGATGCGACGGGGCAGGGCGACGCGACGGGGCAGGGCGACGGGACGGGGCAGGGCGACGTGACGGGGCAGGGCGACGGGATGGGGCAGGGCGACGGGACGGGGCAGGGCGACGGGACGGGGCAGGGCGACGGGACGGGGCAGGGCGACGTGACGGGGGGAAAGGGCGCGACGCGACGGTGGGAAAGGGCGCGACGCGACGGGGGGAAAGAGCGCGACGCGACGGGGGGAAAAGGGCGCGACTCGACGGGGGGGAACGGGCGCGACGCAACGGGGGGAAAGGGCGCTAGGCGACGGGGGGAAGGGCGCTAGGCTCGGCACTAGGCGCGGTAACAACGGAACCGGTACGAACGAGAGGTAGGATCAGGCTCGGGAGATACGAACGGAGAACGGAGGAACGGGATCCCACAGGATCCTAACCTAACTGATACCATGTCAGAATGAGGAATGGATGATGCATTGATGTTGGTTGGGGTACATATAGCTAACCCTAAGTTTTGTACCCCCTAAGACAAACCTCACTATAGGCTACAACATTTGACACCCTGTAACGTGGCACTTGGTGTAGTAAGATGTCTCCACATCCTCGATAAAGTACATCCCTCCAGGCTGTTTAGTTTGAATTAGGGTGGGGTGCAAAGAAAGGTGGGAAAGGGAAAGCCAGCTCATTTGAACATCTCCCCATCCTTCATAATATACATCCCTCCCAGCTGATAAGATCCTTTAAAAGATAAGAGGCAAAGGGAGGTGAAATGACATGGAAGGAAACAAGAGGGGAGCCCGAAAAGAATGGGGGCAGAAGGAGGTGGGGATGAGAAAGGTGGCCTCAGGCTGTTTCAGCATCCCTGTTTCCATGCTGGAAGGGGAGTGTATGGGGGGGAATGCAACGGGATGTGGGAAAGTTACTTTTAAAATTTCCTAGATGTTACGTCTGAGAATTCTCAGAAGAGGAACGTACGGCGCAACGGGATGTGGAAGGTTACTTTTGAGAATCCTCATATGTTACTTCCGAGAATCCCCAGAAGAGGTGTACGGGGGGAGATTGCAATGGGCCATGAGAAAGGCACTGGTACAGGGAACTCGGAGGAGAATGAATATGGTACATTTTTATGTACTGCAGAGGGGAGAAAAGGGGTAATAGTTGCAGGTGAGGTTAATTAATCTCAGTGAATGAAGGTGTTTGCAAAGGTACCTTGACGAGTGGCATGAGGTGTTTGAGGGATGTCTGTTGCTGATCCATGGTGTGACCACCATCGTCCACTATGAAGTCAAGCAGACCCACCTGACACGAGTCAAGGCAATAATAAGAAAGGAGTCACATCACAATAACGAGAAAGGAATAAACAAAGAGTCACAACACAATGACGATAAATGAGTTGATGCAACAAGTAGCAACACCAGTAACAAGAAATGAATCAATCCAATAACAAGAAAAGAGTCACAACATAGTAATGAGGACAAGGATAACCGAGGAAAGCAGAATGGCTAACCACGTAGCACATGCATAACATGCCATGCACATTATACCATGCAGACCATACCATGCACCATGCCATGCACTCCATACCACGTCCACCAAACCATGCACACCATACGTTCTCATCAACATATCCATCAGTGCCATCTCCACCACCCATGATATGCAAATCGATTCCATTACCGCCCATGCCACACAGAAACCACATCTCAACATTCTCTCACACCAGCACCTCCATTCTCTTTCTCTCAGCCTTCCTCACTGCACTCTGCATTTCTGCCATCACTCATCACCGCAATCTTTATCTCAGCCATTACTCTTCATTGCACTCTTTCCCCCAGCCATAGCTCCTCTTACACCCCTTTCCACTCCTCACCGCACTCGATCCCTCAGCCACCACTCCTCACCGCACTCTCTATCTCGGCGACACTCCTCACCGCACTCTTTTCCCCAGCCACCACTCCTCACCGCACTCTTTATCTCGGCCACCACTCCTCGCCGCACTCTTTATCTCGGCCACCACTCCTCACCGCACTCTTTATCTCGGCCACCACTTGCTCCAGGAAGGTCCCATTCGCCTGGTCGCCCACCATCAGCCGCACCCGCGGGTCCCGCGCCTCTGCCTGGTGCTTCTGTGGGGATGAACGAGGAAGATGATTGGGGACAGGCATGAGATGGGCAGGGATTTAACATGGTCAGGAGGTGCGGAAGAGTCACCATCAGCCGCACCCGCGGGTCCCGGGCCTCTGCCTGGTGCTTCTGCCAAAACAGAGAAGCGGAAAGGATTGGAGATAGGGGTCCGGACAAGCATGAAGGTGGAAAACAAGCACAGGCAAACGATGGGTGAGGCACAGACACGGGCAGTGGGGAAAGCGGAATGACTGTGGGATGGTTAGAAGCTAGGTTGGGGGAAAAGAGGTGGTGAACGGACATCATCAACTGCACCCGCTAGTCGTGTGTCTCTGCCTGGTGCTTCTGAGGAGAAGAGAAGCTAAGCAGATTTGGAATGGGGTTGGCGTGGACAAAAATAAAACGACAGTGGGACAGATATGGACAGTGGAGATGGAGGGGCGAAGAATAGTCAATGACACGGATGGGCCAAGGGAGGTGGCGAAGCCATCAGCCACAACCATAGTTCCCTCTCCCCTCCCTGGTGCTTCTTGGGGCAGCAGCATGGAAAAATGGTGATTCCGTTGCCGGGACTTGAACCCGGGTCTTTCGGGTGAGAGCCGAATATCCTAACCGACTAGACTACAACGGAGATATGAGGAGCGCTTGTGTTCTATTTTTATAATTTTGATGCTTCAATCACACTCACCTTCGATATGACACCGTTGTCAATCCCGTAAATCCTGCCCCTCGGGAACGCCCTCTTCCAGAGCTTCAGCGAGTCGCCGTACTTGAGCCCAATCTCCAGCATGTTCACCTCGGGAACCTCCCACGCCGATTTCTCTCGCTTCCGCCCGCGTAATCTTTTGTTGATGTTAGCATCATGGGACTGTCGCGGCAGGCGCAGCGGGTCGAGATAGAGGCTGTAGAAAGCGCCGTAGTGATGCGTGCGCTTATCGGATGTGCCTTGTTTCACGATTTCTTCGAACGAGACGAAAGGCTGCAGGTGGGAGAAACACGGAACCGGCTTTGCTTATTAGTATAGTTACGATCCATCTGGACACCCAATAGAACATCATTAACTCGAAATTACTCCTCAGTACGTCCTACGATGAGGCTTCTGACAAAGAGAATACCTCTTGCACGGCACGCGGCGCATCACGGCAATTTCCGAGAAGGTCAAGCGCGATGTACGCCCAGGGAAGCAGGTAAAGAAGGGTTAATACGCCTCCCCCCAAAGCTAGAATCCATACTCCAATTTTACCCATCTTCTGACAATCCTGCCGCGTACCTGATCGCGTACTTCAATACACACACACGCAAACCACAATCAGGAAAAATGCGAAGGGTTGATTCTTCGCCCATATTAGGAACCGGTGATTTCTTCCTATCGTGCGAAAGGAGCCTGCTGCTGACGTTGTGATGTTCTGACATGAGCGGGGAGAGGGACGGAAAGGAAATTTGAATCCGCCGCGTTCTGCTTGCGGTTGCAGCGTGCATGGCTCCTAGGTACTGCCGAAGATATCCTCGACAAGATCGCAATGTTTGAATGTACCGATTGGTGCTAGAGAGATTGGAACAATATATGAACTTGAATTTCCCATTCTTGAACTTGTGTTTTGTTCTGTTCATGCAATCATGATATGATTCTGATATTGAATATAATTGATAGTTCGCCGTCAGTGTATACAAGGGGTATCGTAAAACAGCGGAGAGAGGCCAATAACGGATGTACAAGAATCTAGAATATATGAAAGACGATCCCGTTGGTGGCATCCTCAGAAAGAGCTTCTTGCGATGCAAGCTTCAACCGTCATGGCTCGCGCTTCTCAACCAACCTCGTTTTGACCTCCAATGCCTCTAGATCGCTCGATCACGTGACCTGCTGCCTTGCCGTTGCTCAAGGGAAAGATCTCGATCACGGGTAGCCTGATTGTGAAACATCTCCCGCCACCTCTCCGTCTGATCGCCGTTAACGTTATCGGCTTCCCAAGCTCACACTCCGGTCTCTGCTTAGCCGCTAATCCGCGAGCCTTCGAGTTCAGATCGAGCGTGTAGCTTGATTCCGGCGATGGCCTTGCCGTTGGAGCCGCGTGATGGCTCGCAGTCAAGCACAAGCACGGAGACCAAAACCAAACATTGCGACGGCAGATGGGCCGAAAAGCGTCGCGAAGGCGAATGATCCGAAAAGCGTTGCGACGGCAGATGGTTCGCAAAGCGTCGCTGACGGCAAACCAGGCGATGCTTCCGGTGACGTCATAATCTCTCCGCCGCTGAACAGATGGTCGAGGCGCATCCGCGTGGGGATCTTCACGGCATGCGTCCTGACTCCCGTTATAGCGGCGTTTGTCGTAATGGACCTTGATCCGTTAGAGCGACGGTCTATTACAATCAACGCCGTTATGAGTGTCACGGGATTCGTTACAACGACGAAGCTGATCCCGATGGCGGTGCCTATATGTTGCGGAGAAACATGTTCGGATTCGATATAAACAAGCGAGGTTCTCCAGCTGGGGTAATCAAGATGTGAGTATAACGAACGTGAGAAGCACAGTGGCAGCTGATTTAACAACACTGATCAGATTTGATATAAACGAGCGACGCTCAGTCGCCGATGTTAATTGTGATTTTAGAAAAAGGGAGGGTAATGTTTCTGGTGTACTCAGGGTCGACAGGGTAGTAGTAGTGTGCATTATTCCCACTTCCACACTAACCTTCCCTACCTCTTCCCACTCAGAATCTTGCAGGTTGTTTTTGAGAATTCTCAAAAACAGCTTGATCGCATCCAATTGTATGCTCATGGGTGCCAAGGTAGGTGGTACTGTGCATTTCCTTTTCCAGTAGCACACCCCCATGCCCCTCATTTCATGTCTCCCCCCCACACTCCCCAGCCCCGAGACGCAGGGATTGGTGGTGGCTCTCGTCTAATTGGTGGTAACCATTCTCTTCCAGCACTTCTACTTCACGCCTGACTCGCCTGTGAGTGCCCCCCCAGGTGATTTCTCAGGTGTTTTCTCAGGTTATCGCGCATGGTAATAGCCAGGTGATGGCTCAAGTGGTTCCTCTTCCAACCCCAACCCTTCAGACCCCTCTCCTTTCACCCCTCCCCTCCATCCCCACCCTCCATTGGCTATTCGATGGTTTACAAATCATCCCTGGCCTGCGTCTGCTTCCTGGCCTTGACTGCTTCTACGTTGTACCTCCCCCTTCTCGGCTTAACCCACCCCCCCCCCCCCCCCCCCCTCCTCCTCCCGCCCCACCCCCCCCCTCTCTTCCTTCTCCCACCCCCTTCCTCTTGGGAGTCCCTTGCGTGCATCAGTTTCGGGGCTTTATTACACATCTTTTCCTCTCAACATACTCTGTTTCCCCCCCACCAGGTTTGACCCGGCCACTCACCGTTTCACAGGCAGCAACGGTCTCAACCTGGTCAACCTCTTCACACCTCACCCTCCCCTTCTCTTACACATCTTTCTCTCTCCACATACTCTGTTCTCCCCACCAGATTCGACCCAGCCACCCACCGTCTCACAGGCAGCAACGATCTCAATCTGGTAAACCTCTTTCTGCGCCTCTTCGGCCCATGCACAGAGGAACAGCTCTGCATTCGCCTCCTGCTCTTCCAGGTAACACTACAGGGCTTGCAGGTAGCGTGTGTGCAGCTGTATGTGATGCTTGAGTCTGTGCTGCTCCTTCACAGTGGCCTGTGCACGGAGGAACACCCCTGCATGCGCCTGCTACTCGTCCAGGTAACAATACAGGGCTTGCAGGCAGCGTGTGTGCAGCTGTATGTGATGTGTGAGTCTGTGCTGCTCCTTCACAGTGGCCTGTGCACGGAGGAACACCTTTGCATGCGCCTGCTTCTCTTCCAAATAGCACCAGAGGGTTGAGGGTGGATCTTCTTGAGTGGAGGTGAGTGAGTGTGGCTCGCCCTTTCGGGTACCCTGCGTGCGGCTGTATGTGCTGCTGGGTCTGTGCGGCTGTATGTGCTGCTGGGTCTGTGCGGCTGTATGTGCTGCTGGGTCTGTGCTGCTCCGTCACAGTGCCCCGTGCACAGAGCAACACCTCTGCATGCGCCTGCTGCTCTTTCAGGTAGCACCAGAGGGCTTCTTCTCTTTGCAGGGTTGGATCTTCTCGTGAGTGGTGGGTGAGTGTGGCTCGTCCTTCCGGGTAGCGTGTGTGTGCAGGTGCATGTGATGTTTGGGTCCGTGCTGCTCCTGCACGTGGCCCCGTGCACAGAGAAGCGGCTCTGAATGAGTGTGCCTCTTCCAGGTATCGCGTGTGTGCAGGTATATGTGATGTTTGGATCTAACAATCAACATGACGGTTGCGCATAGACAAGAAGATACGATACACCAAACCGTAGAAAACGAGAATTCAACACGCAGCTTCGCACAAAAACCAAACGCACACATACCTGGAAGCTTCTTGTTGTACAACTTGTGCAGTTTAGCGAGCCAGGAGCGGCTCTGAATGAGTGTGCCTCTTCCAGGTAGCGCGTGTGTGCAGGTATATGTGATGTTTGGATCCATGCTGCTCCTGCACGTGGCCCCGTGCACAGAGGAGCGGCTCTGCATGTGCCTGTTGCTCTGCCTCATCCCGTGGGGATAATTCAGATTCCTCGCATGTCCCACACACTGATAAAATTAGTGTTTTGAGACGTCTCAAAATACTACCTTTATCACGTGAGACCTCTGCATTTGCCTGCTGCTTTTCCTCATCCCATGAGGATGATTTAGATCCCTCGCATGTCCCACACAGATCCATATTCGTGTGACTTTTGAGAATTCTCAAAAGTCACACGAATATTGCCTGCTGCTTTTCCTCATCCCATGGGGATGATTTAGATCCCACGCATGTCCCACAAAGATCCCCTCTGCAGCCTCTATTGCTTCACATGACACTCCCTCTTTGCCTTCTTTCTGAAGATCAAGTTGTTCTGAGACATCTCAAAACTGTTCCAGATTCCTTGCATGCCCCACACAAATCCCCTCTGCACTCTTGTGCTTCATATTACACACACACTCTTCCCTCCCTCTCGCGTTCATCTCTCCCCCCCCCGCTCTCCGCTCGTTCTCCTTTCTTTGTTTTCCTCCATCACTTTCAAATTCTTTCTGCTCCCCCCTGCTTCACATTACACGCCCCCTTTGCTTTTCCTCCCCTTTCTCCTTCCCACCTGTTACACACCCACTTCAATCCCCTTCCCTCTCGTCCCATACAGGTGCTCTCCGCTCTCTGCTTCTGTGCTCGCCTTGTCCAGCAAGGGTGGTACAAATGAGGCAGCCCTCTCAATTTGACATCACTTCGCAATAACTGTCAGTGTGAAATCAATTCTGTACATGAAAAAGTAGCCTGTTTACTTCATGTGAACAAGAGAGTTGCAAGAATTTGAGGAATGAGAGGGCAAGGAAGCGCAGCAATCTTTGGTTTTCCTGTTCACTACTGATGTTAGGGCTGCAATGAAGGGAGGTGTTTCGTGCAGAAGACACGGCCTGCCCCTCCTGTTAGCCCTCACTGCCAAGATCCTCCCAAATTCAGCATGTATTTGCACGGATCACAAGTACATGACAAGTTTATTTCCCTCTGTGCTACTACCGCCCCACAAACACACACACACACACACACACACACACACACACACACACACACACACACACACACACACACACACACACACACACACACACACACACACACACACAGACACACACACACACACACACACACACAGACACACAGACACACACACACACACACACACACACACACACACACACACACACACACACACACACACACACACACACACACACACACACACACACACACTCTCGCTACCCTCTATACCCCACCTACTCCACAACAAACCACGTAGCAACAACTCAGCACACCACAGCCCTGTGTGATTAAAAGCATCTACCGACCCTCAGTCAGCTAAAGCTTAGAGCACACACACACTACCAAGGACTTAGACACACACTAGCAAGCCCGTCCTCAAGAGGGTGTGAAGATCTACTCATCGTGGTGGTGGTCATCATGGTGGTCGTGATGGTCGTCGTGATGATGATCGTCATGGTGGTCATGATGGTCATCATGGTGATCATCATCATGGTGGTGGTCGTCATGATGATCATCATGGTGGTCGTCATGGTGTTCATCATCGTCATCATGGTCGTCGTGATGGTCATCATCATGGTCGTCCTCCTTCTCCTTCTTGGGCTTCGTGCACGCCTTAACGCACGCCGCGTAATTCGCCTCGCACCCCATCTTATGCCCCTTGTAGCACTGCCGGCGGTGGTACAGGCACCAGTCCTTGCACCCCCACTTGCCGTACTTGCAAGTCTTGAACGACCGGTATGCCTTGCGCCCGCACGTCTTGCCCCGCGCCTCGCACATTGCCATGCCCTCGGAGGAACCAGTCGCTTTCTCCATGCACTCGTGCTTTTTCTCGGTGCACGACTTGCTCTTGAGCTGGAATTTCTGCATGCACGTGAGAGGCTTCGGTTTAGGCTTGGGCTTTTCCTTCTTCTCGTGGTGATCGTCGTCGTCGTGATGGTCGTCATGATGGTCGTCATCATGATGATCGTCGTGATGATGGTCGTCGTGGTGGTCATCATGATGGTCATCGTGATGGTCATCATGGTGGTGGTGATCGTCATGATGGTCATGATGGTCGTGGTGGTCGTCGTCCAGAAATCTCCTGGCTCCGAGAGTCAATTTACCTGCAGACAGTCATGGCATTGAGCAATTCGTCAAGTCAATCTTAAAGATTGTGGACAATTAAAAGCAAAATGTACACATTCTGACCAGAGAAGAATAAGCATTTCATTAAACAGCAGAGATTCGCAGTGGGAAACGGAACTTACCAGCGCTGACGACGGCGCTGGAGTCAGCATAAGCAGAGGGCATGAACAGGGCGACGAGAAACACCGAGCTGGCGACGAGAAGAGCGCCGAGAAGCCTCATCGGAGCCATGATGGAGGAACGCGGGAGCAGAGTTTCAAGAAAGAGCCACCACCAACAACGACTCGAGTGTGGGATAGAATGACGAAGACGTGAATTCGCTGAATTTTTTTCTGGAAATCTGCCCTGCTCTTCCTGGTGTGTCGCTCTGCTGTGAGGTGGGTTTCGGATCGCTTGATAGAAGTGCATCGCGGTGTGGGAGGAGGTTTGCGCGGCTGAGGCGGGCAGCCGAAAATCACAGCTCCCTAAAATTTGCGTACACCCATCCCGTGCCCGGTTTCTAAGGCATCCCATCCCATGTGCTCAAGGGTGCTGCCCGGCTTTTAGTGAGCTGCACTGATTCGCCTGGGCAGATGCTTGCCATACCTTGATTCGTTGGCGATCTGGACCAAGGGGTAGTCCAGAAATTTTGGCTTCTTAGCCGAATTCTTGAAGGCGTTTCGGGAGGACGGCGGTCGCCATAGCGACTCGGTTTGTTGACGCCATCCCATTGGTGGTGATAGGGGCTCTACACAAAATGGTCGCCACGGCAGCGGGCAGCTTTCACCAGCTCGTGATTTCTCATCGACGGCCAGAAACACTCTCCATACTCATCGCTGCTTGATGAGATTACACGTAGGGTGCTTACTGATAAGGTGTCGACGTGTCATCACATGACGAGAGAATATGCGCCTTAGTGAAAATCCTCGATTTAGAATGAACCCTAAATGTATTAACATAAAAGAAGTCTGTCTGATCTCTAATCATATAAAGCCAATCACATGGACACGAGGTATTCAAATCCCACAGATAAATCAGATAAAATAAGAAGCACGTATTAATACATTCAATTTTCCTGATTTTTTTCCACAGAAAAAAGCTGTGATACGACAGATAAAATAAGGAGCTTCCATTTTCCTTGAATACCCAGCAGCTAGAAACCAAAAGTGAAAACAAATGTTTAATAAAGCTGGTCGTTCACGATTTTCCGTTGACTGTTATAATTATCGGGGTATCTGTTAGGGACCATCCTCATGTTTCTCCAAACCCGAGCGGCACATACTGTATTCCCCTGTTGCGAGCCGCGTCCTACTGAGTTCACCTCCCGCACTTTTCGCCAAACAAGCGTGCGACTGTCGTGAGTGGTGGTGACAGCGTCACGTAATGCTCCATGAGACCCACCAAGCCATACCCGCACGTCTGTCACCATACCGCCGAGAACCATGCCGACGAATTCGGCTTGGTCCTTCAAGCTCGACATCCCCGGACCAGATCTGTCAGAGCCAAACCGTCACCTACCGTACCACATCTCAACCAAACCGAACGGCAGATATTCTGCCGAGCCGAAGGACGTGCCCAGCCGGAGCAAACCAAACAAGGCAGTCCAGCCAGACCAGTGTCAAACCGCACCTTGGTGTCCGAACCAGACTCAAATCTGGAATGAACCACTGCCCGCCCAGGACTATGTGCTGTCGATTACGATTCACGACTCACAACAAACAAGCCTTCTCGTTCAGTCTCTGCTTGTTATGGCGATTCTAGAACATCAAGGTCGGCAGCACGACGCCTATCTCCTAGTTTTCTTTCCGTTCCGGCCTTGCTGCTGACACGACTTTCTGTGAGCAGCATCAATGGAAAACAAACAATAGGAACGGATCGCCTCGCAGTTGCCTAAGATCGCCTGCCGGCTGACCGGCATCCCGTCTTACGAGCTGTACGTTAGCATTATTTATTATGACAGCCGGCTTAACGGGACTATATTTATTTATCCAAGCGACGTCCTCGTCCTCTAATAAAGTGCCGCATCTTTCGATATAATCGCATGGGTCCGGTCGTAGTGGTGAAGGACCCGGCAAAGATCCGGCAAGAGCGACACGCTCGCCCACAGTCACAATCCCTCCCGTGCACTCACTTCCGCTCACCCCCAGGCGCTCATTCGCACAGCTTGTCGCAAAGTCCGCCGCAAAGCCGATCGCACGCGTCGTCGCATGCGCTTTCGCAAGTTCACCTGAATTCGCACAGCAAGACGAGACATCAGCACCGAGGGTGGTTTTCGAGTCTGTGTGGTAACAATCTCAATGTAGTCACATGGTCTGCGATTTTCTTCGCAGCCATTCTTTTTCATCTGCTCGGGCATACGAAACTCCATGAACCGGGTAACCACATTGCGAAGCTGTCAGATCTGACTGTAGACGGCAAAAGTCAACAAGGACTTATATCGATTCAAAATGGACTGACTGTAGCGGAATCTGGGCCGGAAAGCGCGCAAAACGAGGGCCACATTAGTTACGGCGGGGATCGCCTGACACATCCAACGGCTGAGATTAAAAAGAGATGGCTAGCTGCGAATCCCGAGGACGAAGGGCCCGGAAAATCCGGGAGAGGAAGGACCGACGCCAGGCACGGGGAGGGAGAACCTGGAGGGAATAGCACCGCTCCGATTCGTGGCGGGATTGATAAGGCGGAGGGGACGCACGAGGCTGGCGGGAAAGAGGAGCGTGGGGGGAAGCAGGAGGACGCGGGGAAACAGGAGGAGGAGGGGAAAGAGGAGGATGAGGAGGGGAGTGGTAGCAGTTCTCTGGTAGAGCGCGTGAATGCGATTGACGGCAGCGGGGAAGAGCAAGTGGAGGAGCGTGAGGGAGGAAATGTGAGTGAGGACAAAAGGGAGCACGGGGACTGGGAGAGGGATGGGGGGGAGGAGGGTGGGCGGGAGGGGGATGGGCGGGAGGAGGATGGGCGGGAGGAGGGTGGGCGGGAGGAGGGTGGGCGGGAGGAGCAGCTCGCAATGGTTGGCGCTATGCTGGAGGGTGGGTGGCCGGGGCAGGAGGTGGCGTGGGGGAATGCGGGAGGGCTGTGGCCTAGGCAGGGGGAAAAGGGGAGTGCTGTGCGGGAGGGGGGTGTTGAGGGGGATCGGGTGGTTGAGGGGAAGGCGGAAGGTGAGGGGGAGGCGGAAGTTGAGGGGGAGGCGGGAGTTGAGGGGGAAGGGGGAAGAGACCGGGGTAGGTCAGATATTGGTGCTCACAGGATGGCGGAAGGGGAGGGGGAGGTTGCGGATGGGGGGGTGTCAGTTGGGGGGAAGGGGGAGGGGAAGAGCGCAGGAGCGGAGGAGGAGGGGGTGGATGAGGGGGCTGCGGGGAGTGAGGAGGGGAAAGGGGAAGGGGGAGGGGAAGGGGATGAGGAAAGGGAAGGGGAGGGGGATGAGGAAAGAGAAGGGGAAGGGGAGGTAGGGGCCGAAAGTGATGGTGTTGCGGCGAATAAAGGGGAGGAAGAAGGAGAAGAGGGAAACAAGGGAGATGTGAGAGGTAGGAGAGGAGGGGAAGGCATTGGTAGTGTGAAGGCTGTGGGAGATGCGGAGGGCGGGGAGAGCGATGAGCAAGCGCGGAGGGATGGGGAGGAGGAGGGGGGAAATGGGGAGGAAGGAGAGAGTAGGGAGGAGGAGGAAGAGAGTGGGGAGGAGCAGGAAATAAAGGGTGGGGAAGAGGAGGGAGAGGGTGGGAACGGGGAGGGAGAGGGTGGGGAAGAGGAGGAAGAGGGTGGGGAGGGGGAAAGAGAGGATAGGGAGGGCGGGTACGAGGGAGGGGATGACAAGGAGAGAGGAGGGGAAGGGGACGGGGAGGGCGAGGAGGGTGAGGGGGAAGAAGGGAGGGAGGATTATGGGAAAGAGCTGTTGGAAGGGGTTTTAGGGGAAGATGAAAGGGATCGAGAGGGGAAAGTGAAAGGGGAAGGGGGGGTTGATGATTATGATATTGGGGAAGAGGGAGAAGAGGAGGAGGGAGAGGAGGAAGAGGAGGAAGAGGGGGAGGAGGAGGAGGGAAGCGAGGGGGATGGTGGGAGGGACCTTGATGGAGAGATGGACGAGGGGGGAGCGGGGGCGAGAAAAAGCAGCAATGCGGGTGCGCGGAATCCCAAGGAAGGAGAGGGGGAAGCAGAGGGGGAGGCAGAGGGGGAAGCGGAGGAAGAAGCGAAGATGGGGCTACAGGAAACAGGGGCGGAGGCGGGGGAAGCAGAGGAGGAGTTGGGAGATGATTTGGAAGAAGCGGGGTTTGGGGCAGGGCGCAGTCGCAGCCGCAGTGGCAGCCGCAGTATGGGTGATTTGGGCAGGCTTGTTGACTTCAAGGGAGTGGGTGCAGGCAAGGAGGAGAGGGTCGAGGAGTCAGGGGAAACAGAGGAGGAGGAACTAGATGACGATATGGAGGAAGTGGGGTTTGGGGTGGGGCGTGGTGGCAGTCGCAGCATGGGTGATTTCGGCAAGCTTGTTGGGCTGCAGGGAGTGGGTGCAGATGAGGAGGAGAGGGAGGAGGAGGAGAGGATTCACAAGGCAGGAATCGGCAAGTCCAAGGCAAAGGCGGCAAGTGGAAAGGCAAAGAAGAAAAAGAAGGGGGGACGCGGCAAGGACAAGAAGAAAGAGCGGCTGAAGGCTCTGTGGAGGAAGAAAGAAACATGCAGCAGCAGCAGCAGGAGGAGGAGGAGAAGGAGAAAGAGGAGGAGGGGGGGCCTCTGAGCCGCCCTTTGAACCGCCAGAGCCGCGGTGGAGGCCGGACAAGGCGTGTGCCAACGTGGCTGAGATGGGCGAGGCGACAGCTGGCAGCACCGACCAGGCGAGCCTGAAGCTGCGGCGAATGATCGAGCGACACCTGGCGGTGCACGGTGGGTGGGTGGTGTTTTTTAATCAAGCAAGGCTTTTCGTGGTTGGAGTACGGGTGTGTCAACACCCCATTCCAGTGCCGCTGAAACGCGTCCTTCCCTTCCCCACTCCCACCTGGTCCTCTTAGCCACCACGTGCCCCTTGTGTGTGTGGTCTGTCTGGTCCGACCTCTAGGGAGTTCATCTTACCCTCCCTCGCCAATTCCCCACTCCCACTGTTTCCATTCTGTGTCCCTTCTGCGTCCTCTCCATTCGGTATCTCTGCAGTGCGTGTGCTGCCCTCTCACAAGTTCCGTCGGAGAGGCTTCGTGTAGGGATATGGCAAGCACGAGGGTTTAGGGAACAACCTCTACAAGGTCCTCATGGCCCCACTCATTTCACTCGCTCGCTCACATTCACTCTCTCTCTTCCCTCCTCTCTCTCTTCCCTCCCACTCTCTTCCCTGCTCTCTCCCCCCTTCTCTCTCCTCCCTCTGCCATCTCCCCTCTTCCCCTGCAGGTGCCTCTGTTCTGCGTGCACTGCCCTCTCACGAGTTCTGTCAGAGGGGCTTCGTGCTGGGATATGGCAAGCACCCCAACTACTACTCCTTACCCTCCGCTCGCCACTCTCATCCCATCTCCCCTCTTCCCCTCCAGGTGCCTCTGCCCTGCGTGCACTGCCCGCTCACGAGTTCTGTCAACGGGGCTTCGTGCTGGGATATGGCAAGCACGAGGGGCTGGGCAACAACCTGTACAAAATTCTCACAGCGCCGGCTCTTGCTCTCATGCTCAACCGATCCATCATTGTGGGCGAGAACTAGTGAGTGAAGTGGGTTAGATGCGGTGGTGTGTGGCGGGCTGCGGTGAGGTGCGGGGTCTGGTGGGGTGCGCAGTGGTGAAGATCCTCACAGCGCCGGCTCTTGCTCTCATGCTCAACCGATCCATTATTGTCGGCGAGAACTAGTGAGTGAAATGGGTGAGATGAGGGTGAGATATGGTGGGAGGGGGTGGGGTCTGGTGGGGTGGGGTGGGCTGTGGGCAAGCACGAGGGGCTAGGCAACAACCTGTATAAGATCCTCACAGCCCCGGCTCTTGCTCTCATGCTCAACCGCCTCATTATTGTGGGGGAAAACTAGTGCATCATGGGGGTTGAAATGCGGTGGGGTTTGGTGAGGTGGGCTGTGGGGAGGTGCTGTGGGGTCTGGTGGAGTAGGCAGTGGTGAAGTGTGGTGGGCTGGGGAACAGCCTCTCTGATGCCCTCAGGGCCCCAGCTCTCTCATGCCCAACGTCTCCGTCATCATGGTATGGACGTTGGGAGAAGGCCAGGTAGTCCTTCCACCTGGTGTTGAGAGACGTTGGGCATGAGAGAGCTGGGCCATGGTATGGTGGATTTTGAGAATTCTCAAAAACCAGCTCGTTGGGCATGAGAGAGCTGGGCCCAACGTTGGGCCCACCTGGGTATGGTGGAAGGACTACCTGGCCTTCTCCCCTCAAGCATTCTCCATGCTCGAGTTGAGGCACCTCTGGCACCACCACTCACCATCGCCCACCACCACTCTCCCTTCCTCCCCACCCCAGTGGCACGTGCACTGTGATGCTAACTACAAGACGGTGGGGGAGCGGCTCTGAAAGGACTACCTCGCCTTCTCCCCAGAAGTATTCTCCATGCTCGAGTTGAGGCACCAGCACACGAGTGCTGGTCCTGCTGTTGCTGTTGCTCACCACGCACCACCACTCACCACCCATCTCTGCCTCTCCCTTCTCGTCCCAACCTCCCTCCCCTCATTCCTCCCCCCCAGTGGCACGCGTCCTGTCATGGAGAGCAACAGGACAGTTGGGCAGCGCCTATGGAAGGACTATCTTGCCTTCTCCCCGGAAGTATTCTCCATGCTCGAGTTGAGGCACCTCTGGTATCAGCACAAGTGTGAGCAGCGCTACAAGAGGTCTCTGGTGGTCAGAACGGATTCGTTTGCCAACCGGGCGAGGTCTCGCACGCTGTGTGATGATTGGTCGACCTGGAAGGAACCCATTATCTGGTGAGTGCATGTGTGAGAACACAACACTTGAACATAGGCACCTCTGGCACCAACACGAGTGCGAGCGGCGCTACAGGCGGCCTCTGTTGGTCAGGACGGATTCGTTTACCAACCGGGCGAGATCACGCATGCGTGTGATTATTGGTCCACGTGGCAGGAGCCCATCATCTGGTTAGTGCATGTGTGTGTGCGTGCATGAGCGTGAGATCACGTCTTTTAAGAGTTAAGGGTCAACGTGTTTCCCTTGGACAATTCTCCATACTGGGGCTAAGACACCTCTGGCACATCCACGTGTGCGAGCAACGTTGCAAGCGGCCTCTGCTGCTCCAAACTGACTGGTTTGCCGACCGAGCGAGGCCGTGCACAAACTGTGTGTTGCATGCATGCATGCATGCGTGCGTCCATGCGAGAGAACAGCCCCTGAGGTGATGAAGGCCACTGTGCCGAAACGCGTGCGCTCCGTTGGGAATTATATTTTCTTTCCTACTCGATCACTACCTAGCCTAGGCACCTACAGAATAGCGAAGATTAGGACAAGATTGGTCTGTTAGGTCTAGGTCGAATCTATACTTATCTGCACACTGTGTGTTGCATGCATGCGTGCGTGCATGCGAGAGAACAGCCCCTGAGTCTAGGAGTCTTCATTGATTGGCTGAGAACCGTCCGTCTTAGCAGTCAGAGCCGATTCCTTGGAGATCGCCTGTTTCACCCCTCTCACGCTTCCTTCCCCTGCATACACCCCTCCCCCACCCCAGCTGCTGCTGCTGCTGCTGCTCCACCACCTTATCCCTTCCCATGTCCCCCCTTTCTCTCACCCTTTCCCCCACCCCACCTCCCCCAGTTTCGATGACGCATTGGATTCAGTAAGCATACAGACGTTCCTGAAGAACCTGCATCCGTCCATGCGGGAGAGAGCACAGGCCATCATGGGCATTCCCTGGGACCCCGCTCAACCCCTTTGGCTAGATTGCCTGTTTTCACCCCTGCCAACCTTCCTTTCCCTGCATACACCACCCCTCCCCCTCTCCAGCTTCAATGATGCATTGGACTCGGGGGGAATACAGACATTTCTCAAGAACCTGCATCCGGACATGCGGGAGAGAGCACAGGCCATCATGGGTGTGCCCTGGGACCCCAACTCGCGCTGCAATCCCACCCCCCTCTCCCTGCCCATCTATTCCCCCGTCCCCTCCCCCACTCCAGCTTCGATGATGCATTGGACTCAGTGGGAATACAGACGTTCCTGACGAACCTCCATCCATCAATGCGGGAGAGAGCACAGGCCATAATGGGCGTGCCCTGGGACCCCAATTCGCTCCCCAACCTCTTTGGCGAGATCGTGCCCACCCTTCCTTCCCCTTCTTTCTCCCCTCCCACCTCCCCCAGCTTCGATGACGCATTGGTTTCAGTGGGAATTCAAGCATTTCTCAAGAACCTCCATCCGGACATGCGGGGGAGAGCACACGCCATCATGGGCGTGCCCTGGGACCCCAACTCGCGCCTTAACCTCTTTGGGGAGATTGCCTATTTTCACCCCTCCCAACCTTCCTTCCTTTGCATTCACCCCTCCCCCACTCCAGCTTCGATGATGCATTGGATTCAGTGGGAATACAGACCTTTCTGAAAAACCTCCATCCATCCATGCGGGAGAGAGCACACGCCATCATGGGCGTGCCCTGGGACCCCAACTGCCTCTGCACTCCCATTCTCCCCTCCCTGCCCATCCGGCCTCCCTCCCTCCCTTCCCCCGTCTCCAGTCTAGATGATGCATTGGACTGTGGGAATACAGACCTTTCTGAAGAACCTGCATCCATCCATGCGGGAGAGAGCGCACGCCATCATGGGTGTGCCCTGGGACCCCACCTCGCGCTGCAATCCCACCCCCCTCTCCCTGCCCATCTGTTCCCCCGCCCCCTCCCCCACTCCAGTTTTGATGATGCATTGGATTCAGTGGGTATTCAGACATTCCTGAAGAACCTCCATCCATCCATGCGGGGGAGAGCGCAGGCCATCATGGGTGTGCCATGGGACCCCAACTCGCGCCCCAACCTCTTTGGGGAGATTGCGCGTGTGCTACTGCTGCCCACGCCAGCGGTGGCGGATGCAGTGAGATGGGCGCTGGGCAGCGGAGGGAAGGACGCTGATGTGGTGATTCACTTTCGGCACGGCGGGTGAGTGGAATGGTGTGAGTGGAGTGGTAGGGGTTGGAGTGGAAAGAGGAGAGGCTTGCCTCTCTGCCGCTGCTGCCCACACCAACGGTGGCGGATGCAGTGAGATGGGCGCTGGGGAGCGGAGGGAGGGATGCCGACGTGGTCATTCACTTTCAGCACGGCGGGTGAGTAGTGGGGTGGGGTGGGAAGAGGAGAGGAGGCTTGCTGCAAGTGCTACTGCTGCCCACGCCTGCAGTGGCGGATGCTGTGAGATGGGCGCTTGGTTCAGGAGGGAAGGACGCCGATGTGGTGATTCACTTCCGGCACGGCGGGTGAGTGGCTTGGTTTAGCCTGTTATGTTGGTTCAAGGTTGGCTTGGGTTGGTGTGGGTTCAGATGGGCGCTGGGGGGTGGAGAGGGACGCCGACGTGATCATTCACTTTCGGCACGGCGGGTGAGTGGAGGGTGTTGGTGGAATGGAAAGAGATGGAAAGAGGAGGGGCTTGCCTGTCGGGTGCTGTTGCTGCCGGCGGCAGCAGTGGAGGAGGCTGTGAGATGGGCGCTTGGGAGTGAAGGGAGGGATGCCGACCTGGTGATTCACTTCCGCGGCAGGAGAGTGCATTGGGCTGTGTTTTTATTATCATGGTGCATGGGTTGGCATGGTTGGGGTGGGTGGAATGAAAATTGAAGGGTGGAATGGGAAGAGGAGAGGAGGTTTTTTCACGAGTCGTCAGTCGTCCTCCCTCCGCTTCCCCTCCTTCCTGCTGCAGAGCAAACTGGAGTCATTGGCGTCTGCGGTTGCTCTGTGCCTGAGAAAGGCCCTGGAGCACATACACAGGGTGAAGCAGCAGGGCTTTCTGAGGCACCTCAGAAGTCATCTTGTCTCTTGTCCCCCCCTCCTCGTCCCTTCCTCTTGCTGCAGGCTAGAATCCGTGGCTTCTGCGGCTGCTCTGTGCCTGAGAAAGGCTCTGGAGCACATCCAAGCGGTGAAGCAGCAGGACGCGCAGCAGAAGGGGCAAGCAGACGCACTTCAAAGAATACAGGCGGTTGCAGCAACAGCACCACTGACAGCAGCAGAGGCAAGAGAAGCAGCGCTGCCAGCACTGCCAGCAGCAACAGCAGCAGATAGAGCATCCATAGCTACAGCAACGGGCGGAGCAGTATTAGCAGGGCCAGCAGGGAGCAGAGGAGTTGAAGCAGAAACAGCGGCAGATTTTAGACCAACAGGTGCTGGTGCAGGCAGTATGGGGAGTAGGTTGCTGGCGTGGGGGAAGGGGAGAATTCGGTGGGGCAGCGGTAGAAGATTGTTGGAGACGGAGGGTAGAGGAGGGGAGGAGGAGAGTGGAGAAGGGGAGGAGGGTGGAGGAGGAGAGGAGGTGGAGGGTAGAGGAGGGAAGGGGAAGGGCAAGACAACCAAGGGAAAAACGAAAGGAAAGAGAAAGAAGGGAAAGAAGAAGGCGGGAAAGACAACGCTGAAAAAGGCAAAGAGTGGAAAGACGAAGGCGCGAAGGACGGGGAAGTTGAAAGCGGGGAAGGCAAAGAAGGGGAAGAAGAAAGGCGGGAAAGGAGGGGAGGATGGAGAAGAGAATAAGAAGGGAGGGGCCGAGAGCAAGGAAGCAGGGAGCAGTAATGCAGTGAGTGATAAGGACAAGCTGAGGGTGGTGGTGGTGGCGGATCACCCAAGCGTGTTCCGCAAGATAGGCGCTCTCACGTCCGACTTTGCAAAGGTGGGTCCTGTAGGGAAGGGGGGCACTAAAGCAGGGGGTATTAGAGCAGTGGGCAGTAAAGCAATGAGCAAGGCAGTGGACAAGCTGAGGGTGGTGGTGGTGGTGGTGGTGGCGGATCATACAAGTGTGTTCCGCAAGATAGGAGCTCTCACGTCCGACTTTGCCAAGGTGGGTCCTGGAGGGAAGGGGGGCACTAAAGCAGGGGGTATTAGAGCAGTGAGCAATAAGGCAGTGAGTGAGAAGGAAAAGCTGCGGGTGGTGGTGGTGGCTGATCATCCCAGCGTGTTCCGCAAGATAGGAGCACTGACATCCGACTTTGCCAAGGTGGGTGAACTGTTCACCTCCCCGACTGTTGAGTCGACTAGAAGATTTGCCCGATTGTCCAGGTGTACTGCACAAAACGGCGTGCTGCACAAAACGGCGTGCTGCACAAAACGGCGTGCTGCACAAAACGGCGTGCTGCACAAAACGGCGTGCTGCACAAAACGGCGTGCTGGCATCTGAATTCGGCGTGCTGGCATCTGAATTCGGCGTGCTGGCATCTGAATTCGGCGTGCTGGCATCTGAATTTGTGATTTGTGAGTCGAATCAAAAGTCGCCTGACTTTGCCAAGGCAAGTGATATTCTCTCAGACTTCCTCCCGTTTTCCACCTTCGCTCCCTCTTTCCCTTTTGCTTCTCCTTTTCGTGATTCTCTCTCCTCCCTGTCCTTGTCCTCTCCCTTTCCAAGTCACCGCTCTTCCTATCCCCCTCACTCCGTCTTCCTGCTCCCCACCTTCTCTCACCGAACTGTCCCCTTCCTCACCCATACCCACTCTTTGCATGTCATGCTACCCACACCTCCTTGCATCTTTTGTCCCTTAACTTATTCTCCCGTCACCAATCTCCTGCTGCCCCCCTCACCTCTATCTCCCCTCACCCCATTCTTCCTTTCACCAGTTCTCCGTCCTGTTCCCCCTGTTTTCCCCCCTCTTCCCCCCTTCCTCCCCCCTGCAGATCATTCGCTTTGACCATGATCTGAGTTGTGTGCATCGACACCCAGAAAACCACCTTGCACCACTCGCCCCTTACCCACCTCATCCCCCTCGATCCCTACTGTTTCCCCCTGTTCCCCCCCCCCAATCAGATCATCCGCTTTGACCATGCCAAGTTTGTATGTAGACACCCAAACAGCCCCTCGCACCGATTCTACCTTACCCACTTCATTCCCGTCCCTCCCTACTGTGCTACTCTATCCCCCTCTCCCATCAGATCATCCGCTTTGACCATGCCAAGTTTGTATGTCGACACCCAAACAGCCCCTCGCACCGATCCTACCTTACCTACTTCATTCCCGTCCCTCCCTACTGTGCTACTCTATCCCCCTCTCCCATCAGATCATCCGCTTTGACCATGCCAAGTTTGTATGTAGACACCCAAACAGCCCCTCGCACCGATTCTACCTTACCCACTTCATTCCCGTCTCCCTACTGTGCTACTCTATCCCCCTCTCCCATCAGATCATCCGCTTTGACCATGCCAAGTTTGTATGTCGACACCCAAACAGCCCCTCGCACCGATCCTACCTTACCCACTTCATTCCCGTCCCTCCCTACTGTGCTACTCTATCCCCCTCTCCCATCAGATCATCCGCTTTGACCATGCCAAGTTTGAATGTAGACACCCAAACAGCCCCTCGCACCGATTCTACCTTACCCACTTCATTCCCGTCCCTCCCTACTGTGCTACTCTATCCCCCTCTCCCATCAGATCATCCGCTTTGACCATGCCAAGTTTGTATGTAGACACCCAAACAGCCCCTCGCACCGATTCTACCTTACCCACTTCATTCCCGTCCCTCCCTACTGTGCTACTCTATCCCCCTCTCCCATCAGATCATCCGCTTTGACCATGCCAAGTTTGTATGTCGACACCCAAACAGCCCCTCGCACCGATTCTACCTTACCCACTTCATTCCCGTCCCTCCCTACTGTGCTACTCTATCCCCCTCTCCCATCAGATCATCCGCTTTGACCATGCCAAGTTTGTTCGTCGACACCCGGAAAGCCCACTCGCCTCTGCAAAGAACAAATCTGTAAGTGGGACTGGGAGACTAGAGGATGACTTTTGAGTCGAGTCAAGAGTCACTTAGTGGGAGTGGGAGACTAGGGAATGACTTTTGAGTCGAGTCAAGAGTCACTTAGTGGGACTGGGAGACTAGGGGGAATTCCCACATTCAAAGCACCCTCGGGACTCAAACACTTGAGAAACCTCCTAGCAACCTCTCTGCAAACTATAATCAGTCTTGCAAAACAACATTTTGACAGCATTGTCTTATCATCATTCTCGCTTCCTTCCTGAACCGACTGTTCAGTAGCCTTCCGATAAACTTCTCCTTGTACTGTGATCTCTTCCCCTCCACATCCCTCTCCCCTTCCTCCGTGTCCCTATCGCCCCCACAGCTCCCGTCCTTCCGAGTACGTGGCTGGGGCGCCCCCTGCCCCACTGCCCCCCTGCCCCACTGGGTGACTTTTGAGTCGACTCAAAAGTCCCTTCCTCCCTGTCCCTATCGCCCCCACAGCTCCCGTCCTTCCGAGTACGTGACTGGGGCGCCCCCTGCCCCACTGCCCCCCTGCCCCACTGGGTGACTTTTGAGTCGACTCAAAAGTCCCTTCCTCCCTCTCCCTATTGCCCCCACAGCTCCCGTCCTTCCGAGTACGTGACTGGGGCGCCCCCTGCCCCACTGCCCCCCTGCCCCACTGGGTGACTTTTGAGTCGACTCAAAAGTCCCTTCCTCCCTCTCCCTATTGCCCCCACAGCTCCCGTCCTTCCGGGTGCGAGACTGGGGCGCCCCCTGCCCCACTGCCCCCCTGCCCCACTGGGTGACTTTTGAGTCGACTCAAAAGTCCCTTCCTCCCTCTCCCTATTGCCCCCACAGCTCCCGTCCTTCCGAGTGCGAGACTGGGGCGCCCCCTGCCCCACTGCCCCCCTGCCCCACTGGGTGACTTTTGAGTCGACTCAAAAGTCCCTTCCTCCCTCTCCCTATCGCCCCCACAGCTCCCATCCTTCCGAGTGCGCGACTGGGGCCCCCTGCCCCACTGGGTGGCATTGGCCGACTGGGACTGAACCGTTATCCACATCACCACAAACACCTATCTCTACCCTCGCTTTCCCGTCTCCCCTCTCTCCCCTCTGCCCCCGCTCACCCGCACAGCTCCCATCCTTCCGAGTGCGCGACTGGGGCCCTCTGCCCCGCTGGGTGGCGTTGGTCGACTTCTTCCTCGCCGCCCGGGCGCGCTACGCCTTCATCTCTGGGGGACG